CCTCAATTGACCATCATTTCAGGGATGCTTCCTGAGTTCCGTAGAAGGTGCCAAGCATCCCTACTCCATGACCATGTAGAGGTACGTGTCATCCTGGAAGGTCGCGTGTAAGCCGATGACCCAGTCATCCTGCACTGCAGAAGCGTGTTTTTTGCACCAGAAAGAGAGCCACCCTACCAGTTTCGCTCGACAAAAAGGTGGGGTGAACACCCACGGAATCTAGCAGATTTGAATGTTGGAGCACCAAAAGGTGAGATACAAATCACAAACATAAGATTCCATTGCGTTGGGAGAATGGAGTAGTTTCAGGCCCTATAAATGATGAGGGATCTGTTTTTGCTGATTTGGCGCCCTTTTTTCGATGTCCCACACCGGAAGTCAAGAGAAACAGGCCAAGGCAAAGGCAGCAAACAACCCACACCATTTCAGTGTCTCACATTGTACGGAAGTCGTTGGCAGTCAGGGTAATGAGTATTGGTCAAAATTGGGCCCTTTCAACCCCCTTGAAAACTAACATAACTATGGAAAATCACAATGTTTAATGGCTAAATCAACTATAAATGACCATTTTCAATAGTTTTTTGTATGTTTACCAGAGGGTATCCACCCAGAAAAATCTCTGGGGGATCATCATCCCAGATGGTGAAAAACAAGACATGTTTATAAAGCTAACAATCAGATCATAGGTCATTATCCCAACAAATAGCTCATGATATTCCAATAAATCTCCCATTCTATCTATATATATATACAGTATATATATATATACAGTATATATATATATGTATATATATATGTATATATATATATATGTATATCCGCCGGATTTCCCATAGCATGTCCCATTTGATCCCCATTTTAGATGTTGACATCCCCCTGTTGGTCGCTTCAGAATGAGGCCTTGGCCACACTGAGAGCATCCTTTTCGGCATTCACATGCTGCACCTAACGGGATAATTTGCTGGTCAAAACCCTGGTACCCGGTGCACAGTAGCTGGTGAATGGATGATTATTCCCCCAAATGTGGTAAGTTCATAGGTGTTGACCCATCCCCATCTTTCAAAGGATACACTGCTGGTTGTATTTTTGGGGGGCTGGGATCTGCTGCTCTGCCTGTTGAGCACAATTCTCAGGTCAGAGTACTTGGTTAGGGTATACGTATATGTATGTATGTACGTACATAGATACACATAGATACATAGATAGATACATAGATGCATAGATAGATACATAGATAGATGCATAGATACATAGATACACATAAACACATAGACACATAGATACATAGATAGATAGATAGATAGCTAGATAGGTAGGTAGGTAGATAGATAGATAGATAAGATTAATTAGATAGATAGATAGATAGATTAGATAGATAGATAGATAGATAGATAGATAGATAGGATAGATAGGATAGATAGGATAGATAGATTAGATAGATTAGATAGATTAGATAGATTAGATAGATTAGATAGATAGATAGATAGATAGATTAGATAGATTAGATAGATTAGATAGATTAGATAGATTAGATAGATAGATAGATAGATAGATAGATAGATAAGATAGATAAGATAGATAAGATAGATAAGATAGATAAGATAGATAAGATAGATAAGATAGATAAGATAGATAAGATAGATATAAGATAGATAAGATAGATAAGATAGATAAGATAGATAAGATAGATAGATAGATAAGATAGATAAGATAGATAAGATAGATAAGATAGATAAGATAGATAAGATAGATAAGATAGATAAGATAGATAAGATAGATAAGATAGATAAGATAGATAAGATAGATAAGATAGATAAGATAGATAAGATAGATAAGATAGATAAGATAGATAAGATAGATAAGATAGATTAGATAGATTAGATAGATTAGATAGATAGATAGATAGATTAGATAGATAAGATAGATAGATAGATAGATAGATAGATAGATAGATAGATAGATAGATAGATAGCTAGATAGGTAGGTAGGTAGATAGATAGATAGATAAGATTAATTAGATAGATAGATAGATAGATTAGATAGATAGATAGATAGATAGATAGATAGATAGATAGATAGATAGATAGATAGATAGATTAGATAGATAGATTAGATAGATAGATAGATAAGATAAGATTAGATAAGATTAGATAAGATAAGATAAGATTAGATAGATAGATAGATAGATAGATTAGATAGATAGATAGATAGAATAGATAGATTAGATAGATTAGATAGATTAGATAGATTAGATAGATAGATAGATAGATAGATAGATAGATAGGATGGATAGATAGATAGATAGATAGACAGACAGACAGACAGATAGCTAGGCAGGTAGGTAGATAGATAGATAGATAAGATTAATTAGATAGGTAGATAGGTAGATAGATAGATAGATAGAAGGAAGATAGATACATAGATACATAGATACATAGATACATAGGTACATAGATACATAGATACATAGGTACATAGATACATAGATACACAGACACATAGAGAGATACATAGATACAGAGATGCATAGATAGATACATAGATACATATGTATACATATGTATACATATGTATATATATACATATAGACATATAGACATATAGACATATATATAGATATACATACAATATAGACATATAATATATATATATATACATATACATATAGACATATAGTCATAAAGACATAAAGACATATACACATACACATACACATACATAATACATATTATACATATACCCATCAAAATGGTAACAGATAAAGGTGTGCTGAACCCTTCACCAAGGGTTTACCCAGCAACTGTCAACCTGTGATGCTTGTGATGTTTGTAATCTGTCCCAAGATCTGGAAATGCCAAGTTCATCCTCAATCCCCCAATTTCCTCATCCCCATCAACCATCAAGTTTTTGAGTCCCATCTCCCGTCAAACACCTGGTTCTTGGGAAATTTCCCCTCTCCATCGCAGTTGCGCGCAGCCCTGCAGGATGGTGCCCCCCAGTTATAAGTTGGTTTATAAACCCCATTAACTAGTTCGTTATATCTGCCATAAACCATAGGTTTCATGGGAGTTATGTTCACCAACTTAGCGATTCCGAACTGGGGCACCACCTTGTGCCGGCCCTGCCCCACCTGGTTTTTGAAGACCATTTCCTTTTTGCTCATTTGCTTCATGGCTCGGATCTGCCCTGTCCCCTGCGCGAGGGACGCCATGTCATCCAGCCAAAGGGTTTTTTGTGTTCTATGATGTAGAACACACTAGTCTCATGTTGGCTAGATCAAGATATTCAACTGGTTGGTGGTTTCAACCAACCCCTCTGAAAAATATGAGTTCGTCAGTTGGGATCATTATTCCCAATATATGGAAAAAGAAAAGCCATGTTCCAAACCACCAACCAGTCAAAATCTATCAAAATCTTAATCCCCCTTTGGGAACCTCGTTGAATCCTATAGTCTCTAATATTCTCTGATCATTGCCCGTTTCCTCAAATCGGTGGTGCATGTGGGGGTCACATACCAAGGTCCAAGGAAAGCTATTGGTTGAAAGCGGCATCCCCCGTCCATTATGATCATCTCAATTCCAGTTGAAGCCAACAACCATCATCAACCATCATCAACCATCATAATGATGAATTCCAACAACAACCATCATCAACCATCTAGATCATCTCGGCAAATTTGAATTCCAAGGCGCTTCCATCATCAACCAGCTACCCCGCCTTGTGGCGACAAAGTCTCACGATGCCAAAGGCCCCTGTTCCGATCACCTGGTTTCACAGGTAACCACCCGGGTGCAACCAAGACATAACGGCAGCCCCAAGACCCGGGAAACGGTCAAAAGCCTTGAATTAAATGACCCAAGATTACCCAAGAAAGTTGATGAGAGTCGTAAGATGCAGTCAGATGCAGTAAGATGCAGTAAGATGTAGTAAGATGTAGTAAGATGTAGTAATTAAGTATCTGTAAGTAGTATGAATACAATCACAAAAACCATTGTCTTGACCCAGAAAATGCGTATAGGGATCCCTCTGGCATCCAACCGGGCAGAGGAAGGTCATTTCAGGGACCTAAATTGGATGTTCTACCATATGTAGGACCTACATGTAAGGGCTATGTAAGGGAATATCTCAAAAAAATATGGCCTTGTACGGTACCGTACACCTCCATGTTATCCTGAAATTCCCACCGATCCCACCCCGGTAGCCTTAAGCAGCTCGAAGTCGCTGATGGTGATCTCTTTTCGGCTATCTCTCCAGTAGGCATCCTGGGACCAAAACCCGTGAGGGACCAGCCTGGCGCTGGTCCCTGCGACCCCTTGGGCGTATCACATTGAATGGGTTGCAATTGTGGTTGCTGGCCAGTTACTCTACAATTCTGGGAAGATCCTGGACGCTGCGAATCCTAGATAGCCTGCAAACAATTGAACAAGTATTTACACATTACATTCTACCATTTGTATCCATTTGTGGCAAAGACTTGAACCATATATATATATTATATCATATATCATATAACAAGATACCTTATATAAGTATCCAAGCTTTACCTAGCTGAGGGACTCAACACCCCCGCTGGCTCAGTTCCCGTGTCCTGCTGGGCCGCATAATTCTTCTTGATGACCTCCTGCTGTTCTTCAGGAATGTCCTGGAAAGTGGCGTTTTTTTGGGGGTAACCCGGGTAACCCCCGTTGATCAGTCAGGGTTTATTAACCCGGGCTTGACACGATGGCGGACCCAGGAATTCTCACCCGACATTACAATCAACCAGCAGGGATGTTGGGCTTTGCTGACCAACAACACAGGCCAGCATGGCACGTATTTTGACAGCGGCCCAAGTCACCCACACAGTACCCGTTGAACCAATTTCATGGGACGAAGTGAATCCAAGTAAAGTATCATCCAAAATTTGGATATGTGCCTCATTTGATTTTTTTGTAACATTAATGTGGGTATATCAATGTCATAAACCAGCCATGACTGGGAATGGTTGAAATCCCATTGATTTACACCCATTAATTTACCGTCATTAATTTACATCAATGATATGGGTGTAAATGTTTTCCCATAAATGCTATTTATTCTACTCTTAATTTACCATTACATCTACATAAATGATGGTTTATACCCATTAATTTACCATTGATTTACCCATTGATTATACCATCAATGATAATGGTAAATCGTAAATCCCATTAATGATAAACATTTATGTGACCATAATAATCACCCATTACTGGGAATTAATGATGAATTACCCATGATAATCATTAATTTACCCATTACTGGGAATGGTTGAAATCCCATCCCCTACCCATTTATGGTGACTGGGGGATGGTTCCTGCCGTCGTCCCGTCGTCCTGGGATCGAAGTTCATCGCTCAACTTTTGCGACTCGCTTCGTCTCTCCTCCGTGGCGAAGCGAGTTTGGGGAACCCAAATGAAAACGTATATCTACATATATATATACATAGTATAGATATAGATATAGATATATATATATATATAGTGTATATATAGTATAGTATATTATATATAGTATATATATATAGTATAGATATATAATTATATATAGATATATGATATATATATATAAATGATATATAGATAGAGATAGAGATATAAATCATCAATATAATACTGTCTAATATGATAGATGTCTATGAAGATGGCCATGGTTCAAAAATGGTCCGTTGCTGGACTCACCGTAATGAATTGTTGAGCCATGGAATTCACACGCTTACTGAATTCACACGTTTCCGAACGCTTACTCTTCTCTACTGCTCACACACGCGAACTGCTCTTGCTCGCTATGTAGTTGACATGACGATCACATGATGACATGATGATGATCACTTGACATGATGAAAAGACTGCCCCTGGACATTCGTCCGTAACTCGGAAGTGTTCGAACTAAACTTCCTTTGATCATATATCTGGTACTGAAAGCATCTTTGAAAAACGAGTCTTTTCCAGGTTCCATCTGTCTTTGACAATCTTTGAGTTCACCGGACCCATGAACTCACAGCCCGTATCGCCGCTCCCTGTAGTTGTTGAAACGCTTGTCCTGAGCGAAACATGCGTGTCAGGAAAAGAAAAATCAAAGTCAAATAGCAACACGCTGAAGTTGTCTCTATTTCGATTGGTTTATGACCTTTTTTTCTTGTGGTAGTTCGTATAGTCAGTATAGTCCTCGTACTTTGCTGGTCAAATTCCTACTCTTTCATACACATCCACTTCTTTTTGATGACTACTTCCCAATTCGTGGCGGTTGGTTCTTTGCCACCTCCGGTGGTCATTTAGCCTCAGTATCCATCCAACTCCTTCTCTGGCAACAAAATGGTCTCTGAAAATGTGGCTGTATACCCCCAGTTATGGCCGTTTTTTCGAAAATGGTGATGAACCGAGGAAGCATCAGATCTAACAAACGGTCTGCGTTCACGGTTTGTGTTCACGGTTTTCCCCTGTTGCCAAACCTTTCTGGGCGCCCTGACTTTGTGGCTTTCAATGGACTTCTTAAAAGCATTAAGCCTTCGGAGATTCGCCGCGGATCGCCGAGGTCGTTTCGCAACTCAGGATCGATAGGGGCCAAGTAACCAACTGTCCTATCGGATACAGAGATAGAAATGACATAGAGATAGCATGAGATATCTGATATCACCAGGTGATAAGCCCTTAGTAGACCCTTATCTATATTCCCTGAGGGCTACCCAGCAGGGCTACCCCCGCCCTTAGAATCTCATGATCACCAAGGACTTGTCTTGACCTAGAAAGACCTCTCCAGAAAGACTGTTTGAAAGACATGTGTTTTACATGGAGAAACTGATCGGAAACTCGGAAACTCGGTAGGCTTGGCCAACTTGGCCAGCGTTTCACATCACCTGAAAGGGTTCCTTGCCTTTTCTATTACCCTTCATGGCTGGGAATTGTTTCATACATGGCAAAAAACTGATGGGAAACTCATCGAACTCAATGGTGATTTTTCCAGTGCCATGTTTGATTACGAGAAGAATCTATACAGGATGGGGCCCCCCAGTCAGTTGTTGGTTTATAAACCATTATATATATAACCCCCATTAACTATATATCTACCATAAACCATAGATTTCAGCCACTTATAAGGCAACTGAACGCTATCGACTGGGGGCCCCATCCTGTACCTATAGTTCCTATATCAAGGGGAGCAGTGTGGTAGATCCAGTAAACTACAGCAAATTTTACAGTATGGGTGGTTTACAAACCTTAAGAAAGCTACATTCTGAATGTCAACCCCGGACTACCCCAACTAAGGCATTGTTTTTTCAAACCTGGATAAACATTGCTTCATTGGATTGGTTTAAGGGAAAATCTACAGGAAAGTCCTATATTTCATGGTAAAAACCATGGTTTCCTGTAGATTTTCCCATCAACCAATCCATTGATTGATGTGGTAAACACAATGCCATAAACAATCCCCAATAGGCCTTTTTTGCCATGGTTTATGGCATTGGCAATCCACCACACTACTGACGTTTTTGGATGTGAAGACGTTGGCAGTTTGCCAGCCATAAAGAAGGATGACACCAACCAATACATTGGGATATATAACTGGATACCAGACAATGAAACTGGTGAAAAACTATTTCCCATTTCTGATAGAATATATGCATATACATAACTGGTTGGTGGTTTCAATCCCTCTGAAAAATATGAAAGTCAGTTGGGATGATTATTCCCAATATATAGAAAAAAAAAATGTTCCAAACCACCAATCACATAACCTGGTTTGTATCTTATCGGTTCAACATGCGAAGATTCCCATCGCTTGGCTTTTTTGGTGTTGCCCCCCCCCAGCCGTCGCCGATGCCCCGGCCTGACATTGGCTCCGCCCGCCTGACCGTTCATGTCGTTGGATTGAAAATGTGACGGAAAAGCGAAAAATCTTGGCAAAGACCTGGATATTCATGGGATATTAATGGGATATTGTTGGGATATTAGTGGGATCTTGTTGGGATATTTGTTGGGATGTTTTCCAGCCAGTCCAATGAACATATTTCGCCGCGGCCGTGATTGCTAATCATTAACATGATGGCTGTAACCTGCGCAACCAGCTTGAAACCAGTTCATCAGAGGCAACGGAAATTCCATGGAAATCCCCAGTTGTTATTGCCACATAAAGAGTACACCGCAAAAATCAAGGCAATGATGATTCCGAAAGGTCTGAATCTCCAACATGGCAATGGTGACTCCCCCATTCAGTAGATGATCCTCCTACTTACAATTACTACAAAACGTAGATTTCCCAGCCATGACTACACTGGAGGGTTTTTAGGAGTTGACCACCCACCAACTCTGACCAACTGGACTGGGTTGGATTCAAATCTTCGCGAAAATTCATGGTTTCTGATCCCAATCCACCGCCCATGACGACACCTGCGCCTGTGCCACCGGCGGCGCCCCCTGGGAAGATTCCATGTTTTTTGTTGTTTTCTTGAGGAAAAAACGCATTCGAAAAAAAAAACGAGTGGCACCATGTGGAACCAATTTGTTGAATTCAACTGATGTTGAAGAGTTGTTCAGTGATTGTATCTCTTTCATCATGAGCAGTTTAAACAGCGTTTTTGTAGCAGAAACCATGTTTGGTGGTGATGGTTCACGTCACCTGGAAATCGCCAATTCACCGGGATACCCTCCCAAAAATCCCGTTCCATGGATTGTCCCAGCGAACTAAACCTCAAAAAAAGGTTCGAGGATGTCCCATCCGTATTACCCGAGGCTATCTTTGATTCAGTTTAGGTCCTGAACTGAGTCATTCCACAAAAAAAAATCGGGCGGAAAACTTGGATCGCCCCTTCAAAAAACAAGGCAACCGGTTGACTCGGCGCCCTTGTAAGGGTGACGAATTTGAAATTGTCATTTTTGAGGGTAAGAGAGAAAATGCTGGTATTTGCAGGAGTCGTCAAAAAATGTGTACAACATGGACATTCATTTCGATTGGCAGGCGTGTGACTCAAGAGTGAAAATTTGAATTTCGCCTGCGCGGTGACTCGATTTTTCTCTTCACGGGTGGAAAAAAAACATTAGAATTTTATGATTTTAAGTCATCCAAATCGCATCAATCAAGGCGGTATTCAATCCTATTTTTTTTCCACTGTTCGAGGTTAGCGGTGCCAGAGCGCCTGTGGCAGTGCTGATGCTACAGTCTGTAACAAGGCAGCGTTGTGACGCCAAGTCCAGCTGTAAGCATAACTGTACCGTTTTTGGTACACCTGTTGTTTCTTTTGTGGAGCATGGATTGAGGTCGCCATTTTTTTAAGTGTTTCCAAGTTCCATCAAGTTGTTGAGTTCCAGCAATAATGGTTCTAGAGGAATCCAACCCCCCTAGGACGAAATCCGCAAAACGCGTCAGACAATGCAAGATGTCAGCAACGACAACCTCTTCTGTAACGTAAAGGAAGTGCTCGATACGAACGTTAACATCCCCCCCCACCCCCCCTGACGATCATACGACAACAAATGCAACATGTGCCTCTTCCGTACCGTGAGGGAAGCGCTCGACACGAACGTTAACATCCCCCCCCACCCCCCCCTGACGATCATACGACAACATATGCAACCTGTGCCTCTTCCATGTGCAACACGTTAAAAAATCGAAAATTTCAAATCCTATACCCCCATTTCGGAAAACCTCATTTTTGAAATTTGCAACCCTTCCACGGGATCGTAAATGGCACATCTCAAAATCGACAACCCTTCCAAGGGCGCCGTATCAGCCGCATGCCAAAAACAACCATTGCATGTATGACGAATACATGGCGATCTTTCAGCCGATTCTGGGCATCCCACTTGCATCCCCGCGGGAGCTGCGCAGGCCTGCACCGGAGTTGGGCCTACATCCAAGTGGGTCCACCGGCAGTTTTGGACATACTCTACAGACTCAACAGACTCAACAATCATGGCCATGAAAATTCAAAAACTGCACGTTGATGAATTTTATGATCAATTTTATGATCAGATTTTTTGGACTTCATTGTTTTTTTCCCATTTTTCCCTGTGAAACATGGGGTCATCATTGTCCCCTCCTGGCGAGCGGTGGGATCTCGCCGTGGATGTTTGGAAAAACGGCAGCAGATCATCGCGGGAATGGCGGATCATCGAGGTACTTGGTGGCTCATCCCACGAATCGTAAGTGGGTTAGTTCACCCCAATTATAAGTGGATTAACCCTACAAAAATCCCATTTATAACTGGGGTTATAAGCCACTTACTAAGTGGGATGAGCCACCAAGTAAATGATGGTAAATGTAGAGGATGTTGAAGTGCTAAATTGATTCACCACTAGCAGCAGGGCCCTGGTCCCCAGTCATAGTCCTTGTGGGGAAAGAACTCGTGGGGCCGACAATCTAAGCTGTGGCTACAAAGTGAGCAACAAATTCAGAGCTAACATCCCAATTCTGTGGGAAAACCATGGGAAAATTTTCGAACAACTAAAGGAGAATCATAGGAAAACAAATGGATTTCTAGTGTCAACCCTGGATTAAGAACCCCCTGGGCTGTTCACTTAGGGTCCATTTTTTGGTAGAAAATTATCGCTGTGCTAACCCACCAAAATGTTCATCGAAATGTGGATCGAAGCATTGGGAAGGAATGATGGCTCTCAAACAGAACTGCTGGCCAATCATATTCCTGGATCTGTTTGAGAGGATATTCTTAGAAATCAATTCTTCGGAATCTCTGAATCTCGATCATATTCCTAAGAATTCTTACGAGATCCCTGTCATGATCGGTGAGATTCACCTAATTTGTTTCTAGTATCCTCTATACTCCATCCATGGCCAGACCTTGTTCCCAAAAAAGCGTGGTTGCCACTAAGACACCCCCAGCGTTGCGTCGTTTTGACTCCCAGTCGCCACGCATCAGACATGTTGCAGTTCGGTGCTCAGTTCGATGCTGGCGGATTCTATGGCTGGAAGTTTCATGCTGGCTTGATGGTTGGAGCATGGCTTTCATTGAACAAGTCTCCTGTGCTTACCATGAAATTGCAATGCCATGGGCAGCCATGAGCTTTGGACTGTTTGCCTCTGCTTGTGCCACATGTTCAGCGTCGCACTGCCCGAGCCAGGGGAGCTCGCTCAGCCAATGTTCAGACGAAACATGTCGTTGTGGCAGTAGTAATTCCTGCGTGGGAAAGGATCTTAAACTGCATTCAAAGGGAGAAAAAAAACATGTGGGTTTGTCAAACAAATGGTTGTACCATGTAGTACCCAATTTGAAAAATGATGAAGAACCATCAAATGGGCGGAGAGAAATCCACTGGTCCAACTCCATCAAGCCATGTAAGTCCTCGTCCTTTGAAGCTTCTAGTTATGGTCATGGGTCAAGGGCCCCGACCCGGGATGGTACCCAACCAAGTCACAGCTGGTTTGTTGCTGATGATTCCCTCAGGCAACTTGACCCATCCCCAACTCACAGCTGTCCAACTCAGCTCCCTTGGCGCCCCTGCCCGGTGGGACCCTTCAGCAGCTGAAAGACTTGGGCGAACCTAGCCGAACTCCAAGTTTTTACGCCAAGCTCTTCAATGTGTCATGAGTCAACCCCAAAACATCCCAAAACTGGAACAGCTTCTTAACTGCTCCTTGAATCGATACGAAAGCCTTTTTCACGATCAAAGGTCTCTAGTTTTAGCAAACCGAGTCCCGAACTTCAAGGGATTGGCATTGTCATCTACCAAGAGGTTGCCCGTGATGAAAATCACTATGCCTCAGCCGGGTCGTCATCACCAAAATGTGAACTCTGGGGACCCGATCAAGGGGCTGAAGTCGCTAAAAAGATGATCGACTTGGATCAATTTGGATCAACATGGCATGTATGCCCACCCATCTTGGGATACTTTTTTTGGCCCGTCCCCACTGATCTTCTCTAGAAAACATCTTCTACTTGCTGTTAGTGATTTGGACTGTGCATTTCTCATGCTTCAGCTCCATCCAATATGTTCGTAGCAGAAACTTCCTGAAATTCTACTGGATTCCACCGAGCTTAAAGTTGACAGCGAGTGCGGAATTTGAGCAAACAATAGCACTCTACCAACGTGGTTTCCTTTCTGATCCCCAGAATTGAAAGGAAGAATGTGTATATGTATGGTAAAGCCATATTTCTACTGGTCAAAAAAAACCTGGTTTCATATCGATTGTCCCTTCAACCAACCCAATCATTCAGTCATCTACAGACGTCTTTGGTCTTCGGACCCTCGTTCACCGACGGCTGGCAATCACATTTCACAATCTGGTGCTGCACCTCGACTTGCACCCCAGAAATGCAGACGCAAAGCCGAAGTGGGTCAATACATATTATACGCATATACGTGTATATATAACTATATATAATTATATATTATTACATATTAATATTATTATTATTACTATTATTACTATTATCATTATTACACACACATACAGTATACACAACATGTGTGGAAATGTATTTCATACACATCTCTTTATGTTCATATGTGAATTTATGTATATATACATTTATGATATTATGTCTACATTTATGTTTATATCGTGTGTGTGTGTGTCAAAAATATGAAACCTCCATTCAACCGCGGAAATCTCTTTTTGGTCGACAGAATTTCCTCTGGGATTCGCCTCGCCAGCCGATGCAACGGATGGCACCCTGCAGTACCCAGCCTTCTGAAAAGGCAAGCTCATGATCTTCTGCACTATCGCATCTGCACCTAACCCCACAGGATGGTGCCCCCCAGTTATGTTTGTTGGTTTATAAACCCCATGAAAACTATAGTTATATCTGCCATAAACCATAGTTATGGGAGTTATAAACCAACTTAGCCAACTATGGGGCACCACCTTGCAGGCCCCGAAAGGGTCATACTCGGTCTGGTTCAACAGGGTTCCGGAAGGGGTTCTCAAAATGCCTCAGTATCTGCTGTTCAAATTTATTGACCAACAGCTTTCGTTCAACTGATCCTGCACTGGCCTATGGGACTGATGATCTCTGAAGTTCGACACGAATTAGATCTAATTAGACTATATTAGTCTTTACTGGCTTATTATATTGGAAACGTCATACATTACATTATTCTACATTACCATCTGGCTATTTAACATAGCCATGGAAAATCACCATGTTTAATAGGTAAACCATCTATTTCTATGGGCCATGGCTTCCATGGCTATGTTGGTCATAACCAGAGGGTAATATAAACATCGTAAGTTCGCAACTGAACGAAGAATTCACCTAGTTCACCTGCAGCGGCTGGAGCGGCCAGACCTTGGAATTGATCTCCTTCGAAGGTCAGCATCGACTGCTGCGAGTAAAGCGGATGCAGACCAGCCCTGCCCCGATTTTCGCGGTGGCCCCCGATGGGAAACGGGAAAGGGGAGTTCCCTCCCGTGGCTGGCTTGCGAAAACCGCTCAATGGAGCTGGGAAGATGGGAAAATCATACAATAAATGATGGATTTTCCTGGATTTTCCAGCCATGTTTGACCACAGAGAAAGCCAATTCCAGGAGTTGACCAAGAAATCCTGGTGTCTTGTTCACAAGACCAGTGGAGAAGTAGATACAAGTAGAAGTAGGCCATAAGCCAGATTTAGCTAGACCTCTCATCCATGTCCAGACCACGGTACTTGGAATCCTCATATTTTTGGGGGTGAAAATCAGTGGGGGTCTACACTAATCCTGAACAAAAAATCCCTCCATCTTCAGGTGTACAAAACAAGATGGTCAGGCTACTGACTATAACTACGGACCTACAAAAAAAGTGAAGACGACTTCTAAACCTTCCAGAATTGGTCCATTATAGATGTTATAGTCAGGTTGAATTAACTATAGTTACCCTCTGGTAAACTAACATAGCTATTGAAAATGGCCATTTATAGTGAGTTTTCCCATTAAAAATTGTGATTTTCCACAGCTATGTTAAATTACCAGAGGGTATCCTAACTATCCTAACCATTCTCTAACCTTCCAGAATTGGTTGACTTTACAGGCTCTTTGTTTGGAGAGAATGGTTTCCTGCCGATTTCCTGCGCCCTTTTCACCAAAAATGGCACACGGCCGCTGGCCCGATTGCTGCTCCGGTAGCCTGCTTCCCCCTCATGTTCGACATGGAAAATCTCCACGTTTACTGGGAAAAAATGGGATAAATCATTGAACTAAATGGGTGATTGTCCATTCCATATTAGATCACTCGAGGGTCTCAGGTCAATTTCCAAGTTCTGGGGTGTCACATCCCCAGTGGTGATGCATTTTTCATCCAACTTGTCATGTCAAGCCCGGATAGACATGCCTGATCAAACAGGCACGATATGTGTGTATATAATCTGCTATCAAACCAAACATCCCCGAAATGAACCAGGGCTTTTGTAATCTGGAGTTGACACAAACCAGAATTGGCTGAAGCATCCCCTCTCACCGGTTGTCTCAGATTCTTTGCTGCAGGCCTGACAGCCACAAGTTCCATGACTTTAAATCCACTGTTCATACACTGAGTGACCTTCCAAGGAATATCATCAACAAATGGGTGCAAGAATGGGGAGACCCACCATTCGCCTGTACCGGAAATTGTGAAACGAAGCCAAATGAGCAGTGTTCAATGCCCTCCAGTTTTTGCGATTCCCATGGATGATGATCATCTACAAGGTATCGGACAGTAGCTACAATCATCAACCAACCAGGGTTTAGCAACCAATGCTCACATGAGAAAATGCGACATGCTGTGTAAAGGACTATGAAAATGTGGACTCTATAGCTTCTAGAAAACACGGCGTTGTGGCTAAAAATCGTTGATCTCATCCCCCTTCTGTGACTCAGGGCCTCCTAGTGGCGGCAAAGAGTCGAAGCCTTGGCAGGAGACTTCAAGCAGCTTGAGTCTTCAGCTTCCAATCAAGCAGTAGATAATATAATATATTGCATATTGTTGATAGATAATATAATTATAATATTATATATATATACCAAATGTATTATACACAATGAGAGAGAATGAATCCGCAACGGACTTTGAAATTTCTGAATGCAGTGCTCAAAACTCCGCAGTCCCATTCGTGTTTTTTTCGCTGTAGATGTAGATGGATTGGCTGAAACCCAGCCTCCAGGTTCCAAACATTACAAGCATTCTCGTTTGTGAGGTCCTTTTTGAAACCAAGTTAATCTGTCTGAAAATTTAGGGAAAACGCCCCCAATTTGATTGAGGACCTGACCTTGCCTATGAAAATGGCCATATCTGCGGGTGTTTTTTTCAGTATGTCCCGTTTACCCAAGTGGTTCTCACTTCACGTTTGGAACCTAAAAGGGTCCCAGCCGCCTAATCTCGAGGGCGCCAGGGGATCAGATCACACTGAACTTTTTCTGCGTGACCATCCCATGCCGCGTGCGCTGCGAAAGAAAAAGTCATAGCTACCAGTATGGATACTGTATGGATACTGTATGGATACTGTATGGATACTGTATGGATACTGTATGGATACTGTATGGATACTGTATGGATACTGTATGGATACTGTATGGATACTGTATGTCCCTTAGGATCCTTAATGGATTTGAACATTTTTAATAACATGATTCATGTTCAATCCACCAAACCCATTTCACTACGTTGAACAACTCGCCCATTCTGCAACGCTGTCGCGACTGGACATACATAATACCTGTGCCGGGGACCCCAGGTTCACCCGACACACCCAAATGAAATGCAGAAGGATTGAAAAATGGTGGTGATTGTCGTGCAACCATTACCTGCTTGGTGAAGTCTGCGAACCAGTGACAGTTGGTTCAATCCATCTGCAGAAATCTGAACAAACTCACCCCAACTGACGTGCTGGTCACGTGCTGGTCACGTGATTCACGTGAGGCTGTTCTAAAACAGGCCCAGAAAAGCACCCAAGCCGCCCAAGCCACAACCAAATCCGTCATCTGAATCAGAGCCGTAGTCTCGTGTGCGCAAATGCTTGGGGCCATCAAAACGGCGATCAATGCACCTGCAAGATCCATGTTCGACCAAAACTGTTGGCATTTGCCGTGTTGTTTTCATGGCTGAAATCAGGCATCAAAACGCTATGTATATAGGTCAAACTGCAGGAACCAAAAGTGGGATGGCTAGCAGACATTCAGCTAATCTGTGCTCTGCGCTAGCCCTTTGGATCCATAAAATCCATAGCCACTGGCTATGTCCTCGTCGATGAAATCAGTGAAATCTCTCAGGTTTTGCTCCCAACACCCCAGATACGCGTCCGGGGAACTGACTTTACTTGGAAGGATCATCCCACTCAGCGAGGCTGGTGAGTTAGAAAAAACAGAACTATATACCCTCTGGTAAACATACAAAAAAACTATGGAAAGATCCACCATTTTTCATGGGAAAACTCACTATAAATGGCCATTTTCAATAGCTATGTTAAATTACCAGAGGGTAAGCCACTTGAAGGACTTGTTAAAACCAGCTACAACACTTACAAAACTAAGTGGGATGATCTATGATGATCTTCTCCTATGTGAAATGCCCATGAAATCCCCCATGCCTCCGCATCCTGTGCTTCTTCACTGTGCAGGGGAAGGATTTCCAGGCACCAGCTGCCTCCAGCGCGGAGAGACGTCGCCGACCGTGGGTCAACGTTGAGGAAATGGATGTTGCGGACTTCTGCGCGAGCTGCGCTAAAAGCTGGGGCTCACCTGAGGCTTGAAATTGTGCAGCACAAGCAAAATCAAGGGGCGTCATGGGGGGAAACGCTGCAGGAATATATACATAATATACATAATATATACTCGTAATACATATTATGTATACATCTTGTGTAGTTTGATTTTGCCAAGAATAGCTACTTGAGGTTGAGACGCCCAGAAGATGGAGGGTGTAACAAGATATCACAAGTATCTATTACGAATGGAACCAATGCAAACGGATACACATGGAGATATCAACGAGCAATTGGGTCAACATTGATTCGAGTGAGGCTGAACCACCTCTGAAAAATTGCCAACAAAAACATTGGCGAGAAGCTCATCCCAATTCTAGGGATGGAAAAGAAAAAAAACACCACTGAAAGCCCAGCGTTGTCACTTTCATGAGGCACTTCTGGATGGCTCACGCCATTGTCATGCGCATCTTTCAGCATCTGATTCAAGCTCCCATCTGCGACCTGGCTGTCGCTGGCTGCACGAGCCAGCAGTAGCGGCCAAACGATCTGCAGCATGTCTTCGACGCTGGTCAGGGATTCGCCATAGATCAGTTCCACCTGGGTCAATGGGGGATTGGGGGATCCCCATATGATTCAAAAGGCCATGTTAATGGGGAAAAATGGGAAGGTTGAACCAGTTGAACCAGTTGATTTACCCAATTTTCAGACAAACCCACCTCATGATCGGCATCTGACAGGGTCTCACGTGGACATCCACGGAAGGGGATGGCGTTGATGTTCAGCCACGTGTCATGGATGCACTTCAAAATCTCGTGCGCATGGCCGAAGCCAGCTCCAAGGCTGGTTGCCGCCTTGATGACTTTCTGGACATGATCTCCACACTCGCTGAACCATTCCACCAGCATTTCACCGGTTTCTTCATAGGAGTCATGCCAGTCCATGTCCACGGTATGGGCCAGGCTCTTTACGTATTCATTCAAGGACTCTTTCACCTGGGTGCTGAAAAAACACGTGGGATCACGTGGGTATTGATGGAAACGCTCGAAACACCCTGAAACAGTCAACCAAATATATATATACCACAGCAAAATTATATGCATTTATACATTATAAATTACTATACTATAATATATATATATAAATAATATATATATATTATATAATATATATATATATTATATAATATATTCATTTACATGTGTTTTAGATTGTTTTAGTGTAATCCCTCATCCTTAGTGATCTTCCCCACCAAGTCACGGGTTCCACCGCCAGCAGTTCCTCTCCTTTCTCTGACAGTTTCTTTGCTCCCATGGCCTCTTTCCTGAGTCGCTTCGAGACGTTGCCTGGCGCATCCTGGCGCATCCAGTTGGTACCTTGACTTTTTACTCATCGACTTGGAGTTTAGCCATGCAAAAACATGGAAGTTTCACAAAAATGCTTGAGTGAACCACTCATAAATGTTCACCAGCAGGAAAAAACATGAGAATGGCTGGCATAAAACATGAAAATGCATGGCTGGCTGTACAATCACTAGTATTTTACCTGAAAGGTATGGGGAAATTATCCGCCATACGGAACTCAAGAATTGCGAGTTCATGCTCTTCCACCAAAGGAACATCACTTTTTTCATATGTTTTAAATTTGTTTTAAAAATACTTTTGCGGAACACAGTACCAGGACCATAGTTTTTGTTTTCAGGGGCGCAAGCGGTAAATCAGCATGACTGGCCACACAGAGTTTGGTCATTTCGAACCTGAAATGGGAGTACCCCCATAGCTGGATGGTTTATTTCATGGAAAATCCTACTAAAATGGATGCTTTGGGGGTAGCCCTATTTTTAGGAAACCACCTAATATAGCAACCCCCAAAAAAATGTCGAAAAGTAAAAAAATCCTCTGAAAATCATAGGGAAAACCGGGAAAATGGTCACCTTTTCATAGCCTTTCGATCTTTTTCGGTGACCGGGTCCTGGTTCGCTTTACGCTTCGGTGCCACGGTCTCCTTCTCCACAGGCATCCCATTGAACAACGCCGCTAACATCGGAGAGCTTTGCATGGCAAGGTCCCGCGCCTCTGCGAACGGCACCTGGCAGATCAGCCCACTTCGTGTCTTGGGGACAGGAACCATAACAGTTCATGTTTATTGGATTTTATTGGTAACTGATATGGTAACATCATAAAATTCAAAATGTATGGTTATTGAATCTGATATGGTAACATATTGGTAACATATTTAAATTCAAAATGATAATTGATCAATTTACACGATTGCCATTTCATGGTAGCCTTTGGAAGCGATTATTCCTAGACCTCTGGTCATCAAACATGGGTTAAACTCCACGAAAATACGTTGGTGATCAAAATGGCATCGCAGGTCAAAAGACCCACATTTGGATGGGGCAAAATCACATGTTGCATCAATAGGGGGGTAGACCTTTGGGAATCTCAGGCATTCATTTCTTCGTTTCGGGCAGATGCGTTTCGGAGGATTTCTGATGGATTTGAGGAACAATGACTGGAAATCGCGACAGAAAACAAAGAATGAGGCAATGCTTTGTCGAAATCGCCCATTCTGGGATTGATATGGCTCAAATCATTAGGAATCTAAGGTGGTTTCGTGGAAATTCTGGTGCCAGATTTACTGTAGATGACCAGCGGGTGACCAGCATGAAAAAGGAGATACCACCACCAAAAACACGGATTTAACTATAGAGTAACTAGAATAGCAATGCATAGCAATAGCATGTCATAGTTTTCCACATGGAAACATCGGACGGCGTAAGGTCGGGAAAAAAACACAAAACAAAACACAACCGTGGCTCTGTTTCCCACCTCGTTGCCGCACTTCCAGGCCACTTCGTCTTTGACACCGGGCGCCCTTGTGACACATCGAATAGTCTTGGCACTGGCCACGGGACTCTCCACCGTCTCCCAGGAACTGCCATTGGTCTTGCTGTAGCAGGATGGAGGCTTCTTCAGGTTCAACACCAGCTCCCACTCGTGCCCTTCATGCCCACAGTCTCGGCACTCCAAGGACTGCACATCCTCGAACTTCACCTTGAAGGCCGGACTTGGCGGAGTTGGTCAGGAAAAGAATATATGAACTTTAACATACTTACTACATCTTACTACTTACCAACAAGAATGCGACAAACCCTACTGTTTCTTTAAAGATTTATATACATTGCAAGAAATGGGGATGCGAATTCCTCAAACTCGTCGATCGCAAATCATGTATCTCGATCAGCCAAATCCCGTTTCGTTTGGCCGCGCCCACCTGGAAGGAATACAAGGGAGCCCGCGTTCTGGCCAGCAGCACCTCAAACAATGTTGGGATTTTCTCCCCCTCGGGCACGTTTTTCCTCTTCAGGATCTTGTTGATGTTGGCATGAGAACGATCAAGTTCCAGAGTTTCGAAGGAGAAACGCTTGTTGCCAAACCTAAGAGTTGATCTTTTGCAAGTTGGTGCCACGAATGTTTTCAGGGCCGATGAACCATTCAGAATCATCCTGGATGAAAATCGAACTCATCCTAAAAACAACCATTTTATAGGGAAAGTGTCTGAAAATGAGGCAACAACCAGCCATTTTTTCATCGGGAAAGTGGTAACCGGCCAATGGAATCCAATGGATCTGATGCCGGATTTTCAGACAAACCCAGAAATGGGGATGTGTCAAAACCAATAGTACCCCTTCTGTTCACATCAAAATAGCTGGGATTTATGGATGTGAATAACCCACTAAAAATGGTATAAAAATAGGTATTAATAGGTATTGATCCATACCCATTTCACCACCAGAAACATGATCTTTCCACACAGCAGGGTCTCATAGCGCGGGATCTTCTCAGGCTGCTGCCCCATCGGCCTGAGCTGGATTGGGGCTCCACTTGTGCCGGAACGAAACTTCCGGCGCCCCAGCTGGAGCTCCTGCAGGTTGAACCTGGCGAAAAACACAAAACACTTCGAGTCGCAAATTCTGGAGAGAAAATCCTCCCGTTTTTGGGATGTCGAAATTGAAATCTATAAAACTGTACCAATCGTATCGCCAGGTTTGTTGGTTGTTTTGGGGAACATACAAAAGACATGAGAAAATCGGTCGCCAGAGGAACTGCACTGGTGCGGGCGCATTCTCTTTTGGCCGTGGCATCGAGATCTGACGATATCTCGAGGAGTGGCTTGAACTGTATGGCTTCACTGGAACGAAGCTTTGTTGTGGAGCTCACAGCAATACGGGGCTCCCAAGAAAGATAGAAAAAAAGGAATCCCTGGGAATTTGGATGATGAAATTGTATGAACTTGACATAGTTGTTCCATGTTGTTCCATATTTTTGTTGGTTATTCCTTTTTTCTAAGTGTGGAGCAAGTGGGTCCAACAGACGTTGGGAAGCGAAGCTTGGTCGCAGGAGTTCAGGCCCAGGCGTGGAGGCCTCGAAGCCCCTCAGCGCTCCACTGGAGCCTGATGGGGGGGGGTACTGAAAGTGGCTTTGAAAATGGCAAATACAAAATGAAGATCGACGAATATCAATTGACATTGATCCGTATCAAGTAACATGGAAAGCGGATTCCTCCATGGCGTCCATGATCTTTCACAGAGAATAACATCCTCGAAAAGACTTAGGCACACTCCTATGAAAAATACGAAGCACAAATCGTGATTGACCAATTAGCCACTGGAATTTAGTGTATGCTGTACACTTTTGAACAACCCCAGGTCTAAACACAAACAGCATGGTGACTTTTGGATGTCAGGAATGACTGATCATCTCCCCGTTTGACATTCTGACAAGATTCTTCTTGTGCAAGCATCAGTCACCCAAGAGAAGAAAGGTTTAAATCCAAAAAAAACTAGGGAGTACATGACCCTCGGATCCAAATCGGATACAAACATCATTAAAATAAATCCGTGAATTGCAGTGCTAAAACCCCAGAAAACAACAGCCATTTCCCCACATGTCCCACATGTCCCAGCCTTGGGCCGCAAATCTTTGGCGTTCAAACGCTGCGCCTGGTGACCAAAACCGATGTCACTCACCTGACCTGAACTTGATCCTGGTTTATTGCGAACACCATCGAACGTTGATGATATCACTGCTGTCGGTGAATGTCCATACATGTCCATGTTTTTGATAATTCGATCCTCAAAAGTGAAATCCCCATCCATTTCGACCTGCTTGATTCGCTTGGGCGAAATGTCGACGCCGATGGCGTCGAGACCAAACCTTGGTGAAGTTACACGTCAAACCATCACCACGTTGATGTTCCAGGAATCTTCCCCAAACATGATGAAACAAACATATTTAATTATATATGTAACATTGTATATATCATAATATATTAAATATTGTATCTTCACCAACCAGACATACACATTGGTAATATAAGTAATATACATGTATGTCTGGTTCTTTGGGGATAAGGGTAACGATTGGCATCGAGTAGGCATTGCTCACCATGTGCTGGACTTCTCAAATGCTTCGTGTTTACAGGCTATTTCTCACTTACCCTCTGGTGAACTAACATAGCAATTGAAAATGGCCCAGTCGAAATAGTGGATTTTCCCATGAAAAATTGTGGATCTTTCCATACCTTTTTGTATGTTTACCAGAGGCTACTTCTGTAAATTCGATTTGCATCTGCCCCAATCGAAGCAGATTGGAATCTTTTCCCAGCTGAACAAATGGAACCTGGATCCAACAGCAAAACATCTGAAGGGAACCGGAGTTGGAGCATGAAACCACTTCGGATGGTTTGGGTATGTTTGGGTCAAATGTCGGTAGCCAAAAATCACATGGTTCATTCAATGTTCATTCTTCATGGTTTAAGTTGAGTACCCTCTGGTAATTTAACATAGCTATAGAAAGATCCACCATGCTATTAATGGGTAAATCCACTATTTCGACTGGGCCATTTTCAATAGCTTTTTGTATGTTTACCAGAGGGTATCCCTACCTTAAAAATCCATCAAAATCTGTCAGTCTCCGTGGGCAGCCACTGAACATCGATCGGCGGAGCTCGGCGGTCGCTGGGTCTGCCGAGCTCATTGGCCACCGCCAGTACCGTGCCCGCCCCGCAGAAGGGATCGATCACCGTGTGCAGTCCTGGCGGGCGACGACGGCAGTCCTGGCCTGGCCAAAAATGGAATCCACAGATAGTAAGGTCATGGAAGGTCATTGATAAACAGATCATAAGGTCATTGAAGTCATTGAACAGATCATTGATGAACTTTCGGGGTCGTCGAAGTTTAACTAGAGTGGATCAACTGATGCCACATGTCATTCTAGGGTAAAATTGTTGGCACCAAACGCGTGCGATGCTTGCACCAAACATTGTAGATATATGATCTACAAGACTGGATATAACCTACAAGAGTGGATGTTTCAAACTGAATCTGACGAACAATGATGACCTCCACCCACTTGGGTATCACTGGGTCGATTTTCGAGGCAAACTTTCTATGAAACCAACAGGTGTCAGGGTACCCCCCTATAGTACCACTATATGGTTGTTATGTCGCTGGATATAAAACCTTCATTGATTCATTGTTGTTGATGTTGTTTGAATCACCATTCCATAACCATGTGATTAGGATTAGGACCTATTGTGTTTTATAGAATTGGGATTACCCTCTAGAGTAAACTAACATAACTATGGAAAATCACCATTTTCAATGGGTAAATCCACTATGAATGGGCCATTTTCAATGGCTATCTGGGCTATGTTTGTGGCAGTGGCATCCCCTGGTCGATTCGGTCAGGACTCCCGGAACTCCGGACTCCTGGCAATCGTCGTGTGGCCCACTTCAGCACTGCCATGGTGGCGTTGAGGCCCATACCTGGCCCGTTGCTTTGGAGCCAATGAGCTGAGGGAGCCGTTGAGATTTTACCATTTTACCCAGCAAAAATATGGGTTTAGTGTCGGACTTCAGCTTGGGAAAATGTCGGTAAATGTGGGCAAATTTGGGGAGGTGGACCCGAAATGTGGACTTAAGCTCCAGAAAAAGAGAAGACTACAAGACAAAACTACAAGAATCTGTGGATCCAAGGGGCTTTAAACTTGACCCATTATGCCCATTTCAAGGCTACATAATTTTAAGCCATCCCCAGCCAGCTTTGATGGCAAAAATGTGAATCTCTGCCCAAAAAAAAAAAGCAGACTTCCAGACTTCCAGAACATGCCAGGCCCACAACATGCTCCTTTCCTCAGGCTGGGCTTGGGGCCCCTCTCCAGCACATCAGGAATGGTACTCCCCAAATCCACCACCTCATCGTCCGGGCCCTGGCAGCCCACTCTCGCCACCTCTGGGGGCCCCTTGGCGAAGCAGAGAAGGTGGGTGAACTGCACGGCGTTCCACGTGGGTTGATCGATGGTGCCGAAGTGGACGATCTTGTGCCACTTCAGCCGCACCTGGGCTGGACCACTGACTCTACGAGTCAAAATTCGAAGGGCGCTGGGAAATTCAAAGCTCCTTTCATCTCGTTTCAGCCATTGTTTGGGGCACCCAAGAATTGATGCATCCCATAGCCATCTTCCAGCCAAGCCCGCCTGTGGAACTTCCTGCGCCGCCTTCAGCACCAAAAACGCCTTGCTCACCTGGCCCTTCTCCGCCAGCCTTACGTCGGTCTGATAGAAGACCGCCACGCCATTCAGCGGCAGGGCGGCCAAAATCTGCCGCACCGCCTGGGCCAGGACAGCCAGGACGAGGGCCACGACTTCAAGTACTTCAAGGGGTTCCGGGTTCAGAGTTAGGCTGGTATACCGCTAAACTTGGGTAGATTTATGGTAGATATATGTCAAGAATTCGCCACAATCTCTGTATTTTGGTCTCAGATTTTGACCCCCACGAGCCATTTGCCAAATGGCCACTGGCCATCCAGCCATGCCCCAGCTCGCCAGCCCCTTTGCCACTTACACTTCCCAAAATAAAGGGTTCCCAAAAGCAAAACTCCATGAAAAGATCTCGAACTTGAAAACTGTGAGAACAACAACATGACTATAACTTACTTGTTACGGTACTTATTGCTTATTACGACTATCATTACTTCTGCTATTATTTCTATTACTAGCATCATTATTACCATTTCACAAGTTGTCATAGCATTGACTTTACCATTAATGTTGCAGTACTAGTATGTACTAGTGCCATTAAAATGAAATCAGGATACAGTCTGATATCAGGAATTATCATTCTATAACCATTATCATGTGGAGGCTTCTAAAAAAAAATGGTGGATAGTGGATCCCCCGAATCCATCCATTTTATTCTCGGATTTTCCATTTTTTCAACCATCTAGCTATTGGGGTGCCCCCATTGATGGAAACCCCCAGTCATTATGGTTGGTTCCTCTCTTTTTGGCGCCGGACGAGTAGTACCGCCTTCATGAAGAACTGCTCCCAATCTTCGAAGCGGGGTCCGAGGAACTCCACCACTTCCGACATGTCGGGGAGTGAGGTGAAGACCATGGCCCCAAAGGGGAAACTCTGCATCTCATCTATCCACCTGAGGCTTCGCTTGGAAGTTTGTATTTTCTGTTGGAAATGTCGCCAACTCCTGAAAATTCCAGTCATTTGTTGAGGATAGTTGAGCTCCCAAACCAAGACCCACGATTCCACCAAGATAGCTGAATCAACATGAGGAAGACTAGCTGTAAAGCACAAAATCTGCTGCGCAAATACCAGTTTTTGTGACAACAAAAATGGATTTGCTGGATGAAAATACAGTTGATCCATATATATATATATTGGAGGGAGCAAACCAGGCTGGAAATTCATGGAGGTAGCAACATAGACTACTTCTGTTCCCAGAGAAGGTGGACGGAAAATTCAAGGACCAGGACCAGTGGCCTTTGTTGGTATATCCCAGGCTATCAACTCCATGGATCAGCCAAGCCGCTTTAGGGCGTCTTCGCAGATGATTTCTCTTCTGCCCTTCCTTTTGCCCTTCATCTTTGGGTCTGCGGCACTTCCCCCAAAAAGGTTGATCCAACCGTTCAAAAAAACATCCCACTGTTTTTACTGAAGTAGACGAATTTTCCAGCTTTTTGGGCATCTCCTATCTTTTGCTTGCCACAAACGGGTAGGGCCGGCACTCGGTGTCGGATTTTCTTTCCGCGATGTTCATTCTTTGCTTTTGGTGCACTATCATATATTTCTCCTTGAATGACAAATGGCCGAACCCTTCCACGAATTCCGACGGTCAATCAGCACCGGTTGGCTGGTTGAAAAAAAAACACAAATTCAGACATGTTGAGTAAGAAATGGTCGAAACCATTAAAGGTACTAAAGGAGAGGTGCAGTATATGTTTGATCCCCATTGACGGTTAAACCAGGTGCTTCTGCCTGAGCGATCTTTTGGCTCCTTCTCCCCTTCGGCTCGACGTTGAGCGACAGTGAGGGACAGAAAGTTGGGGGAAGCAATGGGGAAATATTGCCACGTTTGATGAGGGTAAATCAGGTCGTAGATGATACTGGCCATTCATTGTACGAGCGAGGCATGATATTTGGATTGTTGTTTTGGGGTCTGCAATCCAGCTGGCCTCCAGGCGGGTGGAAAAGTTTCCATTGGGATGAGAAATATGGTGGAGATACCCCCATTTTCGGACAGACCTTGTTGATTCCTTCCTCTACAGGCCAACAGAGATTATGAAGCCTGGCGCCTGGGGCGACCCGAAAAGCATTCTACACAAGCGTGAGCGCAGGAAATGCATAGCGTCCCAAAAAAATGTTCCAGAAAACCATGAACGAAAAATTGGGAAAAAACGGAAACCAAAAGTTAGAATTAGAACTTCCAAAAAAAACAACGTGAAAAATCCCAGGAATCCCAGCAGACACATCTCCTTTCCAGACCGGCCTTCGACAGAGAGCGACCTGCCCATGGTGAGCCCATGGCCCCGAGGACACTATAAAGGCGAAATCCTGCCAGTAGATGGTACCCGGCCTGGTAAACGTTTACAAAAAGCGAACTGGAAAGATCCACCATTTTTCATGGGAAAATCCACTATTTCGACTGGGTCATTTTCAATAGCTATTTTGACATAACCAGATGGTACACATCCCGCTAGAATCCCATGACTTTCCGTGTTTAGTGAGAAGTTGCCAACTGGTGCAGGATTTCGCAACCATCCACTGTGTTTGAGGGGATAACTTTCGTAGAAACCACATGACGCTGCCACCCATCAGCTCCCAACGTTGGTTGAAGCAAAACTCTATGGCAAAACACCAAAGAGTTGGATTGAAAGGAAACCGTGGTTTTCCCTCAAAAACAACCAGCAGCTTTTGTTGAGTTCCACCCCTATGATTTTGGTCGATTCATATTTCTGCATGCCGACAACCCGCCTTTGCTCGGTCTTCTTATCTGGCATACCCCCATGCAACAACTGTTATGATGATAACAACCCATCACGTCTTTAGAAAAAAAATGCGTCCCAATACCCAACACCCAGGGTCTTAATTATAAACTAGACATGTAATGATACCATCTGGTTATTTAACATAGCCATGGAAAGATCCACCATGCTATTAAGAACGGTAAACCATCTATTTCGATGAGGGCCATCTATACATACCATGGCTATGTTAGTCATAATCAGAGGGTATACCCTCTGGTAATTTAACATAGCTATTGAAAATGATCATTTATAGTGGATTTTCACATTGAAAATGGTGATTTTCCATAGTTATGTTAGTCATAATCAGAGGGTATATCCACCATCAATTCCATCAACCCGGGGTATAAACCAACTGACCTATCAAGGCCACGTCTAAGGGGATGGTTCCCCAATCCCAACCCTCATTCGTGACGTCGAAGCGGCGTATGGTCGTTATAATTTATCAAGACGATATCGATATCCCATTAAGTTATATTATAAATAGTTGTAAAGGATATCATATTGTATCCCATAATAAATGTTATAAATAATTGTTATTATGGGATATCCCCAATAAAGACCTTTCAGTTATATCATATTGTATCCCATTATATCCCCATCAAATAGTTGGTTCTATTTATCAAGATCATATCCCTCATTTAATGCCAAGTCTCCATCTTGATTCTATCCCGTATCCCAAAAAAGTCGGCAAAAACTCCATTGTTTGTTGCTTATATACTTATATTCCCCTCTTGTAATTTAGCTGCGGCAAATGACCAAATTAATCAGTAAATCATGATTTTGATCAGATAGCAATGGGAAAATCCATAGCTATGTCAGCTATAAACAGGGAATATCCCCATGATACCACCACTTTTTACCCTCTGGTAATTTAACATAGCTATTGAAAATGGGCCATTTATAGTTGATTTACCTATTACCCTCCGGTAAATTAACATAGACCCTGGCAGATAGGGGTTGAAAGACTGGTTTCCACTCAAAATGGCTTATTTTCAGGGTCAACAAGTTAATTTACCAGAGGGTAAAGATGGTGATTTTCCGATTTTCCATAGCTATGTAAACGTTTACCAGAGGGTAAATCTCCATCAAACACCATTAAACCACCATTAAACCACCATTAAACCACCATTTACCAGAGGCTATGTGCCTCCAAATCTCCGCCTCCTTGGCCCCGTGGCTCGCGCCAGGCAGAAGCCACCCAGGGCACCAAGCCCGGCCGCGGCCAGCAGCCACCTGGCGAGCTTTGAACAGTGACCTGCTTGGTCAATCCGATTCCCTGCAAGGAGCTCATCATATGTTTTAACATATCTCTAAACGACAAAATATGTGTGTATATATATATACAGTAATACATATATATATATAGAGTAGTAGGTACTCGTCTACCTACGCGCATCCCACTTAGCAAGTGGCGTAAAATCGGGATATGCCATTTAAAAAAAGAACTTGTGGTATAACCCATTTACTAAGTGGTTCCCTAATTCGTTCCCAATCCTTCACCCCATGGCCAGCCCCATGGCCAGCCCCATCGCTGCCCATCCCTTTTTGAAACCATTGATGCGTCCAGTGCCGAATCTGCCCCATCAGCTCGGCTATGTGACCACCCAGCACCTGGTGAAAGCCCATGGTTTCACATAGGAAAATGGGGGATGAATATTACTGGGAAACATTTCAATATCATGAAAGTTTCAAGACTTGGTATATGTGGTATATCAGCATTCAGAATATCATCGTTTTTTCCAAGAATGCTTTCACAAATATACCATCTGGTTATTTAACATAGCCATGGTATAAATGGCCCATTGATAGATGGTTTACCTATTAAAAATTGTTATTTTCCATGGCAAACTGTTAAATAACCAGATGGTAATTGGTTTATCATCAAAGAGGACAGGATCCAAAAACCATCCCAACTCTGCTGCGCCGGGCGCTTGGATAACTAGGATGCCCAGTCTGACTTCCCAGCCCAGTTTCATCGAGGGAAATGGTACTCTCGTGACCAAACTTATGTCTCCAGTTGATCAGAGGGAGCACCTCCACCGGGTATATTGTCAAGTTATGTTTACTGTAAGGTTTAAAGTGACAAGCTGTCTATCAACAGCAGAGACGTCGTCAAGAAGAAGTGACAACAGTATCAGTGATTCTCAAGAGCGTTTTTCCAAGCAGCAAACAGCAAAAAATAACGAATGGGACACTAAATTCACTGCTTCGAATTGTTTCCACATCAAGAATGTCTTTCATAGACCAATAATAAAGACGATTTGATCTAAAACCCTGTTAAACAGGCAATGTCAAAAAATGAACTGACAAGGATTGTGGAGGTTCTTTCAGGGTGGCCGCAGGCCGAAAAACCGCGGGCCACCGTACCTTGTCACAGGCATCGACTGCGATGCCATAGTTGAGGATGTTCGGAAGGAGTTGCAACTGCATCATCGCCTCAGCGGAGAAAGTGATGGATTTGCAACACATGATGTTTGGCCATGATTTGCTACGAACAGTATTACCATCATTGTTGTTATCTTTATTTCGCATGATCAATGCAAACTCTGAAGCAAGTATCATAAATTGTCATTTGCTGTTCGAGCGTTGTTGTCGTGATCTATCTGAACTGTCTCTGACTCTTATGATAAATAATAAGATGTATATATTATAGTTATATATAATATGTATAGTAACTAATAGTTCAAAAATGATGATCATGATCATAAACATAAACATAATTCATCATCATCATCATCATCATCATGACCATCCACCTCCTTCCGCCCTCACCTCTAACAGCTCCAGCGTTTCCTTCCACTGCACAGCCGTTCCCTCCAAAGAACTCAGCGCAGCGTTGTAGACCAGGTCCTAAGTTTGCCGCGCAGCGTTGGGATATCCCAACGAACACATGCAAAATGGGATATGGCCGTTACGTGTACCCAGCTGGAAATCCAGACATCATGGGGATATGGAGGTTGGTTTGATGACCATCCCCAAATGGATGAGTAAGTCGCCTGTTTTCATGGGAAACATGGATTAAAATGGGGAAACAGACAGACCCTCGATCACTGGGAATATAACGGATTGTACCGGGAATATCATACGATGTCTGGATAAAGCATAGAGATGTTGAGTGGCCACTGGAAACGTGGAACCAAGAAAAACACCTTGATGTTTCTTGGAGAATGACCCAGACATTGGGATTTTGAAGGGCAAAATGGGCATGTCTCATGGCAGACACAGCAAATAATATTCGGAGATGGCTATGGGTAAAGTCACTGGAGTACCTGTCCGGACCCACTGCTAAGCAGGGGTTCAATAATTTTGACCCACACCCACTGGTGGTTTCCAAACCCCTTCTGAAAAGTACTCATCCCAACTTTCTCCATCCCAATCTGAAGGACCAATCTGAAGAGTGGGGACAGAAGCAACATACATTCAATCATCTAAAGGAGATATGACAGGAAGCCACAAAATACTTGTGCCATGAAGATTTGAATCCACAGCCATTGGTGTCTGAAACAATGGGTCACAGTTGCATGCCCTTGGCTTCTTGTTCAAGGTGAATATCATCGGAAAAAATGCGATCAATTGCAGGGCGGATTGATCCATGGAATCCATGGCCCTTGATACGTCCAGGTTCAAAATGGTTCAAACATAATTCAAAAATGCTACCCTCTGGTAAACTGTCACATAACTATGGAAAATCACCATTTTCAATGGGTAAATCCACTATTTCTATGGCCATTTTCAATAGCTATTTTGACATAACCAGAGGGTAAACCATTCCAAATCTGTCCATCCTCACAAGCCCCTGAGCTCCAGACTGATGCTGGAAAACCTCCAAAAGATGTGAGGATTGGCAGATGGATGGGGAGATTGGAACATCTCAGATTTGGGGATGGGTCAAAACCAGGTACCCCTTCTGTTCACATCAAAATAGCTGGTAAATGGATGTGAATAACCCACTAAAAATGGTATAAAAATAGGTATTGATCCATACCCATTTACATGCGCAGCACCGAAATCTAGAAAACCACCATCCACTGGAAAAAAACTCAGGAGAGTAAATTCACAAGGCTTCATGGATAGTGAAATCATCATCCACATGGGGTTGTCCAAGAAGCCCAAGCTGTCAGATGTTCAGCCTACCCAGCTTGAAATGTGGAGCTCCAACTAGTCCTCAGCAATTCTTGTTCCTCGCATCATCATTTGTGTCCTGGTTCACCCCTCATTTGCTTCTTCATCTACACCCTCCTCCCGCTTGCTCCAAACACTTCGGCAGGCATCCTCCACGCACTGATGAAGTTTACAATCAAAAACCACCGCTTTTCTAATGGAATTCCCATGAATCCCAGCCAAATATGGAGGGAAAAAACGGCAAAAAACCCTCGAAGTAAAGCCTCAAATCTAGGTGTTATATCCCAACTTATAGGGGTTTTGAACCATAGTTATACCCATTAATAATCCCTGGCCCTGGCCCCAACCATTGCCCGCCTCTCTGTGCAAGCAACCACAGCGCCTTTCGCCACTGGCGCCCCAGCGCACAGCCGCTCAGCGCGCTGCCACGGCTGACGGCGTCAGCGCGAAGCACCAAGTGGTGCAGAGACTCGAAGAGCTGCAGGGCATGGGGCCACCTGGCCGAGATCGTAGCTAGTAAAGGGACGATATATGATGATATATGTCGTCCATTATAGATATCCCATAGATGTATATAACTTATATACACATATGGGATATCTATGAATCATGGATTGCATATATGATATTGGTATCTTAATGGTATCTCTATATACATATTTATAGATATGGTGTCCCATATGCAATGCCATTGTAGATGCAGTGCAAATGGAGCACTGGTTCCTGAACCAATCATGCGAAAATCCCGTGCTACTGCCAACATGAAACCTCTCGAAATGGGTTTGCGGCGAGTTTGTCTGAAAATGGTAAAGACACCCCCCAAAATGCGCCAGGATTTCGAGGAAAAAATGATGATTCACCAGTCAATAAACTTAGGTTTACCCTCTGGTAAATTAACATAACTATGGAAAATCACCATTTTCAATGGGTAAATCCACTATTTCTATGGCCATTTTCAATAGCTATTTTGACATAACCAGAGGGTAATTTTTTGGGAAATCTGAACAGCCTTCGGAGTTTCGCACCTGGAAGCGGCACCACAGGCACTCTGGGCAGCATTGCAGGAGATCACATCAATCTTCACCAGGCCTTTCGCAAGCGCCAACAGCTCCAAGGCCTGCAGGCAGGCTTGACACGGAAATGTGGTCCATGGGTTTGGAGGGGCCCCGCTAGACCTGGGATAGTGTGACTAGTGTGGGATTCCCGGAACGTCTTGGGGATTCTTCAAATGCCATGAAGAATCAGAGGTTTCTGTTAGTATCAAACAATTTGTTTTTGGTCGTCATTCTAAAGAAAGTCATACAATGACAATGACACTACAGATCAATTGCTCTCCAGCAAAAACGGCAATGGGAATTCCACATGTTCAGTGGGAAATGAATCCACCAAGACATAGTGTTCTTAGCATGTTTAGCTTACTTGAGTCTACTCAAAAATCACTAGATACATTACTTTAAATCCTTCCCATCTTCCAAAGTGCCGGGTCGCTCCATCTACAGGAATGCTGTCAAACCTGGTGTGCCTTGTCAGAGAGTAAAAAAACACAGAAACCTCTGAAACCCATGGCTTGGTGACTTACGCCTTCTACAGGTGGCTCAATGTGATTTTCAAATGCAACATAATGCAACTGCAGTTGCCCCAGTTCTCCAACAAAAAACATCCCTAACAGGGGTTGCTTATGCACCTTAGCCTGGAGCCAAGGATTTAAGCCAAGATTTGGGATAGAATCCAGCTGGTCTGAGACCAAAGGGCCCTGGATAGAATCCCTGGCTTGACCCCACGGTAAAAACAATGCAAAATATATTTAAAAAAATAACAAAGGGTTTTGGAGATAAAATCCAAAGGCTTGAGATAACCCAACGAGCGATCAGAAAGAATATGTTAGAGATAGAATCCCTGGGCCGTTGTCGGAAAACCCGGAAAACGGGCCCGAGGACTTCGACCCCAAAACGGGGAGGTACAACGGGAAGACACAACGGGAAAACAACAACGGGAGACCCAAAGGGGGGAAAACACAACGGGGAAATGATTCAAAATGAGAAATGTCAGTTTTATATATATATATATATATATTTTTTAAAGCTGCTTTTGAAACATATTGAAATATTAAAAAATGATTTCTTTCAATAAATTATACCCAGAATCCATATATGATCCATATTGAATCACCAAACATTCCAAACCATTGCCGGAAATAAAATCCAAGGTTTGAGGTTTTGGAATTCCCAAGGTCACCAAGATGAAATCCCATGAGCTGAGATTTGGCATTTTATTAACTAGGCCAAGGATGCCAAAGATAAAATCCAAGGTCTGATAAACAAGCATAGATATATCATAGAAATAAAATCCCTTGGTCTAGCATCCAACATCTTCTCATTGTTTGAAGCCGTGCTCTGGATAAAATCCATGGGTCAAACATCAAATTTTCCCTGGCTGAAATCCCTAAAAAGGTTTGAAGACTTTAACTCGAGGCTCCAGCCTAGGGATTTCAGCCAGGCATAAGCAACCCCTGTATCCCTAGGTCCTAAGGTCCCCAGCCCCAGCAGCCCCAGCAGCCCCAGCAGCCCCACCTTGCTCCACTGCTGCCCCTTTTCACAGGCGCTGATGACCGCGTTGAAGGTCACCAGATCTGCCAACTGCACCGCCTGCGCCTCCATCAGAATCTGCAGGGCCAGTTGCCAGCGCGCTGCCTTCTCCTCGAGAAAGGATGGGACCGGGTAGCCTCAATGAAACCTGGAAAAACCGGGGAAAAACCTCGATTTTTCTGTTGAAAGAAACATGGAAGGATTCGAAGAAGAAGCTCTCCCCAAGGTTCAACTATCCCCTTGGGGGACCAAATCCCACGGACTGTAGGGGATCGCCATTGAGCAGTGGCTCAACTGTCCACCCCTTGGTTGATGAAATACAACGGAGGACCAACGGAGGGTCATCACTATTTCTTCGACCCCGCCTACTGATCAAACATGGATTTTACAAGACCTGATCCAACTTTGAAGTGGAAACCCCCAGTTTGTGGTTCACTTTTAGAATTAGGGGGTAACATCAAATCAAGCTTCACATGCACTGGCCAAGGCATTGAAAATCACCGTGTTTGGAAGCAGCTCCGCTTGCAGCAACTGCTGCAGGAGGTTCAAGGCATGCTGCCATTCAGCTGCTGTTTCACATGCACTGATGGCTGCACCGAAGCAAACCGCATCCTGACACGGAACGAGATGGCCCATGGTGCAGATGCTGCTATGGTCCGACCGAAACTCCCCCAAGGGGCAAAAATGGTCAACTCGTGAAATCAATGCCTGGCCTGCTTGGCATCTGCCCAACCAAGAATCACACGGTGCAAAACCCAACTTCCCCAGGAACTGTAAAATTCCGCCATCGGAAATCTGTTTCACAAGCACAAACTGTCACGTCTTCAACCCGAAAACCTCTTGACCAAAAAGACAACATCTCCACCAACCATCCCATTCCATCAACCATCATCCCATTCCAAGCCACTGCTTGAATCCTCTCCATCATCAAGTCCCCCAACAGCCGCAAGGCCCAACGCCACGTCAACCTGCAGCAACTCATCACAGCACCATAGGTCACCAGGTCCGGCACCATCCGCTCGCTGCAGCAGTGCAGATGCAGCGCGCAGGGCCAGGCCACGCTGCCCTTGGCCACATCCAACGTCCACGATGTGGACGTGGCATGGCGTTGGGCCCCGGGAAACGCTGGGTGTTTTTTGGGAGATGAGGGAAGGCAAGTTTTGGAGGACCCAAAGATCATCAAAGATATCTGATTTTATGTTGATTTATATTTTTTCGGGTGAAGTTCGAGTTAAAGTATGTTAAAGTTGGGTCTGTGAAGTCTCTGTGTTGAGAAATGATGAAGTAGATCCGGAATCGATAGAGAGGTAGGGAACAAACGAGTGAACAATGAATGCTGGACATGCTGCTGTGTGTATGTATCTTTGTTCAATGACATGATTGACGACTGCTCCACAAAACGTACCTTCCACCTTATTCCTGCCATTCCCGCCAAGCATCGCATGCGCTGATGGCTGCATTGTGCAGAAAGATGGACTTGGAGTGATTCTTGTCAGAAGCTTCCTGCCAGCTCACACATGGCGGAAATTCAGGGGGTGGAGAGGAAGCAATCTTCTTCATCGGAAAAGCGGCGATATTCTTTGGTCAGAAAATGACCAGTGAACCAAAAGAAGAAACTTTAATCTTTGACCCAAGTTGGACTCGTACCAGTCGACCTTGCCAAGACAAACATTGTTCCAATGTGCCCCATTTGATTTCCCCGTGGTTTGCCTCCCTACTCCTTGGGGATGAACTTCCCATCACTGCAGATCCAATGAGCAAAGCCCCAGAGCATAGTGGCCCTTATTTCCAAAAAAGAACAGGTTGGATATCGCAACCCCCAAGAAGATGGAAAAGTCAAATCCGACCAAAATAGTGGTAAATCATTGTTCTATCTTTTTTTGGGGGGTTACTCGCCGAAGGTCAACCTGTTTGGACTTCATCACTATTTTCCCCATGCGATCCTCAAGAAGTGCCAGGGAAAGTTGCCATTGCCCCGCCCGGCCGCAGGCACTGATGGTGGCCGTGGTGACAAAAGATATGGCCTTCCCAGTTGCAGCGGATGGCAACCCATCTTAAGCATGGCGACCCATCCAAAAAAGAGAGGCCGGACATGATTTTTGTTTCTTTGAACCATACCTCTTCAAACATCATTTTAGACCACCAATACTTCCGTCCGTTTCTCAATTTGTCGAGTCTTTGTATCTTCCCTGGCTTGAGAAGCAATGTTAGATTTCTGGTGGCGATATGGGTGGTCAAAACTGGGTACCTCTAAAGTTGGATGGGTACCTCATTTATACTATGCATGAACTAAGATTGGTATTTATACATATTTATACTATAAAATGTAGAGGTACCATGAGGTACCCATTGACCCATGTTTTACCAAAATGTTCACCATATTATTTTCCAAATTTTAGAAGCACCCAATCTGAGATACCCAATCTACAAACTGAGGTACCAAACTTGACCCATTCCGAGGAAGTCTGCCAAGGCCTCATCTCCAGGTCTCAATGAGCCCAGCAAGGTGGAGCAAGAGTCAAAGTAGCTGAGTGCCATCTGCCAGTAGCTACCTGGTGAATGGGGGCAATCAACCCCGCTTGAAATGGCTTGAACTAGCAGAAATGCTGGAGTTTAAATGGATTTATCCAATACAAATTGGGATTTGGAGATATTTTGGACGATCAACAACTGACCAACGAACGCTTGTAGACTTCGCCGATGACCAAGTGGGCTCTCCGAAGCATGGGCACCCCCAAAGTTCCAAGGAATCGACTGCTAAAACAGACCAGATATGATAATGATGGATTTTTGGTGGTCATAAGGATACACAAAAAAAAGAACACAGAATGGTGAGTTTTGGGTTATCAACAACAAATCAAGTATCAAAAAACTACAAGGTTTATCCACCATCCAGCCACACTTGGCGCAGGCATTGATCACAGCCGCATAGCTCACTGGGCTGGGATCAATGCTCCATCGCCTCATGTCCTCAAAGAGAAGGATGGCACGGTCGACATATGCAGCACGGCCACAGGCGTTCAACACCGAAGTCACCAGGACCACATCTGGACACCTGGGATTTGCAGCGGGGGATGGCCGAGTTACACCGAATGGTGCAGGATGCTGCAGGTATGCCCAGGTATGTGTAGGTGCTGTGCCCCCTTCGCTTGCCAAGAAAGTGGATGAGTCATCACAAATGACATCCCAACCATGGGGACCATGGGCGATGATTCCAAGAGAACAACTGGGTGTACTGTGGCTGAAATTTTGATCCGAAAATGGTTGGTTCATTGGTACCTCCGAGACACAACTGTTGCCGCTGCAGGGCGGTCAACAGCTGCAGGGCTTTGGTCCATTGCGCGGAGTCGGCCAAGGTCCTCGCTTGCACCTGGCTCCTGAAGTGCCCCATGTGGATGATCTTGCCGTGATTTTCCAGGACACCAATGAACATGGAGGAAAATGGAGGAAAATGGAGGAAAATGGGTTGGAATCCAAGAATGGGCAGAAATTGGCTAGAAATCCAGTGAGATTGTGTTAGGACTCCATTTGTCAGGTTCGGAGTTACTGAGTCAAACTTCAGAGTAGTTCTCCCATGGTTACCCTTTTGGAGACTGGATCTCCTCAGCCTTCACCGATGCCGCTGCCATCCAGTTCCCCGAAATTCCGCAAATTTGGGTACTGCAACATCCCATGATTCATATGATTCATCATCAGGTTCACATATGTTCACCCTTAAAATGACATAAAATGACCAGAAATTGGAGGAATAAAAGCCCCATTTTAGCAGTGTCTCAATTCGTCCTGGGCAGAGTTCCAGGCTGCATCCCTCCCTATTTTCACGCGCAGGTCACTGGATCCACAGCGAAATCCCGGTGGATTTCCCGGGATCATCATGACCTCATAGGACTGCCATGGCGCGTGAAGCTGGCACGCCACTTGGGCCGAGAAGCAGGTGACCCAGGTGGCTGTCAGTGCAAAACATGGTGGCTGGTCTCATCAGAACAACGGTAGCAGTAAGGAGACAGAAGATCACTAGATCACTGTTATTCTCAGATTCCAGAGATACACAAGAACACTCCGCCCTTGAATGAAGCCCAGCTTAAATAGCAAACAACTGGAGATTGTACAGGACACATCAGCTGATCCATCTGGGCACGGCTCAATCGACCCTTAAAACATGCAACGAAACGACCTGCGTTCGCCAGCCACGCCAGGCATGGTGGTCATGGCAGGTTTGGGTATGGTTCAGCAGTACCGTCCGGTTCTCTGACCTGATAAATCCAAATTTCCGCATGTATCACGGGAAAGTTGGGGAAATCCTCTGCAGATAGAGAGCTTTCCAGTGCCAGGTATTGCCAGGTTCGATTACCCAGGGGAAGTATCTCTAAATGCCATGCTGTTGGAATTTTCACTCACAGCCAATCTTTCAACAAATCTCCTTCTTCAAATCAGACAAAGATTTGGGTGTTCCCACTTTTCATCATTCCAACAACAGTCTCCAAAGTCCGGATGGGCTGTTGGGTTCCGTGCACATGTTGGGTACCAATCCAGCTGAGGGCCCTCTGAGCCATAAAGCTGCCTAAGGAGAGTCCTGAAATCCTGCATCGAACCATGGATCATCATGGCTCATCATTGCCCTGGCTTTTACATCAAGAATTGGTGGTTTATCTCGATGTTCATCCCAATATGATCATATTATTTCCTGTGTCATAGCTTTTGAACCACCCCAATTTTCAGTGATTAAAATCATTGCCTCCCAGCTAGCTCCAAATGGTTTGGACCCACTGTTTACATCCACTTGCCACATGTATCTTCACTCATCTCTTTCCAAAAATGGTCTCAAAACAGGTTCGTCAACATTCACCTCACAACCAAGGCTGCTCACCCTAAGAGGGGACCCTCTTAACGTGCCCTGCGATGCACGCGATGCACCTGTTCGAGTCGAAGGTCTGATAGTAATGCTGACAAAACCTTGGGTCAAATTTTGCCAGACAGCACAAACCTACAGTTGCAGCTAAGAAATTTTGATGAACCAAGAAAGATGCCTGATATGCCATCCTATAATATATCCTACTATAAGTATATATATATATGTATAATATATATATATATTATATATATTATATATATACTGCTTGCAGGACAGATGTCCCTATGGGCTATAACTACGCCCAAAAAATGCACTCAGCAAACTGTAGTCTGTCGCTGAGCTTCCCTGCTGCTCACCTATTTGCTGAAACGCCATCACCGCCTCCATGTTCATGAGATTGGGTGTGTTTCTCAATTTTGAAGGCATCTATCCAGTTGGTTAAACTCCCATGTATCCATATGCATCCAACCATCCATGTCCATGTGTTGGATTTTCACCAAATTTGAGACTCACTGTGGGGTCCAGCCCTGGAATGGAAGGTCCAGAACTTCAGAGAGCCTCGCAGAAGAGAACTCTCTTTGGTTTCAAATGTCAAACGTGTCCCCAAAATATCGAACTCGTCGATTTTAATCATCACAGGCAGGATGGGAATTGTTGGAACATGTTGGAACCACCAAAAAAGTCATGACTGAACTGACTGAAACATCTTGAAACACAAAAAAAAAAAGAGGGCGCCACGCCAGCCTTGACCCTGGTGCTGATTTGTTCACCATCTGTCATCCCCAAAGCCAACAAGGGCTGCTTGACTGAGAGTCCAATTCCATGTGTTTTTATAGTAACCAACAATATAATAAAGTGACAAGTTACCACTATTTTAGGAGTTGATTTTTCAAAATGTTCTATCTTTGCTGCGGGGTTACTATTCACCCAGCACCAGAATTTTCAGCCTCAGCCGACCACAGCAGCCACCACAAGAGCCCACTGCACTTCTTGTGCGACGGGCGGCCGCAGCCAGCGGTTTAATGTTCCCCAGCTGCAAACGGCAAAAAGGACAGACCCTGGAGCTTGGCAGGGCACTGATTTTCCCGTCCATGGTTGCTAAAAACCGCCCGTGTTGGAAACTCCAAATGAATATATAGAATTAAACAAGGACTCTGTTTGGGGGGTATTGATTATTAGGGAATACGGAACAAGGATCATTGGGTTATCATTTTCTGGGTGCTCAATCCTTCGTTTTGCAAATCTGTAACCAGTGATAAGTGTGTGCAAAGTCCTGGACTATCGGTTACAACCAGCCCACACCCCCTCGCTAGCTGGGCATGTTGTTTTTCTGATTGCAGGACTAGATCAAAACAAATCCTTGTCAAAGTTCGGCAGCCTGCGCCAATTTTTTTTGAGAAGGTCCAAGAGCTTGTGACTTTCAATAACTATCATTATTTCGGAGTGAACACACTAATTTTGGTTCAAACAAACGGTTCTGCGGCCCTTCTTTTGTGGGATGCAAGTGTGTGTTGCAACCGTGTTTGGCACGTCCATTTTGTCGCCGCGCACAGAATAGCGGGTGCCGCATGGCACATCTGGCGGGCGTTCCTGGCAAAGTTGGGTTCCCCGAGTCGTGGCAATCCACAGAAAATTCCAATCAAAAAACGATTCCCACTGTCAAAATGGTGTGGCATCACCGAACTACATGACTACATGGGTACACTACCCTAAGACCCCGTGGTTTATCATCATTTCCCCCGCCAGAATTGCCTTTAATTGGGCTACTTTTTGGCACTGCTGGGCACCCTTTTTGGCCGCCTGTCATCCAGCTACACGAGCTCGAACCTGGGTGGTGAGTTCCCATGCAAAGTCAAGTTGTAGAGCTGCAGGTAGGAGGAACAACGTCACAAAAATAACAAACATGAACAGGGCAGGCAAATGACGTTATTCCCTATATAACATCCTATATAACAGGCAAATAACATCACTGCCAAACGTTATTCACACTGCCAAACATAACATCCCTGTAAAATAGGTCCTGTTCCCATGTCCTTTTCCCGTTTGGCAGTGTGGCAGTGGCCGTCGATGCTGGGCGTATTGGCCAACTGCCAACCATGGTGGAACCAGTAAGGGAAATCAAGGGCCAGGAGCTGTGACCGAAAAACATCCCGCTTTGAAGAATGCTTTTCAAATGTGAAAAATCAGCAAAGGTTCAAAAGAAACTGGGGATAAGAATAGCAATACTAGTGATCATATAATTCTTCTGACATTAACACCAGACATCTTAGAGAAGTCATGTTGGCACGTCCCACCTTTGACCTTCGACCCATTCGTCGCCGGGACCCTGGCCATCCTTGAGTGCTGCTGTAAACGCTTCCTGTGTGAAAGGTGCCGACGATCTCAACCATCTGAGAATGACTTCCCTACCACCATTAAACCACCATGGATTTGGTGGTTTAATGGTGGGTTAATGGTGGTTTAATGGTGGGAGTTCCACTTCCCTACCACCAAATCTTTGTGTGGGAAATCAGTGGAAACCCAACCCTTTTAAAAAGGGACATGGTAAAGGCTGCCTCAGGTGATTCTTACAGGTGGAACTACACATCGAATCTGGAAAAGACATTCGATTTGCTGATGCGGAAACCCCAACAAAATAAACAGGTTTTCTTTTTGGATTTGCCAAGTAGTGGATTTTCCACTGGCCAAATATCTCAAAAACAAACACATCTTCAGCAAATCCGTTGATCACCATTAATAATAATTAGTCACCATTAATCACCATTATCCATCATTAATGATCATTAATCCATATTATCTTGGTGATTAATGGTGATTAATATTGATTATCCACCATTAATCACCATTAATCACCAAGAAAATACCCCAGCAAGAAACCACGAAGATACTTCCAGCGGCCCCATCCGACCTCTTAGCGACTAATTTGGCTACTGCAGCGGTCTTCTTGTCTCCGCCAAGCACCTGGGTCCGGGACCAAAAACTGATCACTGGGATATTTACGGGCTTTTTAGAGATCTAAAGAGGCAGCCAGACCGCGAAGGGCTCTATGCGGAGTTCGCTCATCATCAAAAAATGTGATCCAGTTGAGAATCACCGATGTAAGGAGATAGCAAGGCCTGGAAATCAAAAACTTTTTGGGTATGGGTCAGAACGTTGCTACCCTGGTTTTCACACCCAGCTCTCAAATGGTCCCAGCTCGCTATGGACCTCTCCAGCTGAGACAGGCACAGGCTGAGCCTTTAAAGCAGAGCGCCTGTCAGCGTGGGCTACATGATATACGCACCAACAAATGAGATGAAATGTATTTCTAATTACCGTATAAGCCTATTGTTCCTATAGCAACCCCTCAAAAAGGATGCAAAGCTAAAATCCTACTAAAATAGTGATGAATTACTTATTTGTCTATCTTTTTGCGCACTTATGCAGGCAGCTCTATCGGCTGATTGCTGCGGGAAGTGAAGTTGTTGTTTGTCCATTTGAATCTCTGTCAGAAACGGTAGCAAATTTGTCCATCTCATTAAATTGTGACTGACCGACCCTTTTTCTACTAGTATGATCTAATATCCTCAAAATTAGGTGCCCATAAATCGGACTTGCATGCTGAGAAGAGAACATTCAAGGGATCCATCATGTAGAGGGCGTTGAATCTCCCGCCTACCCCATATCATTTCCAAGTATCTCCATCAAGCTGACTATGTCCTCATCCTCATCCTCATTATCATCATCATCATCATCGTCATCATCATCATAATCATCATCATCGCCATCGCCATCGTTATCGCCATCGCTATCACTGCCGCCACTACCAGTACCACTCACGTGGGTCTCAAGAACTTGTGACCCAAAATGACAGCCCTTGCCGTGGACAGGTCAAAGTTCCCATGATTTTTCATGATTTTTCCATATGAATCGGAGGATGAATAAGTGCCACCTCCAAAATCAGACTGAAAAATACTGAAAGCCATGCAGGGTGAACTAACCCATACCCACCCTCTTGTAAGCCATTCAAATCACCATCGATATGGCTTCTCCATGGCCACAAAGAAAACGCCCTGTCACCTCGCGGCCACTTCGATCTTCTCATGGTCTGTGGAAAAGGAGACCTGCCGGGCCTGTCAAATGGTGAAATCGCCAAGCATGGCAGATGGATGCTCGTCCGCCCGATGTCATGCATCGTGTGGTTTCAACGATACCTCTCTTGAGCACTTGTGGCGGGTGGGTCAATGTCCAAGGCCCATTTGGACCCATGAATTGGTTGTCTTTAGTTTGTCTGCAATCATCCCCTTCAGGGGGTCCCCGAGTTTGACCCATAACCCCCCCATTTAATGGACAGCTCTAAGGGAATCAAGATCGGAACGAAAAAATGTCGGGGAGCTGCTGGTGCTGATTTCCGACATCCTCAACCAGAGACACTCGATCTTAGAATCAACTTCCAGATTGTTGGGGGTTTCAAGCCCCATGAAACGTATCATTCATCTCAAACTCGGGTGGAACAGGAAGTTTCAAACCCACCAAACACACAACATGTCTTGGCCAACCCAGCTAAGCCACCCTTGCCGCACTGGTTTTCCCAGCCCACCTTCTGCGCGTCCTCCTCATCTTGTGGAACTAGGGGCACTGCGAAGTTGGGTTTCCCCTTCAGCCGCTCTTCCTGCCCATGGTTCGTGGTTACGAAGCCCTGAATCGACTCTGATTCTTGGGGGATGGTGAATCCCCATGAAGATCATGAAGACGGTGGAATGAGGTTTGGGAGGTCCAACATGCTGAAAATGTCATCTATTGATGGATCTTCGGTGCGCCTTTATGGCCAGAAATGATATGTCCATCCATTGTTGGTGAATCCTGAAATCATGATTCGTGGTTGATCATCAGTTGGCATCAACAAGACCTCTGACAACTGAGGGTGCCAAGGGTTCGTCCGCCTCCTCCATTCTCTTTTCCTCTTTTCTTTTGACTCGATGTGCTTTTCGCATGGCACAATTCCTCAAAACCCGAGAGCGAAGACCAAAATGGATAGATCCAATACCAATCCCTTCCCTATTGAAAAAAATACCCCCCGCAACCAGAATGTATTGGATCTATCATATTTGTGTCCCTTCTTGGTGGCATTTAGTACTATATTGGCTATCCCAATTTCAGGATAGTGAAGCATGGTTGAACCATATTGTAAACTGTGATTCTCCATGGAAACCCCTATGATGAAACCATGAGCCAGGCGCCAGCCATAGGCATCTTCACGGTCGTCTTGCAACTCCTACGGCCGCGGTCGGCCGCGGTCGGCCGCGGTCCCTGGTTTTCTGGGGATGTCAGATGGGCGCATCAGAAACTGAGGGGATTCGACCAAGAATTGTACTGGGATATACTCGTGGGGGGATATCATGGAGATATAGTGGGGTGTACCAACAGGATGATGCTTCGGTGTGGACAGGGGATACCCAGTTCATGGCCATTGTCACCGGCTTTCACACTGGGATACCGTAGTTTTTCATCCGCTTCCCGACAAGCTCGTCACTCGTTCATCCAAATAGATGATGTTCCTATGACAAATAGCTGGTACCCATCCATAGTTATAATGTGTACCTCAATTTAGTGCCATTTCAGCCGGGAGATTGAGGTTCCTAACACAATGGGATTGGTGTTTTCCACGCCGCCTGTCCTGCAAATCCGCCAGTCTTTCCTTGTCGCTCCGCTCCTTCTGCAAGTCACCTGAGCAGTTACAGGGATCGCCATCACGAATGCCCGGGGTAGAACTATTGAGTAACAAGACTTGAGAAGCCAACACTTTGGGGATTGAACCAACAAAATTGCAGGGACAAGGACCGGAAGTCTGAAATTCACCGCCAAAACTTGAATTCAATCCCCATTTCTCCAGATTTACTGGATGGAACCCCACTGACCCTCTCAGCCAATAAAAAAAGGGTGCACTGCTCATGAAAGACCACCCTACCACACTTTCCATCGAATCGTTTGTCCCAATGGAAAACCCTGTTAGGTTGCAAAAAACCTATGAGTTCCCTGTTAATTCTTCCTTGGAAAACCATGGCAGAGCTCCCACCGAGTCCACCCGGGTCCCCAAACGCAAGGTCTTCTCCACCCGAAACATGGGATCTGCGTCCATCCGGCGCCGGGTCTCGGGATCGTTGAGCTCCAGGGTTTCGGAGTCCTTCAGCCAGGAGGGGTAGCCCAAATCTGGGAAACCATCAAGCTTCACCTCCTGAAATTCTGATCAGTAATATTAGTGATATTATGCTATATTTTATATTATATTAAATCATATATCATATCATGTTATGTTATGCTATGTTATGTTATATCGATTGTTTAATTTATATTATATTATATGATGTTATCTTATATCATATCATGTTATCTTACTTTATATTATGTTATATTGTATTGTATCATATCATATCATATTCTATTATGTTATATTAATATAATATAATATAATATAATATGATATGATATAATATAATATAATAATATTATATTATATTGTATTATATTATATTATATTATATTATATTCTACTATATTATAGATATTTTGCATATGTATATATATATATATATACAAACTCTATCAAACTCTAGCTTCAGAATGGTCTCACTGGGAAAAACAAGGATGGCAATCGTGTTTGTCAACCAAACTGGATGGTTTCATCCCAAAAATGACTGGCTGCTGGGTCAAGTATGGTGTGTTCAGGCGCAGCCAGTGCATTCCATCAAATGGATGTGGGTCAAAATGGAAGACCTAGGGGACCACAGATGTTAGTCTAGTTTAGTATTAACCATCCAATTATTGGGGTACCTAATTTTGACCCATACCCAAATGGATTCCAATGGTACCCTCTGGTAAACTAACGGAAAATCACCATTTTTTACAGAGATGGCAACAACAGTTGACGACTCCTGACGACTCCTGACGACTCTGACGCTGACGACTCCTGACGACTCCTGACGACTCCTGACGACTCTGACGACCTCGATCGCTGACGACTCCTGACGACTCCTGACGACTCCTGACGACTCCTGACGACTCCTGACGACTCCTGACGACTCCTGACGACCCCTGACGACCCCTGACGACCCCTGACGACCCCTGACGACCCCTGACGACTCCTGACGACTCCTGACGACCCCTGACGACCCCTGACGACCCCTGACGACCCCTGACGACCCCTGACGACTCCTGACGACCCCTGACGACCCCTGACGACCCCTGACGACCCCTGACGACTCCTGACGACCCCTGACCGACTGCCACAGGAGATCTTTGTCCGTTTTGACGCCCCTGTCTCTGACCTTTGTTCGTGTGTTGAACGTATTGGTTTGTAGGGTGGATGGGCGGGAAATTTCAACAATTTACCCCACATATTCTGTTGAGCGTATTGCTTTGTGAGGTCGAAGGGGTTAAATCATGTTAAATCTATAACAATGACTCATATGCTAAACCTATTGCTTTGTAGGGTCGAGGGAGATAAGTTGCAAAAATGGCTCAAGATGCCAATGTTCTTCACATGTTCAACATATTGGCTTGCTGTAGGAGAAGGAATTAACGAATATAAGAATGATTACATTTCATTTTGTTCATATATTCAACGTAATAATTTCCAGGGGAAGGAAAAGACACCTTAAACATGGTTCATGATGCCAAGTTGTTTTATATGTTGAACGTAGTGTTTTGGTAGGGGACAGCGGGGAAAAAACATAACAATGACTCAAGATTCCAAATTGGTTGATATGTTGAGCGTAGCGTTTTAAAAGGGATGGGGGGAGATGGAGGGAGTACATTCAAACTTCAAAACAACGACTCAACATGTCAACTTTGTTCATATATTACAGGTACTGCTTTGTATTTTGTGGAGTCGACGAGAGGTTATAAATTGCAAAAATAACCCCACATGTCAATTTTCTGCACTTGTTCAACCGTTTGCTTTGTAGGGTCGAGGGGGGCTAAATTTTAAGAATAACTCGACGTGCCAACTTTCACCGTAAAAAAAACTCGACGTGTCAACTTTCACCGTTTTTTTTTTAACGTATTGCTTTGTAGGGTCGAGGGACTGTAAATTTCAAAAATGACGCAAGATGCCTTTCTTTCCATGTGTTCAACGTATTGTCTTGTTGCAGGGGAAGGCAAGGAACATTTTGACATAAGTAAAGATGCCATGCTGGTTCATACACTAAACATAGCGTTTCGTAGGGGACAGGGCAGGTAAATCCAAAAGAATGAATCAACATGTCAATTTGATCCATATGTTGAATGTATTGCTGTGTATGGTCCAGTGGGCGTAGATTCCAAACATGACTCGAAGTTCCAATTTTGTTCGTTCAACGTCTTGCTTTGTTGTAGGGGAAGGTAAAGACATTTCAAACATGACTCAGGATGCCAAGTCGGTTCATATGTCGAACAAAGTGTTTTGTAGGGGGCCGGAAGGTAAATCTATAGCAACGACTCAACATGTCAACTTTCTTCATATGTTGAATCAACCGTATGGTTTTGAAGGTTCGAGGGGGTGGTAAATTTTCAAAATGACACCACGTGGTAACTTTCCGCATACACTGAACGTATTGTTTTGTAGGGTCGAGGGGGGTAAATTCGCAACAACGATTCCACGTGTCAACTTTCTTGTAGGACCGAAAAAGGGAATAAATATTGGTAACTGAGAAATGACTCAAGCTGAGAATTGCCCCCATGTGTTCAAGATATTGTTTTTGTGGGGGAGGGCGGATGACAAAAGATGACTTAACGTTTCAACTTTGTTCCTATCTTCAAGGTTCTGACTTGCATGGAAAAGGACATGTTAAACACGTCTCAAGATGCCAAACAGGTTTGTTTGTTGAACGACTTTGAACGTATATTTTTGTAGGGCACAGGGGAGTAGATCTTTAACAATGACTCAACATGCCAAGTTTGTTCATTTGTTGAAGGGGGTGCTAGCTAGGTAGGGTCGAGGAGATGTAGATTTTAAAAATGACTCCGCATGGCAAGTTTCTTCATACCTTAAACCATTTGTCCGGTAGGGTCGAAGGGACGGAAATCCCAAGCATCACTCGACATGCGAAATCTCTCCATATGTTCAACGTGTTGTTTTGTAGGGTCGATGGGCTGTAAATTTCAAAAATGACTCAAGATTCCTTTTTTTCATGTGTTCAATGTAAGGTTTTGTTGTAGGGGAAGGCAATGAACATTTTAACATAAGTCAAGATGCCATGCTGATTCATACGTTAAACAAAATGTTTTGTAGGGGACAGGGCAGGTAAATCCAATAGAATGAATCAACATGTCAACTTGATCCATATGTTGAATGTATTGATTTGTAGGGTCAAGGTGTTGGTAAAATTCCAAAATGTTCAACTATTTTCTTTGTAGGGACGAGAAGGGTAAATTTGAAAACTGACGCGACATGTAAGCTTTCTCGGTATGCAAAAGGTTTTATTTTGTAGGGTCAGTCGAGGGGTTGTAAATTGCAAAATGACTCAAGATGCCATTTTTCTTCATGTGTTCAATGTATGAATTAGAAAGGGCGGGGGTGAAATGTTTCAAGACAAATCAACATTTCAACTTTGTTCATACGTATATTCAACGTATTGATTTTTGAGGAATAAAGAATACTTTTTGAACATGACTCAGGATGCCACGTTGGTTCATATGTTGAACGTAGTGCTTTCAAGAGGACAGCGACGAAATCTACAAAATGACTCAATATGCCAATTTTCTTTACATGTTTAACGTACTGCTGTGTAGGGTCGGGGGGTCGTAACTTTCAAAAATGACTCAAGATGAATTGTCTTAATTTGTTCAACGTATTGTTTTGTTGAAGGGGAAGGAAATGACATTTGAATCATGACTCGAGATGCCAAGTTAGCTCTAATGTTGAACGGACGTAGTGTTTTGTAGGGGACGGGCGGGCAAGTTTGTAGCAATGACCCGACTCAACATGTCAACTTCATGGTAAGGTCAGGGGGGAATAAATTTCAAAACTGGCTCAAGATCTCAATTTGTTTCATGTGTTCAACATTCATATTGTTTTGTGGCGGGGGGAGGCATAAAAAAATGAACTGACTTAAGCCTTCATCTGTGTTCATAGTCAACGTGTTGCTTTGCAAGGGAGGAAACGATATTTTAAACGCAACTCAAGATGCTACGTTGGTTCATATGTTCAACTATGTTAAACGTAGTGTTTTGATGAGGTAAACCGATGAGAAGAACTCAGCCAGTCAACTTTTTCCATAAGTTCAACATATTATCTGGTAGGGTCGATGGGTGGTAAATCACAAAATTGACTCAAAATGCCAATTTTCTTCGTCTGTTCAGCGTATTGTTTTGTAGGGTAGGGTAGGGGGGCTGAAATATGTGAAAATAAATCAACACTTTTGACTTTGTTCATAAATTCAACGTGTTGTTTTGTGAGGAAGGAAAAGACATGTTCAACATGATTCAAGATGCCCAGTTCGTTTACATGTTGAATGCCTTGTAGGGGATGTGTTTGAAAATCTATATAACACTAACTACATGTGTCAACTATTCATATAATATATGTTGAACCTATTGCTTTGCAGGGCTGATGGAAGGTAAGTTTATTCCCCTCTCTTACGCGCTATATGTTCTGACATAGTTTACGACATACCATCTGGAAGTATTTATGGCAAATATATTCTGTACTCGTCGCGTTCATGCACACTCGTTTCTCGTTTCTTTGATCATACACAATTCACTCTACAGCTGTCGCTTGATCAGCGTCGGTTCTTTTGTCACCTGAAAAGGCATGGGGTCACAGGTGAGCACAAATAAAATCTTGAAGTGCGATCGATGGCAAGACTGATTGTGAGGCTGAAGCAAGTAAAACATCCGAACTGTCACCACAAGAGAGAGAGAGTCGCCGAGACACGTCAATCATCATGGTGTCACGAGCGGACATCAAATAAACAACTGACAAATCACAGAAATAAATCACTGAAAAGCCCCCAGTCTGCAATCGCAATCAACCTCACCCTTTCACAGGGCGGGTTTCTTTGGGTCGGGACAAATTGGATGCCTGGTGATCTCTTGAGCTAGTCACCAAAATGGCATACGGAAAAGAGGTTGATTGATCAATAGCAAATAAAATGACATGATGATCAAAGACAAGAACAGACAAGTAACTCCCCTCTCCTGACCAACCAACCGTTAGATGGGACCTACTCGTCGCGTTCATGCACACTCGTTTCTCGTTTCTTTGATCATACACAATTCACTCTACAGCTGTCGCTTGATCAGCGTCGGTTCTTTTGTCACCTGAAAAGGCATGGGGTCACAGGTGAGCACAAATAAAATCTTGAAGTGCGATCGATGGCAAGACTGATTGTGAGGCTGAAGCAAGTAAAACATCCGAACTGTCACCACAAGAGAGAGAGTCGCCGAGACACGTCAATCATCATGGTGTCACGAGCGGACATCAAATAAACAACTGACAAATCACAGAAATAAATCACTGAAAAGCCCAGGCCCCTGCAGTCAGAACTTACCTATCGAAACTCAAGAGCTCACCCGGCCAACATGCCTGAACGGTTTTCCAACCTGCCTTCTCTCCCGTGGAGAGATCGTCTCTAGAAGGCCAATCAGCTGGGTTGGAATCAGTTGAAACTCTGTCAATAAAAACTCGAACTTGCAATTCAAAAATTAAGTTCCAAAATACCGACACGAGCGTGCACAAGTCTGATTTGCTGGAGTATCCTTTAACCAGAGCGGACTCCACGGCTTCAGAGTCGATCAGCAAAATCAAGTCAGTGCCAAACAAACGCTCGCGAAAGGTGTGTAAAGCTAAAATAGGAGCAATCATTTCAACAGGAACAATTTGGGTCTTCCTGGGAGCCCAGTTCTTCTGCATCTCTTTAGGTATCACCTCAGAGAACTGGAGAGGAGCCTCCCATCGTCTATCAAACAGAACTGCACCTACCCTATCCGGACGAGGATCATCGTCTCTCGGATCCGGTGTAAAACCATCAGTAAAAATGACTACGTCAGGTTTCTTGATCTTCTTCATCTCGATCGGTCGGGGAGGACCAGCTCTGATAAGATGTCGCCAGTGCTCCAAAGCAAACCGCAAAGGCTCGTCCAAAACGAAACCGGAATCACCAAATGGGAAACGAGCGTATTGGCGTTCAGAAATCACGCGCAAGAATGCACGGCCTACCTTTCCCCAGAGCTGGCTTGCACCAAACATCAGTTTGCCTTTCAATTTTCCAGCAGTTCCTGGATCCAGAAGACCTGAGTGTAAAATGTGGTCGATCTCTTCAATCAAGTCGGACTTACGGTCGTCCTTGATCTCCAAGACAAAATCATCCAGGTTATAGGTAACACCTAGGATTGTGGGCGCTCGACTCAGTTGGAGCTTCTTACGATCGAACTTTGCGCCCAGCCACTAGTGAACATGTTGAGCTATCTGATGGGCGGATTCCACAGTCTGCACCGGTTCAAAACCGTATTTGTCGTCATAGAAACTGAAGGCGATCAGACCAAACAAGGAGACGAGGATCTCGTTGATAGCAGCCGATCGGCGATTGTAGTTGTAAACGGCAGAGACCAAACCAAAAGAATGCCCAATCATCACGAAGAAAGCAGTTTTTCCAGAAGCTGGTTCCTTCAAAGCGATCACACTGAACATGCGGTGATCAGGCCGTATAGGAACTTGACGGTACGCTTTTCTCTCATCCAAAACCCAACCTGCCAACTCCGAGCCAGGGCACATTGCTCTGAGCTTACGCAATGCAGCAACGTTGGAATCTGTAGATGGCAACTGGAGCTTCTCGGTGATCACTGTGGCTTGGTTAATCAGGTTAGTTGTTGCACTATCGCAACCCCTAACTTTATTCTTTTGAACAACTTCAAACCTTTGGGTGGGGATCCAATCATCCCTACCAACTAAAAAGGAAACATCTTTTTGATCAAAAACAGGACCAATACACGAGCCTTCATGAACATCTTCTACAGTCGCATCCCAAATCTTCTTGAGGTTCTCTGTGATTGGCACAGCTTGCACATGCGCAATGATCTTCTTCCGGATCTCCCAGGCCCGGCTTTGCATTAAGGCGACCGCCACGGGCGACTGCGCCTTCTCATAAGGCGGCCATCTGCCCGATCGCAGAATCGGCCCCACGATTGGAAAACCAGAAAGCAAGCAATGAGGAAGATCTTGATCAACCGAATTGATGGCCGCCAGCATCAGTTTGTAGAGCACGAGATGGCAAGTGACGCCCAGCTGCGCAGGTTCATGGTCCAGGACCCCCCTCAGCAAATAGCGCAGAGGGGCATCCGGGATGCGCCGCAAAATCTGATCAGTCGCCTCTAGAGATGACTGAGCGATCGCTCCCCACTTATGCAGAAGTGCTGAGCGCCGCTGCAGAATGTGCTCACTGGAGTAGGCGAACTGTTGTAGAGCCGCCTGCAAGCCAGGTTCCACGGCAATCTCGGTCGAGAACGGGTGATCGATGCTCATCGCCCACAAGATAGCCTGACCCGGCTCAGATTCCACCTCCAGCAAAGGTTTCATTGCACCACGTTTGAGCTGGTAGCCTGCTGCCGCCGCCAGCTGAGCAGTCAAATGTTGGCGATGGCCTTCCCAAGGCATGGCCTGGCCCAGCATACGCTTGCGCTTGCCCGTGCTGAGCAGCCCGAAAGAGGCCTCCATGAGATGCAGAGGGCGAACGCGAATGGCTGAGATGGCCTCAGCCATGGCCACACAAAGCAGGTGCGGGTATTCTTGAGCAAGCTTGGTGCGATAAACCACTTTGCCAAAGAACTCACTATATACTTGTCCTTGCAGAACTTCATGAGCGTGATGACCCGGGCAGCGCCTGTGCAGAGGCGAGAAAGCCGCATGAGTCACACACAGTGAGGTGGGCTTCATCGAGGGAGCCCCCCACGCACATTGATCAAAATGGATAAGCCAGGCGCGAGCGCACCGCAGAAGACGTTGTATCCCCCGAGTGCTCCAGATCAAACTCTTTTCAGGGTTTTCGATAGAAAAATCGCCTCCCATTTCAGCGACCCCTAAACAAACTTCGACAGTGCGATCAACAAACAGGTTGCCGATCTGCGCCAGAAACCAGTTAGAGCCTGAAAGCGCCGGCAATCCCTCCGGACAGGCGGGGCTGCGTAAGGGCGGCGGCCCCCCGTCCGCTTTGCGAGCTGCAGAAAAAGTGTTGCATGGTGTACCACAATGAACAAAGAAAATTGCCCCCATCTGCACGAGCTGCATGATGAAAGTCCAGCGATCTGCATCAAGAACATCAAAAGGGTCTTGAACATGCTGGATGATCATCACATCAATGGGTGGTAAGCAAGGAATTCCCATCTGCCGGACTGCGTCTGTCAAACGAGCCGTCCCTGCGAAAATTTCCAGAAACCAAGGGCCCTGAGCTGCCACTTCGTGAACGTCCTGTGGAACGTCTGCCCAACGGAGCCACGGTTGTTTCGGCTGTGCCACCGGAGCTATCGGAGCTTCAGAGCGAGTCAAACTCTGAGGCTCCTCATTCGCCCCAGCATGGGCCCCACAAAAGTGATCACTCCCACCTGAGGGGAGCCAATTCCCAGGTGGGGGAGCTGAGCTGGCTCAGTGATTCCCGTGCCATGGGTGCTCCTTCCCACATTCGACACAGGCATGCAAATTGCGGCAAGAATCGCCGAATCGGCAACCCAATGAGCAATTGTAGAATGGGCATCGCCGCTTACCTGAGTACTTGAAGGCGGTGATGGCTGACCATTCGTTGGCTGGCACACGGGCGTCTTTGGAGACTTTGGACTCCTGGCGCGCCCCCTTGGAATCGGCCAAGGTGGCTTTGGCTCGAGCGAGCACGGCTTTCTGCCTTTCACGACGAGCTTTGTTTTTCTTGGCCTTGGGTGAAACTTCGAGAGGTGAATCATCCGCTTCCCGAGCACGCTTGGGAGCCCGCGGTGGAGTAGAAGGAGCTTGCTGGCCAGCCTGCTTGAACTTGTCGAGTTCTGCGCTGCTACGCGCGTCATTCCAGAGCTGCTTGTGGTTGGCCAAGACCTCGAGCAGGGCGGAGGAGAACGTAGGGAAGGACTTCCTCTGATCATGGTTGAGTCGATGGACCTTCTTACGGATCAAGGAGTCGACTGTCAGCAACAGCGCCAACCCCTTGTTCTCATGCCGCCACTCTTCGAGCTCCGAGAGATACTTCAGGGGCCCGCGGGCAGCGGTGAATTCGCAGATGTTGAGATACTCAAGAGCCACGAAGAAGGCATGAAGCTTGTCCATCACCTGGCTCTCCGAGGCGGCCGAAACAGGTTGATCAACCGTGACGACCTTGAGCAAGTCTTCTGCATTCTTAGAAATACCCGCTTTCTGAACAATCACTTCGCTCCGCGTGCGCAGCTCACCCACCTGGTAGAACATCACAGCACCATGAACAAGGTAATCACGTTGGATGCGTTCGACCAACTTCCTGTGAGGTTCTCGGTGGGGCGGCAACAACACATCTGGGTGTTTGTGCACGAACTGCTCGCGGAACTCTGCATGATCCTCACCCGGAATTTCGGGCACCTTCGAAGGATCTTCTTCCATCTTGGCACGCCGAGAGGCGAAATGCTCTTGTAAAGTCGAGCATGTCTTCCATACTGCTGTCAAATTGGTGAGTGCCAACTCCTGAGCAGCCGCGTCAGCACCGAACCGAGCTGGGTCAGTGACGATGCGGTTGAGGGTCTGCTTGACACCGGTGATGTTGTCGCCGAGCATGGCAAATGTGTCCATGGTACGAAGGCCTACCTCGGCTGCGAGCAGGCACAGATTCTCTGGGAGCCGCTGGCGCCCGAAGACCTGCCGCAATGCTAGCTCGGGAACTTGATCATCCGTGTAGGTAGTGCGATCGACCATGCTGGCGACAGGCCCAAGGCTCGCAAGGCACTGAGCAACACTAGCTGCGGCCCTGCGCGAGTTCACCGACGATCGAGCGAACACTGATTGTTTGTAGGAGCTGATGGCTGATTGAAACCTCTGCTCCGGCCAAACAACTTTTTCATGCCACTTTTCATTGATCAGGACTTACTGAAAAAGCACGCGATCTCTGGCCTGGCTTTGGAGCAGGCTTTACAGAGCACTGATAAATCTGGCAAAATGTCTCCCACGGACTGGCACTCATCGATTGCAAAACGCCGACAGGCCGTCTGAGTGCTATCATCGATTGAGGGAGCGTGAAACTTATAATCATAATATGTGCCAGCCCCGGGATTCTTGATGAAAAATTCCAAATTATCTAAATCTTGATCAGAAGCATCAGTGAGAAAGGTCTGGGCATCTTCTATCACGGGATGGTTTTCTTGAACCATTTCTCGAACAAGTTGTTTGATCATGGTAGCTGGGACAGATGAGCGATTTCGGGTATATTTCAAAACCATGGGCCCGGGATTTTTCCAATTGGCCTGAAGGCCAATCTCTTCAGTGGAGCGCCCAGCATGAACAGCAGCATCGAGTAGGGTAACTCGACATGAGTGAACAGTCAACTTGTCGACCGTTTCAATAAGACCCTTGCGCTCAGTCGCAGGGATCTCACGATCGAGCATTACCCCTTGATGTGCAAAACAACGCAACCATTTTACTGTGCGCTGGTGAGACGGCGGGCGCTGGTCGAACTCTGACTTCGAGTTCAACTCAAAAATCCAGAAATCACGGTCTTGGACTTCCAGCAGCTTGAACAAGCTCCACCCAGTTTCGAGCCAGTCGTTATGGCGGAAGCCGACTTTGGGGACCATGAACCGGGTGCCGGATCGCTTTCTCTCAACTTTGGTTTGCCAGGCCACGCCGAAAAGGCCCTCATCTTGCATGACCAACTCGGAGGGCTTGACATGGATGGCGTCATCAAAACGAAGTGAAGCAAACACCATGCAGAGGAGCCACCAAACAAAGATCCTGGCTTGGGCAAACTCTTTGGGGTTGACTACGATCGCTTCCATGCTACAAACCGCAGCAATCGGAATGGGCACTGCCTCTTTCAAGGTGGTGGCCCGAGAAGAAACGATCTGGTCTTGAATGGCTTTCAGCCGTTGATCGTCCACATCTGGTAGGTCGATCGCCAGCCGAGAGGCCACCCACTTGACAGAGGTCTTGAATGCTGGCACCACTGAGGGGCCGCACTCTCTCTGATCCAAAACTAGACAGTATTTCAGGATCTTGTCCACTGTCAGAGGGTACAGCACAACTGAAGAGGCTGTTGCCCAGTGCTCAAACTTTTCGTACGCCCGAACATGAGCCGACATAGTTCTGGGAGCGCCTGAGAGTAGGACAATCTGCCTCAACCGCGACAGCTCGGAGGGCGACAACTCATCGCTCTGCTCCTGCTGAACAAGCAGTTTGGCCGCTGGTCCGGCACGTTGCCCAATGGCCTCAAGGCGAGCTGCCCACTTGGCTTTCTCATTGTTTTCTTGATCAAGCAGAGGGGTCGAAGAATCGCTAGCTTGTGCTAGGCCCTTGAGCTTCTTGTTTGGCGCTTTTGGGCCGCTGAGCAGCGCCCGGACCCCCACTGCCTGTCTGAGCTGGTCAAGTGCAGATCCCCTTGTCTCAGGGGGTCTGTTATCACACAGCCCAAAACCCAACTGGAAAGCCGTTGACTCAAAGAACATCTTCTCAGCTCTGATTCCGAGCGACCAAAAATTTTCAAGCTGACCTGAATCTTTCAACAAAACTTGAGCAACTGCTGGTTCAAAAGACCCCGCCCACTCGGCTACTTTAGCCGAAAACTCTGCAGCCGAGCTCACTCCCATGGCTGATACAAATGCCAGGTTGGCCAGCGGCGTTTTGGCGATCGCCTGGGCAAATGCATCGCTGAACAATGGAAGGGACAGGATCTTAAGAGTCCACCTATCAACTTGAGCCATGATCACTTTAATTGAAGAGTGAAAGAGGCACAGAGTTGACCACACAAAAGCAGACCTCATCCAACAAGAAAGGAAAGAACCAGCAAATTGGAAAATTGTTCAAACGATACTACGGAGGGTGCGAAAGCAAACATAATAAAGAGGGGGAACACCTAAACAAGTAGAGTCAAGGACATACGCGTGAGCAGTTGAGCAACACGGCATGCAACGCTCATCCACCTGTCAGATGAACCCTCGAAACCCCTCCAGTTTGACAGTTTAGTACATTTATCCGATCAGAAACATGTGAAGCTGTTCAAAGCACTCACATGGGTCGACACCGTGATCATGCACGCAATGCTGTGATCAGCCATCAGCTCTTACTGCTTGATCAACAGTGTTCGACCGATCGATTGAATTGAGTTCCCACAACTGCACCGGGCTCTCGAACCTGCAGTGACAGGCGATCGCTTGCTGGCTTCTCCCAAATAAAAACAAGGGGAAGAGGGTGAACACTTCCAGCACTCGATCACAAACAACCACCGTATATGCACAAATGTATAGTTATATATATCACACCAACGGATATATACACAATATATCTGGCATATAAAACGCTGTCAGGTTGTAGCATGGTTGCATTTGAAATTTTAAAGGATCCTTCTCGCAATCGTCTGAAGTTCGTTATGCTCAATGCCAGTGTGCATTGGTTGATCAAATTTTTTTTGAAAAGCATGCCGCAACTACAATGCTGCTGGCTCTGCTTCCTTTTTGCCGAGCGGCGAGTCAGGCGCCGTAAATTGTGCCGAGCTCACCCAGTCGGTATTCATCAACTGTGCATTGAGCAACATTTGAATTGGCCGCATGTATGGACACATGAACATGCAGACAAAATAAATTTCAAAAACACCTGATCTAGCATTCATCTATCTGTGCAGGAGGCCCGAACGACCTAGGCTCTGTTGGGGTCGTAAAGTTCTCGGAGCCGTCCAACGACCCAGAAAGCACTTCGATCTGGATCTTTGCCGACGAGGCCGTCGCCTGCTGTTGAGGCTCACCCCGAACGGCTTGCACACGCTCTAGGAATCCTGCTGGTGTGAGCGCTGAGGAATCCAGGCGCTGTGCACGTCTCTGATCAAGCGATCTCCGAGCTGGAGCCAGTGACCCTCCCAACCACGAACTTGGTGTAGGTGCAACTCCCGGTTCCGTCAAGGAAGGGAGAACTCCCTCCGGGGGCAAGGGCGCCACTGTCAGATCTGCGTTGCCCACATAGCCAGTAATGGCTGCAAGACCACTTGGCTGAGCACACGCAGGCTGAACAGCTGGTCCCCCTGTGATCGGTGGGAGGACCACCGTCTCCTTCTCATCCTCCGCATTGTGAGCCTGTAATGCCAAGGCTTCCATGGGCACAATAGCTCGATCCTTCTTGAACAGAGGAGACTCGCAGATCAAGTGTAAATTGGCTGCATTGCTCTCCACGGCAACGGCCGAGACGATAGGTCCCGTGTCCTCCTCACGAGCGGCTTCAACATTCACCGTCCAGTGGGCATGGATGCTGGCAAGCTGAGCCAACTGTAGAGCCTGATCAGGCGACTCGACGCGAGCATATTTCGATCGACACCAGTTTGCATTCCTGATCAGGGTTGGCCCTGACACTCTGCTGACCACAAGCCACGACGGAGGGACTGAGCAAGTGCTAGCCGCCACATCAAGGCGATCGCCCGCACTGAGAAATCTAAACTCCAGTCGATCTGCGTCAAGACCGAAGGCATCCTCAGACGACGTCGCCACAATCCGGCATTCGAAATGACACAGCGGGTAATCCGCCGCTACCACAACACCTCCTTCTGAGCAGACGTAGAGCCTGCCACCCACTTCCCATGAGCATGCAACCACTCGCCATCCTTGGAACACTGTCACCACGAACGTGGGGATGAAAGCATTCTCCTGCAGGACGTACATCAGGTGATCTGCCACGTGGTTGATCTGAACGGTCATGTCGCTGTCTGAGCGATAGCCCCTGAGTTCCAAATGAACAAAGAGCTGACCTTCGATCTTCACCTTGACGTCCACCCAAGTGGGAGAGTCGTCCCGCATGAGAGGCCAGCGGAATGGCTGAAAAGCCTCGTGCGAGAGCACCTTGCCAGTGTGTGAGTCCCATTTCCCACATGGCACAGATCCGTATGACGTCATGGATCCGCACAGCACCAGTTTGAAGCCATCTAGGGTCTTGAGCATGAACAGGTTCATGTGATATCCAGTTGAAGGCGACCTCACAAGAGCTCGATCGCTCAAGATGTTGATCCGGGCATTGGCGTTGATCAAGATCTCATCCAGCAGCCACCCTTGATAAGGGGATTGCAGCCTATTGTCACGGCTGTCCAGGACCAGCACTGATCTCTCGTTCTCGCCGGAGCCGACCTGCTGCAAGTGCTCAGGCAAACGAACGTTGATGGCATTGTGAGCGCCCATCTGGTTGAACTTCACCGAACGGCGGCCTGACTTGGCTGCCTTGTCCTGCTGCTCTCTCAAGCGCCGAGCAGCAGGCGTCTCATTCGACCGATCCACAAAGCTGCGAGCAGCCTGTGTCACAGGAGCTGCCTGAGCAGGCTGTGAAGGCTGAGGTTGCTCAGCTTGCGCTGCTCGAGCTGGCTCAAACACACCGCTCCAGGCCTCAGCATGATCAGGTGGCACATCCTGCTCAGGATCCTCCGCCACACGCCACGACCCCATAGTGCCAGCTTCAGAATGTTGATCATCAGAAGCACGAGCAGCTCGGGATCTCCCTTGCAGCATCTTCGCTTGATTCGAAAGAGCACGGGGCATGGCTGGAGGAAACTGGGACATGCCTACCGAAACTAAAGCTGAGTGATCACCCAGGCCCTCTCAGAAACCGAATGGGACAAATTGGATGCCTGGTGATCTCTTGAGCTAGTCACCAAAATGGCATACGGAAAAGAGGTTGATTGATCAATAGCAAATAAAATGACATGATGATCAAAGACAAGAACAGACAAGTAACTCCCCTCTCCTGACCAACCAACCGTTAGATGGGACCATATTCTATCTGGCATTCTTTCTGGCATTGTATCTGACGTATATTCTGCCATTCTGTTTGTTCGGGTCCAGGCGCGCTCCACAGCCTCCTGAGCGCGCGATATGGCTGTCGGGTCCAGGCACCCTGATCTCGCGGCATGGCACTCAGGTCGAGCCGCACTCCACTGCATCCACAGCCGGCGAGGAAGAAGAGAAGGAGAGGAAGGAGAGGAAGGAGAGGAAGGAGAGGAAGGAGAGGAAGGAGAGGAAGGAGAGGAAGGAGAGGAAGAAGAGGAAGGAGTCGCACCTTTGTTAAAATCTAGAAACCTTCACCTGGCAGGTGGGGAAAAAGAACTCAAGATAGAAGTTTTGTTCTGCTTTCAAATGTATTGTTTTGTGGAGGTTTGGGGGTGCAAAAAAATGACATAATGTGTTCAATATTCAAGGCAATTATATGCAGGGGAGGAAAAAACATTTTAAACATCACTCAAGGTGCCAAGTTGGTTTAATATGTTGAATGTATTGCCTTGTAGGGTCGAGGGGCGGGTAAATTTTAGAAATGACTTGAGATGACAATTTTGTTGGTTCAACATATTGTTTTGTAACATTGGAAGCGCAAAAAATCTTGATGACGCGGACTCGACATGTCAATTTACTTCATTTGTTCAACATATTGAAAGGTCGAGGGGGGTATATTTCAAAAATGACTCAAGATGCCAAGTTGGGTCATATGTTGAATGTAGCGGTTTGTACAGGGCAGGAGGAAGGGGAAGAAATCATAACAATGACCCAAAATGCCAACTATGATCACATGTTCAAGGTATTGCAGCGTAGGGTCACGGAATTGTAAATGTCGAAAGCCCATTCTTTGGTGTGTTCGAGGTATTGTTTTTCAGGGGAAGGAGAGGAGTTCAAAATCTAAAGATGACGTGACATTTCTACTTTGTTCATATATTCAACGTATTGGTTTGCAAAGGTAGGGAAAGGACCTGTTAAACATGGCTCGAGATGGCTTGTTCATGCTGGACGATGTTGAACGTTGTGTTTTGTAGGGGCCAGAATGTATATATATTGCTTGGTTGGGTCCAGGGGGGATAAATTTCAAAAAAAGACTCCACATGTCAACTTTCTTCATACGTTGAACGTATTGCATTGTAGGGTCGACGAGTTGCAAATTTCAATCATGATTCAAGATGCCAACTTTCTTCATCTGTTCAACGTATTGTCTTGTTGTAGGGGAAGGAAAAGACATTTCAAACATGACTCAAGATGCCAAGTTGGGTCATATGTTGAACATAGTGTTTTGTGTGGAGAAGGGACTAAATCTATAATTTAATAATGACTAGCAGAATGACTCGACAGGTCAACTTGCTTCATATGTTGAACGTGTTGTGTTGTAGGGCCGAGGGAGGTAGATAACAGGGTTGTCCAAATGACCCTCTTGAAAATCAAATGATGAAACCAAATTCTGAGTCCCACAAACAAAATCAAACAAACAAATGATGGCAATCAGCTGGATTTCTTTTTCGCACACAGATCGGACTCCCCCTATTAACTATTGAGTTTTTGTTAGTTCGATCACCAAAGGGTGCTTTACAAAGATGAAGGCTTGGCTGGAGTGACAAGTTAACTGGATTTCCTCGAGATGAAACTCTATTTGCTGTAGTATTTTTGTTGAGTGAGTAAATTATGTTTTATTTGCATCGGATTGATATCAGAGAGAATAGTTTAGCCTGGTTTTCATTTGTTTTGGGCCTTATTGAAATCAAATAATTTATGCGCTCCGGAGTGCGCAATTTATTTTAAACAATAGTCAAAACCATTGAATACCAGGCCACGCTATCAACTCAAATATATTATACCTCATGGAACCCTCATGGAATCCATGAAACTTCCTGTATCTTTCGATTTGTTAAACAACAGTTAAACTAAATCACGCGCTCCACAGCGCGCAATTCATTCAAATAAAGTTCAAAGCCACTTAGTACCAGCCTAAACCATTGTGGACATGAAGCCTACCTACTTTATCCAACAAACATATTAAAATAAATTACGCGCTCCGGAGCGCATAATTCACCATATCAAGTTCAAAGTCATTTGGTACCAGCCTAAACTATTGTCTTGTTGCGCAATTCTTCTTGAAGGCGGAACGGCGCGAACCCCATTGTTGAGTGATTCTTCTAGAACAGGGATTGGCCCGAACCCCACTGTTGAGTGATTCTTCTTGAACGGGGATTGAGCCGAACCCCACTGTTGAGTGATTCTTCTTGAACGGCGATTGGCCGAACCCTACTATTGAAGATTCTTCTTGAACGGGGATGGCCGAACCCCATTGTTTACTGGTTCTTCTTGAACGGGATTGGTCTGAACCCCACTGTTGAGTGATTCTTCTTGAACGGGGATTGGCCGAACCCCACTGTTGAGTGATTCTTCTTGAACGGGGATTGGCCCGAACCCCACTGTTGAGTGATTCTTCTTGAACTTGCCGAACGTTGGGGATTGGCCGAACCCCACTGTTGAGTGATTCTTCTTGAATCGGGGATTTTGCCGACCCCACTGTTGAACGAACCCCACTGTTGGTGATTCTTCTTGAACGGGGATTGGCCGAACCCCCCGTTGAGGGATACTTCTTGAACGGGGATTGGCCGAACCCCATTGTTGAGTGGCTCTTCTTGAACGGGGATTGGCCCGAACCCCACTGTTGAGTGATTCTTCTTGAACGGGGATTGGCCCGAACCCCACTGTTGAGTGATTCTTCTTGAACGGTGATTGGCCCGAACCCCACTGTTGAGTGATTCTTCTTGAACGGGGATTGGCCCGAACCCCACTGTTGAGTGATTCTTCTTGAACGGGGATTGGCCCGAACCCCACTGTTGAGTGATTCTTCTTGAACGGGGATTGGCCCGAACCCCACTGTTGAGTGATTCTTCTTGAACGGGATTGGCCCGAACCCCACTGTTGAGTGATTCTTCTTGAACGGGGATTGGCCGAACCCCATTGTTGAGTGATACTTCTTGAACTGGGATTGGCCCGAACCCCACTGTTGAGTGATTCTTCTTGAACGGGGATTGGCCCGAACCCCACTGTTGAGTGATTCTTCTTTGGCCCGAACCCCACTGTTGAGTGATTCTTCTTGAACGGGGATTGGCCCGAACCCCACTATTGAGTGATTCTTCTTGAATTGAACGGTGATTGGCCCGAACCCCACTGTTGAGTGATTCTTCTTGAACGGGGATTGGCCCGAACCCCACTGTTGAGTGATTCTTCTTGAACGGGGATTGGCCCGAACCCCACTGTTGAGTGATTCTTCTTGAACGGGGATTGGCCCGAACCCCACTGTTGAGTGATTCTTCTTGAACGGGCATCCTAGGCAATGAGTGAAATCTACTCAATTAGGTAGTAGGGAAAAACTTAACCCCCTTGTTGAGTGATTCGCGTCGAACGGGTCAACAAGGGAGTGAGGAAAAACCTAACTCCCTTGTTGAGTAATTCTTGTTGAATAGGTGACATCAATTGGAACACAAAGGGCCCAACAAGGGAGTGAGATAAAACGTAACTACCCTCTTGAGTGATTCAACTTGAATCACTCAACAAGGGAGTTAGGTTTTTCCTAACTCCCTTATTGAGTGGATTTGTGTTTTGCCAAGATTCCACCGCCAATCGAAGCTGATGGCTGATCCAATCCAGCTGCGGAATCATGTGGGGACAATTCCTCCCCTAAATGCAAAACATCACCATCAGCGCCAAACAGGCAATAGAAGGGAGTGGAGATGGAAGAAAATGGCGAGTCCATGTAACCACACTTAATCGTGACATTATAGTGTCTCCATTTCCCACCAACAAAAAATGATAAACAATTTGAAAAAACATACTTAGACAAGTAGATTACTGCTTTCATAAAAGTGAGCATGTACATGCCCACAGTAATGGTAGCATCAAGCTGCGGAATGAATCTGAATCTGAACATATCTGAGCCCAAGGGCCCCAACAAAGATGTTGGTATATGGAGTCCGTAGCCTGATGTTAAATGGTTTTGAATGCCATTTAAAGTAAATTACACCTTCAGTATTTGAATGTGTTGAACAAAGTACGTTTCATTTAGTTACATGGGATCAACATGCGAGACAATAGTTTAGGCTTGTAATAAACGGCATTGAACTTTATTTGAACAAATTACGCGCTCCGGAGCGCATATTGATTACGCGCTCCGGAGCTCGTAATTGACTTTAGTATTTAAATGTATTGAATAAAGTACATGTTTCTTACATTGGGTCCAATAATATAGGCCCTACAGGCTGGTACTAAATGGCTTTGAACTTTATTTGAACAAATTACGCGCTCCGGAGCGCGTAATTATTACGCGCTCCGGAGCGTGTAATTGACTTCATGTATTGAATAAATAGTACATTTTTCTTACAGTGGGTCAATATACGAAACAATACTATAGGCTGGTACTAAATGGCTTTGAAATGCTTTGAACAAATTACGCGCTCCAGAGCGCGTAATAATTACGCGCTCCGGAGCGCGTAATTGACTTCAGTAGTTACATGTGTTGAAAAAAGTGCGTTTCATTTCATTACATGGGATCAGCATACGAGACAATAGCTTAGTCTGGTACTAAATGCCTTTGAACTTTATTTGAATGGATTACGCGCTCCGGAGCGCGTAATTGACTTCAGTATTTACATGTGTTGAAGAAAGTACGTTTCATTTTATTACATGGGATCACCAATACGAGACAATAGTCTAGGCTGGTACTAAATGGCTTTGAACTTTGTTTGAATGGATTACGCGCTCCGGAGCGCGTAATTATTTACGCGCTCCGGAGCGCGTAATTGACTTCAGTATTATGTAAATTTGTTGAAGAAAGTGCGTTTCATTTAATTACATGGGATGACCATACGAGACAATATAGTTTAGGCTGCTACTAAATGGCTTCGATCTTGATTTGAATGGATTACGCACTCCGGAGCGCGTCATTATTACGCGCTCCGGAGCGCGTAATTGACTTCAGTAGTTACATGTGTTGAAAAAAGTGCGTTTCATTTAATTACATGGGATCAGCATACGAGACAATAGCTTAGGCTGGTACTAAATGGTTTTGAACTTTATTTGAATGGATTACGCGCTCCGGAGCGCGTCATTGTTACGCGCTCCGGAGCGCGTCATTATTACGCGCTCTGGAGCGCGTAATTGACTTCAGTATTTACATGTGTTGAAAAAAGTGCGTTTCATTGGGTCACTATACAAGACAATAGTTTAGGCTGCTACAGAAAAAATGACCTAAATTCCAACAGTTAAAAGTGATTTTCCGAATGATGTCAAATGGAGCTTTTGGACGACCCTGGATAAAACATGGCTCAAGATAAATCAAAATGACAAGTTTGGGGTTGGTCGGACATGGTCGGAGTAAAACGACACAAAAGAAATCTGGAGTTACTTTCTAAACTCCTGTTCGGAACCCTGCGGCGTCTTCGGGCGTCTTCGGCGTCTTCTTCGTCTTCGGGCGTCTTCGGCGTCTTCGGGCGTCTTCGGCGTCTTCGGGCGTCTTCGGCGTCTTCAGGCGTCTTCCGGCGTCTTCGGTGTCTGCGGGCGTCTTCGGCGTCTTCGGGCGTCTTCGGTGTCTTCGGCGTCTTCGGGCGCCTTCGGCGTCTTCAGGAGTCTTCGGGCGTCTTCGGCGTCTTCGGGCGTCTTCGGCGTCTTCGGGCGTCTTCGGCGTCTTCGGCGTCTTCGGCGTCTTCGGGTGTCTTCGGCGTCTTCGGGCGTCTTCGGGCATTTTCGGCGTCTTCGGCGTCTTCGGGCGTCTTCGGCGTCTTCGGGCGTCTTCGGGCGTCTGCGGCGTCTTCGGCCCGAAGTTGGGGCACCTCTACTGCCATCAATGATTTTTTATGGGAAACCTCACTATTTCTATGGCCATGTTCCATAGCTATGGTCATACATTCAGAATCGAGAATGACTCCGTGATGGGTTGTTCAAAACCCCCTCAGAATGATCAGCAAGGGCCACTGCACCTTGTTGTCCCAGATTTCCACTTTCTTCCGAAGACCTTCGGCCAGCTCGTAGTCATCCTCTGCGGATCAACACCCTTTCGCCCAAGATCCCGCAAGTGTTTCAGGGATCTTTCAGGATAAAAAATGACATGGGAACCAAAGTTGGTCATTTTTACTCTCAAGTCATCCTGTTTTGGGATGTTTTCTGTCATTTTCTGTCATTTTGTTGTTGCTGAAACCATCAGAACCAGAGTCTCCCCACGTTCTTGGGATCGGTGCGGATGACAAAACGCTGGTTGCAATGGGCCGAACCTCACCGGGCTACCACGGGACCACGTGGAACTCTGAAGGTGCATTCCAGTGGGCAAAAGCCACCGGATAACCCGGTTGTGTATGGGTTACATGGGGTGTAGGTAAGCACCTATTTATCACCTTAGATCACATGGATCGTGAGCAAGCACCTGTTTCTTGGAGGCCGAAAAGGAGCTTTGATGTGATTCAAAGCCAAATGTCGCACCTGGTAGACACCCCAAGATATCATGTAAGAAGGAACCCCGAAATTGCCACAAATCTGCCCGAAGAGCCATTTCTCTGGTGTTTCCTTCAGGTTTCAGGTACCCTCCAGAACCAACCTGCGTTGCAGATCCTCCACTTTCGTAGGGGTCCAACACAAGGCCCACCTGCCGATCCCAGCCATCTCACCGTAACGTGCCCTGGGTTCCGTCACCGTTGGCGGATCTTGCGGGATGCACAATGTTGCCTTGGTGCTGTCAGGCGGTCGAAACCAGTTGCGATTCATTCGGAAAAATCTACAGGAACCCAGGCTACCATGAAATACTTCCGGACTGCAGATTTTGCATACAATCCTGGGATTTGTTGAAGGGTAAATTCATCATCTCTTCTAGGGTGCTTTCTGGCGCGAAAACCTGGACTCAAAGGCTTCACTTCTCAAAGCTGCGGACCTATCGAACAGCGGATTGCAAGGGACTCAGCCAGTTGGCTCTCGAGTCCCAAAGGACACTGAGCTGACCAAATCTGAGGGCATGCCCTACCCTGTCCCATCTACCATCCGCTCTTGCCGAGCCGCCACAGTTCATGGCAAACTCGTAGAGTGGAGTGGTGAAGTACATCCCCACCTTCTTCTTGTCCGCCTAAGGCGGGGTTGCCCAGCTTGGTCATCCCCCTTGGAACCCACCAAGACTCTACAGGCATTCTATGATTTCTATGGAAATCCTCTAGTTCACCAGAGATGAAAAACTGGTTCTGATAGTTTTTGCATGTTTTTGCATGTTGCTGTTTCAATGGGCTTCAGCCTGGCTTCACCTTTATAAAAACCCTCCTCTTGGACCCCACATCACCCGGCTGAGGCGCATTGTAACGAGTTCCTTGGCGGATGTAATGCTGACACCTCATGGGCGAGGCCATGGACTGGCACACCCCATGGTTGATCATGGAAAATCACCATGGGATCCCCTGAAATCTGCCATGGTAATATCCATATCAACCATCCAATCATCATTTATATCCCATTTCCCATGGAAAACCACGTATCAACCATCCATATGTATCCACCCACTAGGTCCCACTCCTCAAACATTGCACCGTGAAGGGCATCTCAAAGCGAATCAAGAGGACCTCCCAAGAGGAGCAGCCCAGCAGGCCCAGCAGGAAGGGGGGTCAAAGGAACCTCAACCAACCAAACATGGAGACGATTGACCCACCATTTTGGCATGTCAACCAACAAAATCAACAAAGATAGGAATTTGAAGGTCAAACAGCAGGAATTCTTCAACCAAAAAGAAGGCCTTTGACATTAAAATCGGTGATCATACGAATCAAAGCCCGTAGAAAACTGCCAGAAATACCCTCTGGTAATTTAACATAGCTATGGAAAGTCACCATTTTTCATGGGAAAATCCACTATTTCTATGGCCATTTTTAATAGCTATGTTAGTCATTACCAGAGGGTATCCAAAAATGGTTAAACTGCAGCCTGAGTGAACGGTGACATCCCGGACTTGGCTCTTGGCTCTTCACCTCCAAAGATCCCAACCGTCTCAGACCCCAACTCCTTTGCTGAGATTCTTGGTGCGTTGCTTGCCAAAGTGATGCTCAAAGCCCCTCCTCAGCGCAGGTCAGTGGGAACCAGTTGATGAATTGTGTTTTATCCAAAAAAACACATCTTATCCCTGAGACCAAACCCAAATCTGGTGAGTATCATCAAGAAACACCAAAAATTACCCAAGTTCCAACCAATTTCGGACTCAAACATCCGTATCGTATTGGTTTCCCCCCTTGCATGTTGAGAGCTTCTCCAGCAAACCGTTGCATGACCCCTTTCAGTTTCGCCTACGCTGGAAGGCATCGAGAGATCCCTTGGAAGGAGCCCATTCCTGGCACTGCCGGCAATATTTTCCACTGCTCGCAATGAATCTGTTGGGGTTCAGGACTTATGTGGTGGATCTCGGGTTGTTTATTGTTGGGATTAAATACACCCATCAACACCTGAACCCCTCGCAATAGAACAAGTGACTCATGGAATCAATCATGGGCCCGCTTTTGGTCGACAGTTGGGTTGGATAGATTGGATTACAGGCTACACTCCCTTTGACAAAAAACTTTCTATACGCTGTAAATGGTATGCGAATTGGATCTGCGAATGTGGGCCCCCAGAAACTCTACCAAAGGGCATGAGCCACCCCAATGGTTCAGCATCATAGCAGGCTTGATTGGTTCAGTCTTGAGGATCTCAATGACTTCCCTCAACAACCAAATTCCCTAGGATTTCTTGTGGGTTTCGCTTTCAAGAAACTGGTAAGGGTCAAACTTGGGTAGTGATAGCAGGGGGTTCTAAAGGTCAGAACTTCAGTCACAAGCACCAGCCAAGATTATAACGGCTACTACTGACCACGACCGGAATTCGGTGATTTTAATCTATTTTGGACCAGAATCTTGTGGCATACCTTCCTTGATGCCTTCCGGGTCACAGCAGATGGGTATAGTGTGGGTTGGTCACAACCTGTTTGACCATACGAATGAGAACGAAGATCCAGTTATCCAGTTTTACCAGCTACCTTGCCAGGAAAGCCCGGTTTTTACCAATGGCGTTTGATCCCAAAAATCCAAAAATCCGCCGAGAAATTCAGACAGCACCTGCGGATAGTAGAAGGAGTCCGCGCAAGCGGCCTTAAGGCTGATGTCCTGTAAAGGCGATGGAAGGCCAAGTTGTTGGGCGCTTGGAAGGTCCAACTACTCAACAAATTGGAGGAGATCAACCGGAAATATGACAAACATTGACAAACTACGAAGCCCATCCCAAGCAATTTTTGTAGTTCCACATTCCAGGTTGCTGCCCTTGAAAAAGGGAGCTGTAAGCCTAACTGAAGAGCTGCTGCTGGGTCCCAGTCATGATCCAGTCACGGCTGGAGAAACCGAAAACATTTCGGAGTCACAGTTCGGAAGGCACTGACTGAATGACCTCACCATCTTAAATATATTTAAATATGCTTCAAAAACTCAGTACAATGTTTTTTTACATCCAAAAAATAGTTGCTATATAGTCAGCTGCTTGTGAAAACATCTCATATCATAGTTCAAATCCCTTATATTTCTCTTGATGAATTCCCTTATGTTTGTTACTTAAATCCTTTTTTTTTGGTTGAATCCCCTATGTTGATGGAATCCCATCCCCATCCCCGTCCTTTGTCATCCTGGGCCAGCAGCTGCGACGGTCACGGCTTGGCCGTTGTCCCAACCGGATGTTTCAGCACCAAGCGATCTCGGAAATTGGTTCTCAGTTTCTACCCAAAATCGCTGATGAATGGGATATGCCTGGTTTCAAGTGGGCTCAACTGGGTTGTATCACGAAGCAGGGTCACCAAGGTTGTAGATATGGGTTGTATCATGTTGTATCAATGTTTTGCGTGACCTGCCGTGGCTGAAACTTCGATCTACGCAAGGAAATTCAGCAAGATCGTTGACATGAAAGAATGAAAGTGGTGGCAAGTTGCTGGCTTTGTCCAAAAAGTGAGTTCACCCGCCACAACTATCCATATTGCATTGAAATTGCCATTAGTATGGAATGTCTTTGTCTGGCAGCTCATAGGGTAATTTTCGCGCTTGCTATCTTGACGGTATCTCTAGATGGAAAGCTGAAACCATGCAGGATGGCAGTCTCGAAGCCAACAAAAGTGGCGGCGGCACCCGAGTGCACCATTTCATGGTCTTCAAACTTCATGTTGAAACCATCCAGAGAATGGAGGCTACGGTACGTAAACTAACATCAACTGTTTGAGCGACTCAAAAGATCTGATTGTCAACCATCAAAAGTGTTCAAAATCTTTTGTCCATGGCACCATGGTCCGTTTTTCTTGCGGGTGCTGATCGCATGGAATGGGGAAGGGCGGGAAGGGAACGATTACTAGTGCTCACCCTCTGGGGGACATTCCCTACTTAGCACCAGCAAGGTTTTTGGGACAATCTCCATCTAGAGCACGAGGTTTGAATGCCGCAAGTGGCCATCACCCACCGAACTGCGTTTTTCATGTCACCGATTTGGTTTCTAAAAGTCACCAAAGCACTAACCTGATGACCTCTGCGTATTGTAAGCATTTTTCGTCCCCTTACTGTCCCACATGGCCATGGGTCAAAACATGTCAAAATCTACGGTACCATTTTGTGGATGATTTCCCCCCATTACAGCCTCGCGCGAACGCAAAACAGCGAAACATTTCTCGGTTCCGACATGGAAGCTGTAGTGCATGGCAAGGGTGACACCGGTCCATAATACCTGCCAACAGCCGCATCCCTCAATTCGATTCAACTCAACCTTGCATCGCGCAGAGCTTCTTCTTCTTGCAGAAGCCTTTGACGCCTGAAGAAGAAACCCGCAACACCACCTATTAGGGCCAAGATGAGCAAGATCAAGATCACAGTCCCAGCACCCATTCCTCCTTCGTTGGGAGCTCCTTCGTTGGGAGCTGGTGTGGGTGCAGCTGTTGGCGCTGGTGTTGGCGCAGGTGTTGGTGGAATTGGTTCCGGGGTTGTGGACGAAGTTGTGGTTGTGGTTGTGGTTGTGGACGAAGTTGTGGTTGGTGGGTGCACCACCTTGACACTTTCCCAGTCTGCATCCCAGATAATAGGATCTTGAGGAGCCCTGGGCTCACGAGTGGTACTCATGCCAAAGCATTCCCCTGAGTGAACTTGATCTTTGCGGTGCACACGCGAAACCCCCCGCCCAAGTCAACACTTTCCATATATCTGAACTTGGCCTCTCCCATTTCATGGATTTTGCCATCTTCTGGGGTGTAAGTGCTGTAAACATACAGCGCCATCTTCATGCCATGTTTCTTCCAGGTGCGGTCCAAGTTTTGCACTCCAAAATCCCCAATGCATGCATTTGGGAATTCTTCTGCATTTCTTTGGCACTTCAGAGGGATTTCATCCTCGGAGAACCGAAACTTCTCGGGATCGAGCTGGAAGTCGGCGCGGGCGGAATCTGGGGGTGTAACGTTCACCTCCTTCACCCCCTGGTGAGCCACAACGCTCATAGGACTCAAGGCGTACAGCGTTTTCTGTGGCAAATCCCAGTTGCTGCTCCAAGCATGTTGAGCACAAGGAACCCCAGAAACATGCTTTCCACTTTGGGACGCGGAAATGAGGAAGGGTAGTTAACGAACACGTTGAGATTCAATGGTATATGTTTGAACCAACTGCGGTGTGACAAACATGATTCGCGACTGCACAATCTCATTGAGCGCAACATGACTTGCAATCTGAGTACACTACAACTCAAGATTTTTCTCCGCACTATCCCAACGATTCGGATCGATGACACCATTCCTTGGTATTGTTCACGCGGACAACCATTTCGTTACAGACCCAAATCAAGGACACTGAAATTCAAAATATTTATATGTATATATATATGCAAATCTATATTTATAAGTTAGAAGGCACCTTGCCCATCTTCCCCTTACCAAAGCGCGCCAAGTTCTGAAAAAGCGCAACGCTGGATGCGGTTTAAAAAACCCGCTGCCGCCAGCATCGCAGTGAAGGATGCTAAAGGGCCCCAACGAACGAAAAAGTCCAGTGGAAATATGTGGGAACTTGGGATCTCTATGTGGGTTTGTCTGAAAATAGTGTACCCCATTGTACCCAATGGTTTTCATGACCATTATCCCTACTAAATGGCTATAATTGGGGGTATACCCCATTTTCAGACATGTTGTTCATGTTGTCCACCAAGTCTATGGGTTTTGGAAAGAGGCACTTACCCCAGAGCCAGCTTTTTGACCAAACTTCCAGCTTTTTCAACCTTCAGATTCATGACTTGCATTGACTGAGCACTACACATTCCAAAAAAATGTCTAGAACTGGATTGCCCCACCTTTTTGATGATTTTTGGCCAGCATACAACCAGACATCCAAATCCCCAGCCGCTTATTTTTGTCCTTTCAAACGCATGGAGCTGTTACGGAGATCATTGCCCCGTCTCAAAAGCGTCCAAAGACGTCTCCCACGGACCTGAGAAAAAATGTCTGACTGCAACAGATGGGTCAAAGTGCTAGGAAATCCTATCCCAATGTCACATTGCTGTGGCTAAAAATCAGGATACGCATTAAAAAATGGTAGTTTTCAAGGGGAAAGGGATGATTAATCATCAAATATTTGAAATACCCTATTTTCAGACAGACGCACAGTTGACATTCACACATGAAATCTGCAAAACAAAACCTTGGCAGTTCATGTTTGGATTCCAAATGTTCAACCAGAATCTTGGCAAGTTCGCAACCCTTCTATCCATTTCTCATCCATTTTCCATCCATTTCACCCAACCTCCACGTATTTCCAACACGTTCTCCCCGGCTTGGAATCACGGCATCACCTTTCAACCCCACCCCCGCACCCAGGGGTCCCAGGGGTCCGGGCGCCACCAGCATGTTGTCCTCCACCTGACTCCCTCCACGTACTTCACCAAAGACCTCCAGCACCAGCAGGTCCTCAGCGGGTTGAATCATATCGGGGCAGTTGAAACCACGGACCGTTTAAAACGGTTGAAATAACAACGATAAGAATTTATCAGTGTTTTTTTCCATCAATAATACGTGATCATAACACCGATAATATACGATAATGTTGCGGCAAGACCCTGAGGTTTGCCGGGCTCGCAACGAGCGTCCGGGCAAGCAAAGATGACGAGGATGACGATGATGATGATGATGATGACGACGACGACGACGATGATGATGATGATTTTGATATCTTCTTGAAACCTTATATATAAGAAACCATAATGACTGTATGGTCAATTGTTCCATGGGGCCGGCGGATTTTGATATATTCTTGAAACCCTAAAAGAAACCCTCATCACTGTATGGTTAATTCCATAGGATATGTAGAAGCAACATGTTCTGGTTAACACCCTAGCAACATAATTGAACATAAAATCCTTCCCGTTGTTTGACGTCGTACGGAATTCCGTGGTATTTACGCTATTCTGGGTTTGGGCAAACCTCGGGGTCTGTGTGTAATATTGTGAAGTGTTTAACAAGAAATGTAAAACCTTGGTTCTGCAGTATCTCTTCAGGGGCCAAATATATGGCTGATTTCGAATCAACATGGATGTCGAATCAGCATGGACGTAACTCACCTGAACCCTCCGTTTTTTGGGCAGGGCAAAAGGTGAAGAAAAAATCAGGTGGTGAAAAACCCACTGTCCAACTTGGAACGCCGGTCAACCTATGTCAACCTCATCCGTTGGGTCCGTTGGGGACATCAGAAGATCGGTTTTCTTCATCTGCACCAGGGCCTAGTTCCATGGTACCTCTGGGCTCTCCGGACCCCATCCTCCTGTCGCTCCAGTTGCAGGTTTTGCCTCCGGCCGGGGATGGGGATCACCCTGAGACCCTCGACGAAACACCGGTCCTTCCCTCTGCAATTGCTTGTTGCAGTAGAATCAGTAGAATCAAAATAGACAAAATTGTTTCCCCATGGTTCCCTCCTATACAGGGTCTTACATCTCTATCTGAAGGGGCTTCCCTTTTCTATCTATCCAAGTGGGTTTGGGTACTCAAGGCGGGGAGCGCAGATTCTGCTCATGCTCAGTATCAAGGATCCAACTTTCCGGATAATTTTGACTCAAAGCCACAGAGGCAACCACTACTCTAAAGGATCCATATGCAATCGCACATCTTCCCCACCTTGCCTGATGACAAATTCGCTCATGGCACCCACCGTCTGGTCCTGTCAAGAGTTCAAAAATCCAAAGCCAGGTTCATGTTGTCCGAAACTAGTTCATTTAGGAAATTGGATAACTCCCCCATTCTTGCATAGCAGCTCCCTAGGAAAAAAAAACGAACAGTTAAATCCTCCTAGGACAGTGATACATAGATTTTCCCAAAAAAATCTCAGAGCAGGCTCTCTAAAGGTACCCTCTGGTAAACTAACATAGCCATGGAAAATGGCCATTTATAGTGAGTAAAAATGGTGATTTTCCATAGTTTTTTGCTGGTTTACCAGAGGGTACTCCACCCCACTTCCACCAAAAAATGGGGCGAAATGGGATTCACTCCAGCGTGACGTGGATGTGGAGATCATCATCGGCACCGGGTTTCAGCTTCTCCTGACGAAGGACAGCTCGAAACTGGGTGGGTTGGTCCAGAAATGGCGCCTTTGCCCGGCAAAAAATGGTGGTTTTACCACGAGAAATTGGGGATGGAACTTGAAAAACATGAGATACGTGGGGATATATGATATATTCGGATATTTGATGGAAACATATGGGATAACATGGGATAGATATGAAAAAATACGTATTACATCTTATTACCTCATCCAAAAATTGGTGAAGTACCCCCAATTCATGGCATTGTTTCTGTTTGGATCACGGGATTGATGAGCATCAGCCAGCTGGGATGTTAGCATCAGCCAAGGGATAGTCCTGACTCTCGTTAGTTACACTACCCGAAACCTTGGACCCCTGATACGGATCGAGGCACCCAAAAACGAGTCAGGGATCAACTCAGTGCCTACCAGGATTCCATGGTGGCGCCTCCCAATAACCTTCAGCCCAGTGGTCGAAGAGCATTCCACCCACATTGCGTTGGATCTTGCATTTGGCCATGCGATCCAACCCTAAACCTCAGTCTGAATCGTGGCATCATTCTAGTACAAAAGTCCATCAATCAAGTGGACCCAAAGTCTTATAAAGTCCCAATGATCTTGATTGGAAAGTCCCAGAATGATCAATTGGGACTTTCCAATCTGGCATGCATAGTATCTTATAAAGCCCCTATCAAGATCCATGCAAAATTGCAAGACCCATTCCACTTGAGGCCGCTGACAGAGCGTCACAGCGCGGCCCCGATGTGCCTGGTGTCAAAGCTCCACTGGAACACACCATCCTCCGGACTTGGTCAATCAACATTGTCCCGGCTTAGAACCGGATGTGACAGGACGGGCCTTGGGTCCCAAAGTCGGAAGCCTAGTTGCCGATTTTGGGGAGATGAGAAGCTGACCGGTTCTGAGTGACCCAAGGGTCTATGGTTGAATCCAACTCCTGGAGATGACCCATTGTATATTGATGGAAATTTGAGTTACCACCATTATTGCCATGAAATATCATGACATATCATCCCATTAACCATTATTGACCATGATTAACCATTGTAATCAATCCATTATTCATCAGTATTAACCATCATTAGATCATTCATCATATTCATCATTATCTCCCGCTTCATCATATCCCATTTTAATACCTCACATGTGTATTAATCACCATGAACCACCTCATCATTATATCTCAATTCATGTCCCATTTTAGATCTCAAACGCTTATTATTAACCACCATTTTCCCACCATTAACCCACCATTTTTCCACCATTTTCCCACCATTTTCCCACCATTTTCCCACCATTTGTTGATTTCTTAACCCTAAACCCCACCCGGACTCCACCCGTCCCGCCTGGCAGACGAAGTCCCCGGCCGCAGAGGCCACCACCAGGGCCGTCAGCTCGGCGCCGTCCAAGACGTGGTCGCAGAGCCGCTGCTCCGGGCGCAACGCCTGGCGATGGCGCGGCGTTGGGGTGCGGCGTTGAGGTTGATAGCAATGGCAGCTATGGGGATTGGCTGATATAGACCATCAATGTTCATAGAAATGTTCATAGATATGTTCATATGTTCATAGATATGTTCATAGATATGTTCATAGATATGTTCATAGATATGTTCATAGATATGTTCATAGATATGTTCATAGATATGTTCATAGATATGTTCATAGATATGTTCATAGATATGTTCATAGAAATGTTCATAGATATGTTCATAGATATGTTCATAGAAATGTTCATAGAAATGTTCATAGAAATGTTCATAGATATGTTCATAGATATGTTCATAGATATGTTCATAGATATGTTCATAGATATGTTCATAGATATGTTCATAGAAATGTTCATAGATATGTTCATAGATATGTTCATAGATATGTTCATAGATATGTTCATAGATATGTTCATAGATATGTTCATAGAAATGTTCATAGATATGTTCATAGATATGTTCATAGATATGTTCATAGATATGTTCATAGATATGTTCATAGATATGTTCATAGATATGTTCATAGATATGTTCATAGATATGTTCATAGATATGTTCATAGATATGTTCATAGATATGTTCATAGATATGTTCATAGATATGTTCATAGATATGTTCATAGATATGTTCATAGATATGTTCATAGATGTTCATAGATATGTTCATAGATATGTTCATAGATATGTTCATAGATATGTTCATAGATATGTTCATAGATATGTTCATAGATATGTTCATATGTTCATAGATATGTTCATAGATATGTTCATAGATATGTTCATAGATATGTTCATATGAGATATGTTCATAGATATGTTCATAGATATGTTCATAGATATGTTCATAGATATGTTCATAGATATGTTCATAGATATGTTCATAGAAATGTTCATAGATATGTTCATAGATATGTTCATAGATATGTTCATAGATATGTTCATAGAAATGTTCATAGATATGTTCATAGATATGTTCATAGATATGTTCATAGATATGTTCATAGATATGTTCATAGATATGTTCATAGAAATGTTCATAGATATGTTCATAGATATGTTCATAGATATGTTCATAGATATGTTCATAGATATGTTCATAGATATGTTCATAGATATGTTCATAGATATGTTCATAGATATGTTCATAGATATGTTCATAGATATGTTCATAGATATGTTCATAGATATGTTCATAGATATGTTCATAGATATGTTCATAGAAATGTTCATAGATATGTTCATAGATATGTTCATAGATATGTTCATAGATATGTTCATAGATATGTTCATAGATATGTTCATAGATATGTTCATAGATATGTTCATAGATATGTTCATAGATATGTTCATAGATATGTTCATAGATATGTTCATAGAAATGTTCATAGATATGTTCATAGATATGTTCATAGATATGTTCATAGAAATGTTCATAGATATGTTCATAGATATGTTCATAGATATGTTCATAGATATGTTCATAGATATGTTCATAGATATGTTCATAGATATGTTCATAGAAATGTTCATAGATATGTTCATAGATATGTTCATAGATATGTTCATAGATATGTTCATATGTTCATAGATATGTTCATATGTTCATATGTTCATAGATATGTTCATATGTTCATATGTTCATAGATATGTTCATAGATATGTTCATAGATATGTTCATAGAATGTTCATAGATATGTTCATAGATATGTTCATATGTTCATATGTTCATATGTTCATAGATATGTTCATAGATATGTTCATAGATATGTTCATAGATATGTTCATAGATATGTTCATAGATATGTTCATAGATATGTTCATAGATATGTTCATAGATATGTTCATATGTTCATAGATATGTTCATAGATATGTTCATAGATATGTTCATAGATATGTTCATAGAAATGTTCATAGATATGTTCATAGATATGTTCATAGATATGTTCATAGATATGTTCATAGATATGTTCATAGATATGTTCATAGATATGTTCATAGATATGTTCATAGATATGTTCATAGATATGTTCATAGATATGTTCATAGATATGTTCATAGAAATGTTCATAGATATGTTCATAGATATGTTCATAGAAATGTTCATAGAAATGTTCATAGAAATGTTCATAGATATGTTCATAGATATGTTCATAGATATGTTCATAGATATGTTCATAGAAATGTTCATAGATATGTTCATAGATATGTTCATAGATATGTTCATAGAAATGTTCATATGTTCATATGTTCATAGATATGTTCATAGATATGTTCATAGATATGTTCATAGATATGTTCATAGATATGTTCATAGATATGTTCATAGATATGTTCATAGATATGTTCATAGATATGTTCATAGATATGTTCATAGATATGTTCATAGATATGTTCATAGAAATGTTCATAGATATGTTCATAGATATGTTCATAGATATGTTCATAGATATGTTCATAGATATGTTCATAGAAATGTTCATAGATATGTTCATAGATATGTTCATAGATATGTTCATAGATATGTTCATAGAAATGTTCATAGATATGTTCATAGATATGTTCATAGATATGTTCATAGATATGTTCATAGATATGTTCATAGATATGTTCATAGAAATGTTCATAGATATGTTCATAGATATGTTCATAGATATGTTCATAGATATGTTCATAGATATGTTCATAGATATGTTCATAGATATGTTCATAGATATGTTCATAGATATGTTCATAGAAATGTTCATAGATATGTTCATAGATATGTTCATAGATATGTTCATAGATATGTTCATAGAAATGTTCATAGATATGTTCATAGATATGTTCGTAGAAATGTTCATAGAAATGTTCATAGAAATGTTCATAGATATGCTGATATTTATCTGTGTTTGTCTTTTTTCAGGGACCAAGGATTGTTTTTTCATCTTTCTTCACATTCATCAACGCCCTTGTGGATGTTTCAAGCACCTCAGTGTCAGTGGCCAAGCGGTACTCGGTGTAGGCTTCAGGCACCACGAGCTTGACCAGCTCACGTGCAAGCCTCGGCTGCACCACGTGCCGGGTCAGGTGCCTATCCAACAACTGTGAACAAAAATGTTTGGGTGATAAAACCCACCAACAGCAAAATCCAAGGGCGGAAAATATCATTCAAAATCCAAGGGCGGTGATCATGGTCATGATTCGAATGCATAACGACATGCCAGTGCTCCATGGTTCCTTCACCGGTGCAAAAGCTTTGAATGAACTCGTCTTTCGGCTGACCCGGGAATATATTGCTGCCATATGTCGCCAATACGTGGCTATATCATCGTAACATACAGGGTTGGGTATAGTGACCAGGTTTGTGGTTTCAACATCAAATCTAATTTTCTTCCGTGTATCTCCATATTCTCTGCCTCTTCGGGCAGAGTTTCTTCTGCAGGGAGCAGGGGCCCCATGTCATCCCAACCAACTCTAGTGGCAAAGCCCCTCTTTGGCCACGGCTCAAGTTTAGAGCGAACCGGTACCCCGGTTACCACACCATAAACCATTTGGGTGTATTTAAAGCCGGGGCCCAAAAGATGGCTTTGTGACATTGGGTTTAAAAAAATATATATATCAAGTGGGATAAACTAGTCATAGGATGTCATAGGTCTGTTGCAAAACACTAGCTAGGACGATCACAATTGGGGTCTAATGGGTTTACCAGTTCGTGAGGCTGATGAGTATAAATCGACTTTGACCAATTTCACCATCCCTCCAACTAAAATAGACCCTGAAACGACCCATCCCAAAGTTGTAGAGTCATCTTCTAACCCCCAACTCATGGCAAGGTCTGTGTTAGTTGGAGGGATGGCAATCACTGTCAGCAAATGATAGCAAATGAATCAAATTATTAAATAGATTTGGCTGAAAATACCCAAAAAAAACACAGGTTAATCATCAGTTCATCATCCTATTCAATTGCCACATGGGATCTGTCTGAAAATGGGCTACACCGCATACCTCAAATAACAAAATGCATCACCTCTATGGGAAAATGATGATCAACCATCCAAATCTATCCTCTGGTAAACATACAAAAAGCTATTGAACATGGCCATATTTATTTCGTTGATTTACCCATTATTAATGATAGCATGGTGGATCTTTCCATAGTTATGTTATATATGTAAACGTTTACCAGAGGGTAAATCTCCATCAAACACCATTAAACAACCATGAACCACCACGAAAAACCACCAAATCCCATGGTAAAAAACAGACCTTTTACCAGAGGTTACCCATTAATAGCATGGTGGATCTTTCCAGTTCGTTATGTAGACCTTTTACCACCATCATCTTACTGGTGCTAAGTCCGTAGGGTGGCTGGATGGCTTGCTGGGGGTTGCTGGGACGAAAATTCCCTGCGTAAAACGCACCAGTAAGTCATTGTCAGATCATGTTCCCATGGTTTTTCCCATGGTTTTCCTATGGTTTACCTATGGTTTTCCTATGATTTTCCTATGGTTTTCCTATGGTGTTCCTATGGTTGTCCTATGATTTTCCTATGATTTTCCTATGATTTTCCTATGGTTTTCCTATGGTTTTCCTATGGTGTTCCCGTTTTCCCCTGGTTTTCCCATGGATGCCCCCATGGCTTCGGGATTCCGCACGCCCCCGCGGTACAGCGACCGTTCACTGTGAGTTCAGCCATCAGCTCTCCTCCGGTGCCCCAATAAATCCATGGGGATTTCGGGATTTCCAGGGTTAATAATGGTTAATAATGGTTAATAATGGTTAATAATGGTTGATAATGGTTATAATATTTGAAGCATGTTGAAGAATAAGTTAACAAGTGAGTAGAAATCATAGAAATATATAGAAATGGTTACCCTCTGGTAAACTAACATAGCTATTGAAAATGACCATAGAAATAGTGGATTTTCCCAGTAAAAATGTGGATCTTTCAATAGTTATGTTAAATTACCAGAGGGTATAATGGTTGATAATGGTAATAATATTTGATGGTCATAATGATAAGGTTGTTATGATGGTTATAATGTTTTCAGGGTTATTATTTCCAGGATTTATGGTAATAATGGTTGATAATGGTCTGGCTGGTGGTGCAATGTGTCCATCTTGAAAAATATGAAGAGTTCGTCAATGGGGTTGGGATGACATCCCATATATGAAATGGAAAATAAAAGCCATGTTTGAAACCACCAACCAGATGGTAAATATAGAGGTAAAATAACTCATTTACATTCATTTACCCCCTTTGTTTCTTTCATTTAGAATGGGTTTTTCGGCAACCCTGCAGATTCTCTCGCTAACCTAAAGTGTTATATAAATTCCAAATCCCAAATTAAGCCACCATGAGATCCCTGGTGATGGATCACAACAACCCCTGCCACCAGTTAAGTGGGCCCCAAATGGGGATGATTCTCCGAGATATTCACCATTCCAGTGACATAATCATGAGGTCATGATCAAATTCATCCAAACATATTGTGTTAAAGGTGTTCAATCATGACCTCATGACGTGACCTCAGAAAGTTTTTTTAATCAGGAGGTCATGGTGTTCAATCAGAAAGATGTTTTTATCCATTTTAAGGGGATTCGAAAAAAATGATGATATATGATTCGATACGCGTCTGACTTCACCATGCCGCTGGGCTGATTTTTGAATCGCGAGTCCAGAGCACAACCTTGGGGAGTGGAGCCAATGGAGCCAATAGGGAGGCCACCATCACATGATGAGGGTGCGAACAACTACCAGTGGGGATGCCAACAACAATAAATGTAGGTAAAACAATGTCATAAACTACCCATGACTGGGAATGGTAAGTTTATACCACCTATTTATGGCGATTTGGGGGATAGCTTATTCTTGTTTTACTCACATTAGTGGTCTCTTGGTCTTGTCTTCCTCTCCACGCGCAGGATAAGCATCGCCAAGCCCCTCAGTCCGTCCCGAATGGTGACAGATATGGTTGATACCGACTCCAGTGGATGGGTTTTTTCCCCCCAAGACCCGGCCTGGTAAACTAACATAGCTATTGAAAATTGCCATTTGTAGTGGATTTAAACATTTAAAATGGTGATTTTCCATAGTTATGTTGGTTTACCAGAGGGTACATCTTTTAGTATAATCCCCCGTGTGGATTGGCAGCTTACGCAAGCTGGTCGGCTGTCCGGCCCAGATTGACATGTGTGAACTATTTGTACGAAGTCAGAGAGTACCCGAATTCATCACCATAAACAATACTCAGAGAGTACCCCGAATTACCCATCTGAAAATACCCAAACGGGGGGGGGTAAACCAATGCTCAACTGGGCATGGATATTCACCCATCGCAATGTCATCTCCTGACATGGCCCGGATGGACAGATCCAATGCCTGCAGGGCGGTGCAAAATGGGGGCAATTGGCGCCAGAATCGCCATGGTTTTTGTAGGGAAAATATCGGAAAACGACGATAAAGCAACAAAGTTATCTTTTGTTTCCCCAATTCTTTTAACAAACCCCTGCAAAATGTTGGGATCGTCGTCTACCCAATCTTTTTGGTGTCTTAAAGGTTGAACCGGCTTCCGGTTTCCATAGGGGGACAACCCACCATATACACCTTGTGGTTGGGTGTCCAAAGAAAATGTTTATGGTTTGGTTCACACACTTTCGTTGTGCCATCGAATGAATTGGAACTGGAAAGAACAGGGGCTTCGTTCCGCGTCAGATCATTCCCCTTCACTTCTTTAGCTCAAGACACTGCCGGATTGTCTGCAAGATCTTTTCTCATCTGCCTGCTGAATCCTTGAAATACCGCAGAGCTACTCCAGCATTGTTAGCATGTGAGTCACGGAACCCTAAGAATACGCTATACCTTTCTTTTCTTGGGAATCATCTTCGCTCTTTTTTTGGGAGCAGCCTCAACTTTGGGCTTCGCCTTTTTGGATGATGGCTCAGACCTCGTCTTCCTAGTCTTTTTCATGCTTTTGGCAACTTTGGCCTTGTTTTTCCCGTCAGCTTTTCTCGTTTTCGCACCTTTGGTGGCTTTCTTGGGGCCTGGCACCTTGCTGTTCGCTTTCTTGGGCCTCTGGGCCTGCAAAAATCTCGCCACCTCCAGGTTCCCAGCACTCCTGGCCAATTGTGCTGCACTGCTGCCCACATCAGTCACTGCATCAGTCTCCACCCCCAGCTGCACCAAGAATTGGACCATCCGCAGCTCACCGACTGCAGCTGCCACATGCAAGGGCCGGACACCAGTGTGGCTCATTTGCTGCTCCAGATTGGCGCCAAAGTCATGGAACAACTGGGCAATTGCTTCATTGCCTTGAATGGCCGCGACGTGCACAGGTGTCAAACCATGCTTGGCCGCCTTGCCCTTGTCCGCCCCAGCCTCAAGCAACAAACGAACTGAGTCTAGGTGTCCTTCATGGGACGCCAAGTGCAGCGGAGTGATACCCCAGGCAACAGTGCCCCTGTCGCAGTCGGCCCTAACCTCCAACAACAAACGAAGAACCTCCACGCAGTTCTCTTGCGCAGCCAAATGCACAGGTGTCAGCCCCTCCTCGCTGGGGCTGTCTTTCTCCGCTCCGGACTGCAGAAGCAAGTGAACGACCTCCAAGTGACCAGCAACTGTGGCCAAATGCAATGCTGTTTGTCCTTCTCTAAAAACCGGTTCCTTCTCGCACCCTGCCTCCAGCAACAGGCTGATGCATTCCGGACTTCCCGCCCATGCAGCTGCATGCAATGGCGTCTTTCCCTCACCACTGGAGACGTTGGGATTTCTGGGCAACTTCAGCAGTTCCTCCAGCTGTTTATGGTCCTTCTCCTCGCAAGCCGAAATCAGCTTCAGATCCTCCTTGGGATCTGAGGGCCAAAATTCCAAGAAGACCAGCCGCAAGGTCCATCCTTCATCCCCATCCCCAGCCCCAGGGGCCCCAGGGGCCCCAGCCACCAGCTCCCCATCCGTCAGTTCCCTGCCATCCTCCCGCAGCAGGCGCTGGTGGAACCGGGACCGTCTCAGCTGCGGCGCCAGCAGCCGCTTCAGCTGCCGCCCCTCGAGGCCTTGGAGCTTGGAGCTGGGGAAGGAGGCCAGGCAGCTGCCCGACACGGCCGAGCAGATCTGCAGCATGGGACGACACGGATGTGGCACACGTTGCGGCTGGAACAGGTGGAACACAAGGTGGGACAAACCAAGAAAAGTGGTTCTTTCTCTGTTTTTGTTTGACACATTTAAATGTAAAGTTGATAGATTGATGTTCCGAAAATGTATAGGATACATGGCATGAACTGTGGCCTATTTGAGCTGCAGAATCGAAACTGGTGGACCCTCATGGCATGCGGAAGAGTGGATCTTGGGTGTTTCTTACGTTTCCGGTGGAATTGACTTCTGATGCTCATGTAACTTAAAAGTCTGAGACATTACTGAGACTTGAGCCTGCCGTGGCGCTTGAAACCCTTGACGCTCTGCCCATCAGGTCGTCACCCCGAATTTCCGGGCGCCAAAAAAACCATTCTGCGATACTGGCAGTCTCTCAGTTTGTCTATGTATCAAAAATTGGGAGGTCCAACCGAAAGACCATCAGGAGTCGTAGGCTGACAGCTACATCACAACAAACATGTTCTTCTAAGGAATCTACCACCAGAGTCAACCCCACATTCACCAAGCCTAGTCCTCAAAAGAGAGCTCAACTGCTCTTGACCAACTTGTTTGGCATTGAAATCTCTGTTCTGACTCAGCAAAATCTGGAACTTCCTTTAAAACCATGGGACACGCAAATTTGCTTGGCATGTTTAGCTAGTACAGCCGAAAACTCACATGAAGCCCAAAAAAAAACCGTCCCGGAGTTTGTCGGTTGGGAATTCTGACAGAATTCCCTCCACGGATTTGGTTGGTAATACAGTGGGCTTCCTGTTGATTCTTCCCTTAAATCCAGCCATTGAAACTTCCGCACCTGGCGCCGCTCCTTCTCCTCAGCCTCCACAGTATCCCAGAGTGCATCCAGCTGATCCTGACACGTGAGAGGTTGTTTCAAACGAACAAATGGAAAACAACGCAGAAAGGAAACACCTACCATGCTTTTGGGGGAAGTTGGTTGTTTGTCATAAATTAATATTATATAGATATAGAAGAAACGTAGATGATTTCGTTTGGGAAACCATGGCTTTTGCATATCCATGTTAATTAGCTGGAGGGTACAACCTCAGCTATATACTATATAATTGTTGGTAAATACCCAGGGGCCCCTCATATAGTTATCGGCTATACGGATATAGAGGGATATAAGTTGAACCCATTCAAAGCAAAGGATATAACTTGCTGCAAGATCCACGTCTTGTCATAAGTGAGACACGCCTCGAATGTCATTGGACCTCTCCAACCCCCACCAAAATGCCGCACGCCATGGAGAGTGTTGCCAAAAAGAAAGATTGTTTTTAGCTGGATGACAATTAGGTTTGCCTGAAAATAGTGCACCCCAAAATGGAGTCAATCATTATTTTCCCCGTGAAACTGCAACTTCATGGCAAAAAAAAAATGTTCAGACACTCAAACATCAGGTTTTCCTCCCAGTCAGCGGCAGTGCCAGCCATGGCGCTAAGACATGTTGGATCCAAGAACGCAAACACCATAGAATGTGGCTGAAACATGCTGAAACACTGTGGCTGAATTTCGGATGAGCCATGTAGCGGTGGGTGGGTTCTCAGCCTTGAGCCATCGCTTGTGGATTCCATAACACTTGCTGGAAGTGTCCAGCCCCAGTTTGTGAATTAGTAGGGCCCCAAATAACTAGATATGATCCCAAGTCTAAATGTATATCATCTAAATGGAATATGTGCGTGTGTGTATGTGTGTGTGTGTTTGTGTCTTACCTTCCACGTTAAAAACTTGGGGCTTTGAAACGCAAAGTGCACCCAGAAGCCTTTTTCTCATGTAGATATCGAAGTTCATGGCTTGGCCATCTTCGACCATGCTAAACAAAGGGCCTTCAGCTTAACTTTGATGAGATCCTGCCTCAGAAAGCAGCGACCAAAGTTGACCCTGGCTGTAGTCTGTAGCAAGTTTCACCAGAAATGGCTCAAAATTGCAGCAACAAAAAGGACATGAATGGCTGAAAGTGCAATGCCCGACCATTGTCATTTCTCTACCGGAAGTGTTGTGCCACCAACCCATTTGAAATCTCCTGGGATCATTGCATCCTCCGGTGAAAGATCTGAGAATATCTGAGAAAGCAATATCTGCTGCTCCGAAATCATCGACCACAAAAACCATGGGTCAATGACAGTCATTGTCTGAGCTTGTGGGAACGGCCATGAGTAATGATTGTTATCCCATGTTATCCCATGTTATCCCATGTTATCCCATCCTCCTCCAGGATTTTTTGAACAGCAAATCTGCAACATGCCTTGGCCCCTTGGGAAATTGTCCATGGCTTTTCGGGGTCTCCCAAGTGAAGACATGCTCAATGCATCTGGGGGTGTTTGTTCAACCGTGGAATGGATTATAATTATAATGCTATATCATTCCCTTTCCAAAAGTGGTACCTCAGCTAGGGTACCTCAGTCAAAAAAACTACATCATTTCCCTAGTTGCTAAACAAACTTGAGTGACTGAGTGATCATAATTTTCCGATGTGGCAGTGTGTCAAAACCTTGTACCCCTGGTGAACATCAAAATAGCTGGTAAATGGATGTTCATTCCCCTAAAAATGGTATTAATAGGTATTGATCCATACCCATGTGTTTTCTAGTTCACAACCACCACCCTCCAAGGTCAAAAATCATCATCCAGGCACTGACCTTCCGCGCTCGAGCTTTCGCTGCGCTCTGGGGCAACATCGACGCATGCATCTCCTGCAGCAATTGATCCATGGTCAGGAGCTTCTTACGCAGACCTCGGGACCCTCCTCCCGGGATGGATCACGGCGGGTGACGGGCAATTGACATCGTTTTCCCAGATTTATGACATGTATGGCGACCAAAAAATGATGATCAAAGTGATCATCTCATCATCTCAGGAAGAATGTGCCACAATTTTAAGGGGAATCACATGGATGAGGACCATGGGATGGGGATTCAAGCAGCAGTTCTTGGGCTATGAACCATGATGAACCAACAAACATACGGGATTCAATGGAAAATACACAGGAGCATACGATTCCGTGGAACCTCGTCATGGTCATGATCCAGTTTCATCCATGTATACCCTGGAGTTCATAGAAAATAACCTTATAGAATTTCCCCAAAAGTGTCTAAAACATTCTAAAACTTGAATTTTAAGCAAATGTAAGAGATACGTATGTCTATCATTGTCTATCTATCTTTTCTCTCAAGTATGACGGTACTCCTTGCAAACTCACCGACATGTCGGTGTTCCGACTCACAGCAGTACCTGGTGGTTCAAACCCCTCAAAACTGGTCACTTTTTGGATCATCCTAAGACCGTTGCTGAAGGTCGTCCTAGCCCCACAGCTGAGGATTAGTTCTAAAAAAGAGGGTTTGTGGTGAAGAATGGCCCTACTATATAGGTCTGAAAATACATTTTGAGTGAGGTGTATCAACTACTTACATGTATTTGGTGTTCACCTTTGGACTTTATTCATTACGCTTTCACTATCCATTGAGAAAACCCAGGTCCTGATCCGGACATCCCATCGATGCTACATCCATCATATTAATATGAGACCCAAGACTTAGCCAGGGACTTGGAGAGCCGGAAAGCAAGCGGACAGCATTTCATTCCGCTATTCTACATCTTAGAGTCCTAGAGTATACAGCAAAATATGACTCATTGATGTGATTCCGCAACCCAAACACATCAACTTGTCCCACATCATTGCCCCTCATTTGAGCCATTAAAAATTCCACTATCCCAAACCGGTTTCCCTACTATGGCTTAGTTCATACCCCCCAACCAGACCCAGCTAGGTTCGCAATTCCCTATTTCAACCCATCCACCCATCTTTCATTTCCTGAAGTTCCCACTTGAAAAAACTTCCATTTATAGTTCTGAATTCTCCCTATTTCAAGCTCCAAAAAACACCATCACCCATCACCTCCGCATCCCAGGGACGTTTGTGCTCCTGCATCAGCAGGGACACATCAATGGACCGCGCAGGGCCTTTGAGGCGCATGCATCCTTCGACAAATTCCGTGGCATCCAGGTCACCGTTGCCACTCGTGTCCATCCTGAAGGTCGAGACCGAAAGAAAGCGTCAAAGATGGGGAGTTCATGCAGAGGCAAAATGGGGGATTTCATGGCGATTTTCATGGGGATCAATGATGTTTCTGCTCGCACCGTTCAGAATTCAAGAAAATTGATAGAAAAGATAGAGAAAAATTGGATGTTTGCCAGCAAATATAGTCATACAAAGACCAGGACCTTGCTGGGTGGGTGGCTCTTATGGTGAATGTAATCAACGCCGGAACTCTTCATGTGCAATGCGAACATCGGCCATGTGGGATTTTTCATTCAAAGAAATGGTTTCGCCCTGAATTTGCGAAGAAATTTGGGGTAAATTGATGATTCCCTGAGTCTTAAAGATACCCAACTGGGAAACAAATTCGAAACCGAAATGCGAAATTGTTCTCATCTAAATTTTAAACTTGGAACTTGTGGTTCAGTGACACATGCTGAATGTTCGGAAGGTCTTCGAAAGCATTCGCGAGCAGCGATGTGACCACACATCATCCTGCCACTGGTTGAATGTGATTACAACAGATCCAATGACTCCTAATTTGGATGAACCTCAGTGCGTCACAAACTGTGGTTCTGGGATCACTGTTTCCTTGAGGTCACCCGAGACTGAAATACCGACCACTAACCACATTGATGCCAAGACTCAATTTGAAAAGGGTCCACGCATCGCTCGTTTCCACGTCCAAAGACTGGAAGAATGATTGGATGTGAGGTTCGTTGAAGAGAGCTTCCTGTCCATGTGCAGCCCTACAAAAACCACATTCTGGGGATAAACCATGGATCAAGGACTTTTTTTTTCGCGGTTCCCCGGCTCAAAAGAATCAAAACATGCTGCAGAATGTCATCCAATCTAGTCTCCATGCTGCACAATCATTTCCACACTGCAAGAGAGTACTGAGTACTGCACCCTAGTCTCCATGAATGAAATTTACCCACATGTGAGACAGAATATCGTTTACAATCCCTGACGCTTGTCTTGTGCCAAGTTTCAAATTCCATGTAGGTGAGATTTTCTGAAGCCACGTCGCCCCGTTCAATCTGAATGGACTTGAAGACAGACATGAACATCTCGACTTGTTGCTGCTTGGAAGTCACTACCGATTGAACATGCAGTTCTTGATCCCGTTCAGCGCTTTCAATTGCTGATTGGCAAAACCTGATTTTCAAATTTGCGCGTGCTGATGCCGCAAATGGAAGGCTGCGTTTTGCCCTCAAAACGGATTAAAATGTTGCCATAATCATGAGGTTGTGGCCGCAGGTAAACCTTATTTTCGTCAAAATAAAATCAAGCCCACAACATGAAAAACAAAAACCATTCTTGTTTTGCTCCAAGTTTCACACCGGTCATGACATTTAGGACAGCGAAGCAACAGAACGCGACCTCAAACGACATTCATAACGATGATCGTCTTGAACTGGGGAATGCCCGCCCGGACCACCAACCATCATATAGCACTCTGATCATATGGCACTCCGAAGGTGAAGTGCCAGGCATGTGTCAAACCAATGTGCAATGCGACATGGTTGTCCCACGTTGAAGGTGCCGTGCATCATGTCAAGCGTTCAAAGAAACGGACAAGGAAAATTCACAAAAGAAATTTTACAGAAGTGGAGAGTTCACGCAATGGATCTGCATCAGGATCCTTGGCTAGGGGTTTGTGCTTGTACCTTGGGTTCAACAGGCGCTTGCGAACCAAAATTTGCCATGCAAGAACAGCTCGTCATTGAAGCTCAGACGTGGCCAACCCAAACGACTTTGCAAAAGGCAGGTCAAGTTAGAAAATCTACTTATGGCAAAAATGAAAAGAAGAGTTGGAGGGTCGCCGCCCTTGATGGCCAACGGCTTGGTGAAAGCTGCAGCAGCCACGGCGCACAGCAGCAGCACACTACAGCGAAGCGAGGCCAAGCCGCGGAAACACAGAGAGTACCTAAGTAGATCTTAGTGAAACAAGCTAGTGACACCTTAGCGCGCGAGGCATGCAAGTGCACTCAACAAACCAAATGTTTGACACCGCTGGAGGTCTTAAAGAACCTCGGATCTTTCAACCACACGATTTGTTCATTTCCCATGGCGGAGACTCCACACGGTCTCCACCATGGCACACATGTTCCCCCAGGGCCAGTGGACGCCCTGAGGCATGGCAGCCCCCACATCCGTTGTGAATGTGGCTATCACACGATACCCGCCTCCGTTGCCACCATGCCTGCGCTAAAACGCCACAAAGGGAAGCGATGGGCAGTATAGGAGGCGATGGGCAGTCCCAAATTCATGGTCCAGTGAGGAAAGGACCGACACGAGGGGCATTATTGCCGATAAGGAAATGGGCGTGTTGCAAAAGGGCAAGGCAAAAGAAATACAAGCACAAGTGAACTCAAAACTTCAAAACTTGGCTGGTGTTCATTGAACGGTATTGATTGCGAAATGCGCGCATCAGTCGCGCGCGTTGAGAAACACACATGCATGTCAGGCATCGCTTCTGCAAGGGTCAAGTCGCAACATCAAACCAAAACTGCTGCCAGAACATGTGATAATCTTGGTCCGCGATCGAGGACAAAACCGGCACATTGGCACAGTGATACTTATGGCCCAACAGTCCAACGCAAACAAGCATCAACTCCAGAGAAGGAACATCAGTGTCACATGAAGAAGTCCTTCGAACTTACGTGGCGATCTAAGGTTTCCTCATGCCGAGACGTCAGTGCCCCGGGTGCCCCAATGAACACGGGTCCCTTGAAGTACAACATCTACAGTTGAAGTTAAAATAAAACCTAACCCCGCATCTTGACGCAAATCCCATGCCTCCATTCTTCTGTGGAAGAAAATTTTGCACTGTTGCCTTCAGCCAGCACTGTATGAAAACAGCTTTCGGATTGCACTTTGGTTTGACATATGCCTGGCACTTCGTGTTTGGAGCGCCACCCAAGCGCGAAATTCCAAAAACACAAAACAGAGACCAAAGCATTCAAGTTTCAAAAGTGCCGCAGTATACAAGAAAACACTTGCGTGGGACTTAAGTTCTTGAACTTGACCTATCCTAAATGGAAACAAAGAACTAGATGTGAAGTACATCCTTTGCTATGCATGGCCTCCACCTTATCATAAAGATATGTGACATCTATTTTCTATTTTCTGATATCGATTTTGACAGATAGATTTCTATCCCGACATATCTTCTGACATGTGAAGAAACATCTCTTGCTGGTCTGCTGGCATACCTTCTAACATGTTGTCTGACACTTTCTCTGTAAGTAATGACACATATTCTGACAGGTGTTTTAAATTTATCTTGGCAAATGTGTAATATCCTGACATCTCTTCTGACATAATCTGCGGCAGCTTCTCAGTCGTGTATCCTTACAGTTTCTCTGGCATTTATCCTGACACCTTTCCTGACACATATGTATATCCTGACATACTTTCTGACATGTCCTCGGGCATATCTTCTGTACATTCGGACAGGTTCTCTGATGCCGACATTTATTGCAACAGTTTCTCTGACAAATTTTCTGGACAGTTTTCGGACATCTTTATATTCTGATAATTTTCTGACCTACGTTCTGCTTGCTATGATAGGAGAGGAGGGGAGAGGAGAGTAGAGGAAAGGAGAGGAGGAGCTGACACAGGAGCTGGCAGAAAATCTAGAGACCCTCACCTGACAGTTGTCAATCATGTCAGACAACAAAAATGCATGTTCAAGCAATATAATTAGTATCATTAAGGTCAACCTCACGAAACCTTTTTTCAGAAAATCCCAGGCACGTATATGAGATATAGATATCCCCATATCCAGCTAAGTCTGTACATGTTGTCGGCCACTTCTCCCCAGGTCAAGCCATTGGAGATGCTTTGGAACAACGTTCGCATTGAACGCTCCAAATCCGAAAAGCGCAATCGCAGGAAGGCTGTCTCTGTCGCACTGATCTCAAAGTTGCTGATGTATTCCGTGGACACGTCCGTAAAAACTATGGCAAACACGTAGATAATCATCCTTGGTTCCCAGGTCTTGCTGTTGCGCTCACTAAGAAAAAATGCAACAGTGAATCCGACCAGTCATGACGCATCAGTTTTTGTCCTGCGTTTTACTGGAGCTGGAAAGTTAAATAGAATGAAAAGAATTTGATGTTGTTCTACTGCAAGTCTTTTCCCACGGTCATCGGATAATGTCCCTATCTCCTGTAGGCTTACTTCATGGGGTACATAAGTATGGATGCCAGAAGTTCGGCGCATAGCCGTTTTCTTGCATGAATTCTTGCATGTTTATGCCTTGGCATATTTACATGCATCATCTTTTTCCCCACCTGTCAGGTCTGGGTTGTTAGATTTTATGTCAGCTGGCCCGCCGCCTTCCTCCTCCTTCTCCTCCTCCTTCTCCTTCTCCTCATCCGCCAGACCTCAACTGCAAGCTCTAGATCGCAGTGTTTCCTGCCGGGCCCGAACAGCAACCTCTGGAACGATCAGTGTTCCCAGCCGACCTCCACCGCAAGCTCCGGATCAAAGTGCTCCCCGCCGGACCTAAACAGCGACCTCTGGATCAGAGTGTTCCCCGCCGGACCTCAACCACAAAGAATCTCCGAGGATATACCAAATAGAATGCCAGAAAAGAATGTCAGAATAGATGCCCGATAGAATGTTAGATAGAATGCCAGAATGCATGCCAGAACGTATGCCAGAACATATGGCAGAAAAAATGCCAGATAGAAGGCCTCGGTATAGATGCCACAAAGGATGTCAGAATAGATGCCAGATAGAATGCCAAGATAGAATGCCAGATAGAATGCCAGATAGAATGCCAGAATAGAATGTCAGAAGATTATACCATATATATATATATAGTTCCAGATGATATGTCAGAAACTATGACAAATAAGTGTCAGGATGGGGATCACTCGAAGTAAGATATATACTTGTTTTGGCATTGACTGACTTATTTCAAGAACCTGCTACGTTTGAAAAAACAAACGCAGTTGCCAGCATTGAATGGTTGAATGAATATACAAAGTAAAGTCATTCTTGGAGACATTGTAAAACAAAGGTCATTGTGTGACTTTCAGTGACCAAAATGGCGCATCTTTTCACTGCACAGGCACTTGAGACATCATGGACACTAGAGAACGCTCAAGTGGTTTTGAGTCAGGCTAAGGCAGATATATTGCTACCTACCATCTGGTTGTTTAAAATAGCCATAGAAAATCACCATATCCATGGCTTCCATGTCTATGTTAAATAACCAGAGGGCAATTGATTTGCCAATGAAATTTGCCTGGTGGCTTTCTGAAAATGGCAATGTCTTCATCGAATCTGCCAAGGTTGATACAGGAGTTACTGGTCTCATGGAGCAACCTGCCTACTTCGCTTTTGGAAGAAAGTCGTTCCACAAGTGACAGTTTTGCTACGCAATTTACCCGTACCGTTTCTGTGTCTGTGGCAAAGAAGTCTTGGTCACGGGAAACCAGCTAGTTTCCCCATCTACTATTGGGAAACCCTGCTGAACGGAGACTGACCAATGATTTTTTATTAACCACTGATCCGTGGGATTCCAAATCTCCCAGCACTCACCTTTCAACCCAGCATCATTAACAATAGGACTGACCACATGAGCACCTTCAAAGTCCCAAAGATCGAGTGAACTAACGACCTCCAACGATTCAGAAGGGCCCCCCACAAGAAATGCCAAAACAAACCAACAAAATATGAAAAAATATTTGAAGGGACCAGATATCCATGATATCCAGAGATTTGGCCAAACTAATTTCCACAAAAAATCCGACTCAAAGCCGTTTTTCTTACCCGCCTCAGGGCTCTGATGAATCGTACAATCTTCACCACTCGCACCACGCGAATCACTCGGGTCACCCGTAGGATGCGGATGATTCGAACGTTGCCAGACATCAAGGCATCTGCATCTGAGGCCAACTGATCCATGGCAATCTCTGACACCAAGTTCAGGACGCTGGTGAAGACAATAATCACATCCTAAGTCTCCAAGGATTGGTTTTGTTGGGAAAATCAGCAAACCGGAAACCGATGGGCTTTTACCATCAAATAAAGGGCTTTCCTGTAAATGTTTCCCATCATCCAATTCTATGATCCTAAGTCTCCAAAACTTCCATCTCCATGACACACCACTAAGAACAATCGTCTGTGTTTCCTTTAGGAATTCCAAGCAGACGGGCTGTAACTCCAGACCGCAGGCATAAAACCGGGTATTTATTTGTATATTCTCAATTGGGGATGGGTCAAAACCTATTAGTATCAATTTTAATGGGATGAACATCCATTTACCAGCTGTTTTGTGGTTCACTAGGTACCAGGGTTATGACTCATAGCCAATGATTAGCATATCTTAGGTGAATACATCGACCAAAATCCTCGCCGAGACTCCAAGTAGTTCCAGACCATATTTGGCGACGACCAAAAAAATGGCCAGCCCTCGGCCAAGACTCGCAAGATCAGCTCCACGAGGAAAAGCAGGGCGTAAACCCTGGAGCGCTCGTGCATGTGGTGGCAGAAAAGAGATCACTGGCAACCAAAATGACAAAAGAAAACGAAAAAATAAAACATCGGAATTCATCACAAGACCATAGAAGAGACATGACCATCATGACCCATGACTGCCATACTTAAGCACAACTGGGCCAATGCAGCAACTGTAAGACAATACTTGAAAGACAAGCATCTGTTCAACGATAAAGAATGCAGGCGGCAAGGGGCTCCCCATGCTTTGGGCTGCATAATGCACTTGCACACCAATGAGTAGAGAATTCGACAAGATAGCTGACGCAAAAAAGACCTCAGGCTGGGGAGGAAAGCCATAACCAATTGTTTTGGAAGCAGGCCCGACAATTATCATGCATGCACCAATGTTGAAGAAACACAAACACATATATCATACATCCACTATCTGTGGCTATCCTAACCATAGCGATCGTCCCCATTGCCGTTCACACGCTTGTCGGACAAGTCACCTACTGTTTCTATCTTCCCACATGCTTTTTCAACCAGCCTGTTGGCACCTTACCGATCCCCGCCTCAAACATCCAAGAGTTCACGATTCTCTTGGTGTGGTGCATCATACCAGTCGGTCGCACGACTCCACTGGCCCTGCCAAAGGCTTTACGATTTGCCTCTGCCGCGCGATGTTTTTAGACAGGCCACCCTTTTAAGGTCAATGTGCACAAGATGCGATGGTATGCCAATCATCTAACCCCATCCTTGTATCTATGCATGCACACATGTTAAGTCATCTTACTAAACAGTTCATTCTTTGAAGATTATCACGTGTGCTTTTTGTGAGTCACTGTATGGCTTGTTGATGAATTACTACTGAAGTTCTGGCGAGTCGGTCCGATGCAAAATCTACACTGCGTCTGCAGTCCACTGTGAGTCTTTCGGCAGGAAATCTTGCAAGCTGAGGGCATGGTTTAAACATCCCTAAGGCCAACCGCAACTGCACCAGTTCGCTGTAACTGCCACAACTGGGGTCGGTTTACCATCCCAAGTCTCCTTGGTTGGATCTGGAAAGTGTTTCCCATGGTTGCCCCGCCATGCGCCATGCCCCACCTTCTTCTGATCCTTCATCAGTTTCTCCTGGTACAACTTGTCATCTCCAGAATCCAGCGAGGTGATCGAAAGCCTGCTGGGCTTCCGGCTGTTCTTCATTTTGATGAGGAAAAATGGCCAAGGGGTCCAAAAAAGAGGTTTGCCAGTGGACCCACAAACTTGATCATCTTTAACATTGGTCAATTGGCTTAGTGGAAAGCACTAATTTTACCATCTTGAATAACTGACAGTAACTGACATATCAAATAGATTTCAAGTGCATGAAATCTGACCATTTCGCTGAAACTCGCCTGCTTCCCTTGCTCACGGGGGAGCGGGAGGATTCCACCATCTCCCCATTGGAGCCATTGGAGCCTGGCGCAAGGGTCCAGAGAAAAACTATTCTGGGATATGAAGTGAAGTGCTGAGTGCAGAACCAAAAAGTGGATAGTTGACCATTGTTTTTGCCATTCGAGAATTTCAATCAGCACATATCAGCACAATAGGCACACGGTCAGACCCACCAGATCACTCCAAAGTCCAAGCTATCACATCACAGAGGTTTTCTGTTTTGATCGCATCAAGGAGGTTTCGTGTTTGAAAATCTCTTGGGAGGTTTGACGTAACTTGTATCTCTGACACCACGAACTCAGGATGTCTTGGACTTGGCGGAGAAGTCCATGTACTCCACTGTATCAAGTGCCTACCCTCTGGTAATTTAACGTAGCTATTGAAAATGGCCATAGAAATAGTGGATTTTCCCATTAAAAATGGTGATTTTCCATAGCTATGTTAAATTACCAGAGGGTAACTTATTGGGATAGGGGTAAAACAAGACTTGTTGGTGATGCACCCAACTCTTGCTGATTGGCAAAACATCCCAACCCCGACTGGTGACTGGTGTTTCATGTTTGCTATCGTTGAATCCCCAAGATTCCGAATTTGTTCTGGGTTGATCCGGGGTTTTTGTTATTGAGAAAACCATGTTAAAGATTCTTAAAGTGTTTTTAACATGTTCGAGCCTCTAAAACCATGGTTTTTCTATGGGTTTCCCATGGTTTCAACATGTTTCCCCCTATCTTTTCTCCTAAAATTCATGGCACGTCAAACACAGAAATCAGCCAAGAGACCCTCAAGCTCCGACCACAACTCGTTAGGGATCGAATCATCCAGATCTTCCTCTTCCTCCGGTGCAACCACCGGCGCACCTCAGCATGGGATCAACTCATAAGGGTGCGAACAAAACTGGGATTCAAAATTGATGAATAGTGGAAATATGTGGAAATATGAGGAAAGAGGTTTGAAAACCTGAATCGAATTTTGTAACCTCAAAATGCGTGAACATCCACAACAAGTCGACTACTCGGGCAACATTTTGTGGATGTGTTTGTGTGTTTGTTTTGCCAACCCATTCTGGGTTGAGATTGTAATTTTGGCAAATGTTTCATGGGTCCGGCCGCAACAAAAAATAACACCACCGATCCAACTGAAATCTGAAAGACTTGCAAATCCGAGACAAAGTTTGCTGTTTCAAACCTATCATGGCCTAGGGTGGCTCCAACTCCAGACCTCCAAATTTCAGGATTTCACCGGGCCAAGGACGATTTGCTCAGCTTCAGACTGAATCCATAGTTGCCAAGCACCAGCTCCAGCTGTTTGATGAGCCTCGCAAATATCCCAAAAAGAACACCAAATTCCTATGCCCTAAATGACTTTGGCCAAAACCAAACCATGGTTGCACAAAACGGCTCAAATGGGGTCTCAAAATGGGGGATCCCGAAGTCACCATGGGTTTCAATACTAAAATGGTCAAACTGTGGATGACTTAGGATACCCCGAACCTCCAAATGATCAACTTCAGCCAAGGGAACTCAGAGTTGTTGCTCCGCAGCAACGTTTTGAAGCGCTGCTCCCATTCCTCCGGTGTGCTTGGCGACCCAGGAGGTTCAGACCTGAACAGAAAGCCACAGGAATGCACACGACGTAACAGGTGCCCGTCCCCGTGGTGTGTGGAGATTTTGATCATTCAGAGATGAACCTCTTGTGACACGTGTGCATGGTAATGGAATGCATGTTCAGCGAACCATCACATTTGGAGACGTGTCAGACTTGTGAATTCTTGTGGGACCCTTTGAAATCGTGACATTGGCGCCACATGAAACTTCCCTGGTCGCCCCAGGTCTCAGGTCCGAGCAGCTTGAAGTCGCTCATGGTGGATACCGTTGAGTTGAGCCAAAGGGGACTCACAAACCCACGGAATCTGTGTCAGGGTTGATTCACTCTCGTGGCAGTGTTCCGGTTTAAAAATGAAACTCATGGCAATGTGAGTGGCACTTCAAGCGTGGCACAAGAAGCCACAAAAAGAAACAAGTCTCTCAACTGTTGAGCTTGTACCAAAGACTCCAAACTGCGAAAAGAACGGCAATGCTCGGACACTATTGTTTTGAACCAGGGCCTGCACACGGTCACACAGGAGTTCTGTGCAGAAACGTTCATGTGATTTCACATGAAAATGGAACTGGTTTCCAAGTGTTTGCACTGTCTCGGTTTGTGCGTGTCATCCTTCATGCAGTGGCCATGAACACCATATTGACAGACATGAGCACTATTGTAAATTCTTCGTACTCCTCCTTGGCCATTTGAGCAAGGCTGTAATGGCCATACTGCCATCAGTGTTTTCCACCGCCAATACATTTCAGAAATCGCACATTCTTCAGTTTCCAAAATTTCTCTATGAGAAAGGAAAACCATCAAAAATCACTCATGCACATTGCTCTTCATCCATTGTTGATTGCTGCAAGAAGCTGCCCACCATACTGAGTGTACCTCGCAGCGATGTTGGGCAGTTGACTACGAATTTGATCAGCCATCCCCTCGAGGTTCCTTGCAAGCTCGGTGTAGAGGTTGGCTCTTGTCTCACGGCTCATTGGAATCTGTCCATTGGTCGTGTCGAGGATGAGGAGAACACACTGCTGAAACCTTGCTGCCATTGCAAAATCAGATCTTGCTAGGCATTCATTCACTTCTGCCCTGAGCGTGTGCACGATCTGCATGAAGTCACTCTCTGGCTCCACTGTCTCATCACGCTCCATGGCTTCACTTTCAGCAGACTCGTTCTGAGTCATATCAGTGTCATCCCCCCTCGCTGTGCCTTGATTCTGTTGTCTCACTGTTGCAAGGTATCGATCTGTTCCCATGACTCTTCGTGCAACAAGGTTTGCACGTTCTTGCTCGAACATATGTCTTCGGTCATTTGCATCAAGTGACCTGACAGGTGTAAAGCCACCCAACTCCACCATACCATAGTGTACCTGTTCGGCTGAGTCAGAAACCATCTCGATCTCACCTTGAAGTTCATTATGAGCCTCTCTGAGTCGCCTCAATGACTCACTCAAATTTGTCACTTGTCCCTGAAGAGCATTGATTTCCTCTACATGCTTGTTCACAAGGTCATCCAGGATTGAGATGTCTGTGAAATGTTGATCACGCAAACCTTCGTACAAATCTTGAACCCTATTGTACGCTGAATCCAGAATCGCCATTTGTGTGTAGCAGTGATCATAGGAACTCAGGGCGTCCTGTACTTTCCTGTAAAGCCTATACCAAGCACCCAAAATCACCAGCAACACCATGAAGAGAAACATCACCATTGCAAATGAAATTCCTCCTTGATCATTGGGCTCATTCAAACACTTCTCGCCAGCGTTGAAACCATCATCATCCAATACTGAAATCGATAAGGCCGTGGCACCACCTGACTCAAGGCCCAGTAGCATCACGATTCTGGTGACCTGTTTCACCAAATGGCTCATCTTCTTCTCACCTCCATGGCGTTGGCACTGGGATTCATACTCAGGAATGCCAACTACACAAAAATCTGAACTTGAAGCCACATTCAACTGATGCAAAAGGAGCTGAGTTCGCTGCACTCCCAATGCTTTCGTTCCTATGTCGGCCACGTTCCAAGCTGTCGGGATCTGTGACAAAACCACCAATCCATTTCTGACTGAATCTTGAATCCACAAAACTTTTCCCGATAAATGCTTGACCTTTCCTGTGCCCTGCCTCTGAGCCAGCTGTCGTCCTGATGACGAGTCTGTAAACATGCAATGTTCCACCTCAGCATCAAAAATGAACTCAATGCACCTCTTCAGAAACATACCATCGCTCAATGTGCTGATCATCGCATGTAACTCGCTCTCACAACTGGAGAGGCTGACCACGCGTTGTGTCCTGGACGACCCAAACAAGAATGCACCATTGAGTAAATGTATTCCACAACTGGTGGACCGCCTGTGCACTTGATTCGAACTCCAATCACTGTCGCTGAAGCTTTCCAAAATCAAATGCTTGTCAGTTGAACGCCAACGTCCTTGTCCACCCACGGGCACGTCCAGCAAAACGCAAAAGTCGGGTGACCCTTTCAGGTAACCTACAAGCTTCTTGAGCCTTTGCAAAGCCGTGAATGTAGGTCTTGCCATTGCACCTGAAAGTTCTTTCACTGTAAACAATAGATCGGGTCTATCCCTTGCAAGATACAAACATGTACCAACCACTGAACGGTATCCAAATGCTTGATCTGAAGGAAGTTCTGCAGAGAGATCTTCTGTTTGTATACCACCATCACATGGAATTGACTGCAAGCGTACTTTTCCAAATTCCTTTTCAAACATCTGAACAATCTTCTCGGCGCTTGTGCCAGGAAGAAGAGCCAAGCCAGTAGGGATGCGCTTGATGCGTCGCTTCAAGAAGCAAATCTCTGAATCTTCACCACCAAGCACTGAGCTGCTGATTTTGAACTTGGCTGCAAATTTGGCCAGAAAAACACGCTCCCAGTAACCTTTGTCACCGCAGAAAAGAATGTCATCCACATGTACCATGATACAGCAATGGGCGTTCCTTGCCAAACAAGGCTGTTCACTGCACCACTTGAAATCCATTTCAGTTGTAAGGAATTCCCTTAGGTACCAGTACCAACTGCGTGCGCCCAATCGCTGTCCTGGCAAGTTCTTTCTCACAGTGAATGTTTGACCAAGCAATGTAACCAGCATAGGAGCAGGCTGGTCAACCATCAAGAACGCGTCCTTCACATCCAACGTTCCAAGACATGTTGTCTCTTTGCTATGGTCACCTCCATGTGGAACATCAACCAAGCTTTGCAGATACATCATGGGAAGAAGGTTCAAGATATGTGTTGAAGTCGCTGGGGCATAAGTGTCTGATCTTTTCTCCCAGAATGAGTACTCACGCGCCACAAGGCGTGACCGACGCAACCAGCACTTTGTCACTGTGCCATCGTCCAGCGTCCTTTCTTTCACTCTCCAATCATACACAAATCTTGACGTCAATGTACTGCTCTTCGCATCAATGCCATCAACGTTTCCTTCCATCAAAACACCCATGTTGCACAATCTGGATAGTTCCACACGGTCGGCAATTCTGTCAACCTCTGGATCTGGCACTGGGGGACATTTATCCAATGGAAAGTCCGACCACAATTCATGAGGCATCTCACCAACTGGAAAGTTATCTTTCTCCTCCTCAATCCATGCTTCCACATTGTCATGATCATCCATATGCAAGTCGTGGTCGTACTCGTCCATTGTATGCAAAGTTTCATCACCAAACTTCACAGTCCTCACCATTGCCTGATACTCGGCACTGATTCTTTCCAAGCGCTGTTTCTTTGAACTCTCAACTCTGGCTCTCTTTGCCTCTTGGTCTTCAGCTTCCTCACCATGAGGCCTTGTCGGCGCAGCTTGCCTCGGAGTGGCAGGCAGTTGTGTAAACACATCCGGAGTTTGCGGCACATCTGAAGGCATGGCCGCAGATGAAAGAGCACCTGTGGAACTTGGTTGAACTTGTTGCTGTTCGCTTGCATCTGGTGGATCATCGAAAACTCCAATGGGATTTGGATACTTCGGCTGAGCTGATTCCTCAATTGCCACTTGTGGAGCTTCTGGAACTGGTTGCTTGTCGTGCAAGGTCATCTCTGTGAGCTCAGTCTCCTCACGGACTTCCTCTAGGTGCTTCTGCTTAACTGCTTCTGCATCCTCATCGAAGAAAGGACTGGGCTCGATTGCCCCAATTGGCCCACTGAAACTTGCTGACAAAGCTCCCTTCTGCGCTTTGGTGGGAATGATTCTGCCACCAAATCCAGTTTTGTACTCCCAAGACCAGCAATTGAAATTCATATAGAATGGTAGGTGTCCCTTCCAAACTGTCGAGATTCGTCTGATGCTTCGGGCCAAGATCAGCCCATGTCCATCAAACAGCAAATAGGTGTCCTGTGGATCGCTCTTCCCAAGGAAAATCATACGCCTCCATTTGGCTGTACCCTTTCCAACCACATTCGCAAATCCAAAAACAGGCTCACCAAAGTTGCAAATTGTGCCACCATAAGCCTTGTTGTACAACAACTCATAGGCAGTAGCACCACGTGTAGGGCTGAATCTGTTGAGCAAGAAGCATGAATGCCTGAATGCCCACGACCACCATGGGGAGTTCGTTGAAAACTCAATCCCAACCTGCTCACTGAGAAAATGAATCAGGGTACCTGCCAAAGGTCGAATGCGTCCAACTGCATTTTCAACAAGAGAATTCCCATGGCTGTAAGGTGCTGGATTGTTTTTCCTCGTAGGCAAACCCATGCTGAGTCTTGCATTGACCACCATCCGTTGCAATTGCAGTAAACTCGGTTCGTTGTCACACATGAAAACCATTTCAGCATGACCGAGGATCCCAGCGAAGCCAAGTAATTCTCTGACCATCAAACTCCACTGATTCTTGCTCCTCAATGGAACTGCATGCAGGTAACCTGTCACGCTATCAACCATCACAAGACACACCATTGTATCAATGTTCTTCTCATCCATTGACTCAGGCACTGATTTGGTGTAGCAAAAGTCGAATGAAACAGTTGCTGTACCTGCACGCCTTGCACCATCTGATCTCTGTTGTTTGTCTGCTCGAGCTCTAAAGCAAACACAGCTCGGGCACCAAGGCGCGTACGGCAGGTGGGACAAGTTGTGCAACTGCTGCTCCTCCTCAGATGGAGGCACCTTCAAGTCCACCGCTTTTGGAGCCCTTGCCAAATCAGAATGATACTGCTTTGTAGCTGCATGGATGATCTCCAACTCTTGTTGCTTTTGATGATTCAACAAACGTGTGAAGCACTTGGATTTCGATCCTGAAGTACTGAGTCCATGAAAAGTGAGTGCAGTGCGCAAAGGTTGTAAAGAGCT